CTGCTATTGAAGATCTGCTATTGAATTTAGCCCTTTTTTTCAGCAAAACCCTTCCACAAGTCTTTTGGTGCTAGAGGCGAGGAATGTGAGCGGTGGCCGGGTGATGTCACATCGAATGAACACTCCCGAAGGGCCGAAATCGATCGATATTGGTCAGTTTGCTCGACAGTACTCCTACAGTACTCCGACAGTACTCCTACAGTACTCCGACAGTAGTCCGACACTGCGGTACTATTTATCAACTTTAGGATCTCAATTCGTTTCCTTGAAGCACCGTGGGATCCTCGATTTGGCTTTACAGTTTGGATTGACCGTGGAGGAACAGGTGGGATTACTGTAGCTCTCATTGTAGCTGGAATGGATTACTGTAGCTGCAATGGGTTACTGTAGCTCTCATTGTAGCTTAAATGGGTTACTGTAGCTCTAATGAGTTGCTGTAGCTCGAAGGGATTACTGTAGCTCGAAGGGATTAATGGCTCTAATAGATTACTGTAGCTCTAATGGATTACTGTAGCTGGAATGGATTCCTGTAGCTCTAATGGATTCCTGTAGCTCTAATGGGTTACTGTAGCTCTAATGGACTATTGTAGCTCCAGTGAATTACTCTAGCTCGTATGGATTACTGTAGCTGGAATGGATTACTGTAGCTCTCATTGTAGCTGGAATGGATTGCTGTAGCTCTAATAGACTACTGTAGCTCTAATAGATCACTCTAGCCGCACCAAACAGCTTTAAACAGCTTTAATTTAAGCATTGATCTAGATTTATCGCTAAAGATCTTAAATAAAAGACAATTTTGAGCTTTCTCTTGAAATTTAGCCACTCTGCGGCGAGAGAACAGTGATCCAAGGCACTCCACAGTCAACAGTCACTTCAGCGTTTCGCAGAAGGAAACGGTTGGTCTGAAAAGCTCATAGGAATCTTAGGAATTCAAGCCTACTGTAGCATAGCTAGCTAGCTTCGAGCATAGCTTCGAGCTGAGCTTCGAGCATAGCTTCGAGCATAGCTTCAAGCATAGCGTCGAGCTGAGCTTCGAGCATAGCTACGAGCATAGCTTCAAGCATCGCTTCGATTCAAATCGTTCCCACTCTTTCCACTCTTTCCACTCTTTTCCAGCTCCTACACATGGACATCAAACCTCGGTGGATCGCCGACAATCGACACCGTTCTCGCCTCAAGTGATCTTGATCTTTTGGCGTCTCAATCATGCGCGAAATTCATTCAAACAAATAATTTGGATAAATCTGATGGTGATGGAATGAAGAGATTGTTACAGGTTTGAAAGAAATGATTTTATTGAGCTGAAAGAGTCGCAGGACTGTTTCAAAATGATTTTATCGAGCTGAAAGAGTCGCAGGACTGTTTTAGCTCGTTGCAGAATGAGATATTGTTTAAGAATAAAGGAAAATCAAGCTTTTTTCAGCTTTCTAAATGGAAAATCAAGCTTTTTTCAGTTTATAGAACATTGTATTAGAGCTTAGAAGTTTAGAAGGACAGCTTAGAAGTTTCTAAAAGTTAATTGAACCTAAAAGTTCAATATCTTGCGATTTCAGACTTTCTATGATGCACCTGACACCGCCGTTTCACCACTTCAACTTCTGCTCACTGCGAGTAGTGAAGATGGTGGGAATTGAAGCTTGAGAGCTTGAGGGCTTGAGAGCTTGAAGCTTGAAGCTTGAGAGCTTGAGAGCTTGAGAGCTTGAGAGCTTGAGAGCTTGAAAAGGAAAGCTTTTGAAGTTTTTGAAGTCTTTAGTTTTAATTTTAGGTAAATCTCAGCTCAACTTTGAGTCTTAGCTAGTATCTTTATTTAAAAAGATGGAAATTCAGCAGTTTGTAGCTATTTTTATCAAAAGTACAACTAAATTTAAGGCAAGAATTGGTCTCAAGAGTCTGGGCATAGTGACGTTGAAAGCAGCGAAACTGGCTTAGGCTTAGGCTGGCCTAGGCTGGCTTAGGCTAGGTTTAGGCTGGCTTAGGCTTGCGCTGGCTTAGGCTGGCTCAGGCTGGCTTAGGCTGGCTTAGGCTAGGTTTAGGCTGGCTAGGCTGGCTTAGGCTGGCTTAGGCTGGCCTAGGCTGGCTTAGGCTGGCTTAGGCTTGCGCTGGCTGGCTCAGGCTGGCTCAGGCTGGCTCAGGCTGGCTCAGGCCTAGCCTTCACTAGGATAGTACTTCGTGAACTTTAAATGATTAAAATCATTAAAATAAAGCAAAATTAGTATCACAATTTGTGAAAAACGAAAATATTATTCTGAAAAAGGAAAAGCAACGGTTTGTCAACTCGTGGAATCGAATCCACCACCAGAAACTCGAGCCAGCTCCGTAGACAAGCACACTATCCCCTATACTACAACTGGGGCTTAAACTGGTTGAATTAAAACACATTGAACGTAGAGGGACGGAGCAGGACCCTTGGACAGGAGTTTTGGTAGTCGAAGCTGGTAGCTGGTAGTCGGTAGTGGCTGGTAGTCGAAAGCTTTGGCAATGCACGACCTCGCTAGTTGGTTGAGTTGCGAAAATGAGCTCGAGCTAGAGGACAAAAAGAGACGTCTATTAAACAACATCTATCAGAACGGTGTGCCAGAAGACAAGCGATTGTGCTCAGCAACTCAGCGGATACTTTTTCGCTTACTTAAAAAAAGAAATTTCGCTTCGATTTGTACTCTAGGGTTTTCGAGGTCGGTGAATCGATTGGCGCTATTCATTTTATTGATTCTAGCTCGATTCTAGCTCAATTCTAGCTCGATTTGCAAGACTTTCATTTAAATCGATTGAAATGGTGTTGAGTGATTGAGTTATTTAATATTTAGGTACGGTTGACGATGTGCTGGCAGAGATGGGACACGGAGCTGGGCTAAGAGTCAAAGAAGGCTTAGCCGCTTTGATTGAGTGGGTTTCTTTTCAGATTTCCTTCCAAAAATTGATCAGAAAATTGATTTTTATGTCAAAAAAAGCTCGATTTTATCGATTTCTCCATAATAAACAAGATTTTCTTCAAATTTCAGTAAACTCTCCACACGAAATGGTCTACAGACTCTCTACAATAGTCCCGTGACAGCAATCACTCAAGGTCAGGGTTTCTTGAGCTGTCTAGGTGTTGCGCTGTGCTTCTATTTGCGATCATAACCTGCTTCCACTCTATCCCTATTGTCATCCAGTGTTTCCTATCTTGGTTGTTTCTGGTTCGAAGTCTTCGACTTACTTGTGCTGGTGGTTGCATTCTAACGGTCTCTAACGATCTCTGACGGTCTCTAACGATCTCTGACGGTCTCTAACGATCTCTGACGGTCTCTAACGATCTCTGACGGTCTCTAACGATCTCTGACGATCTCTAACGATCTCTGACGATCTCTAACGATCTCTGACGATCTCTAACGATCTCTGACGATCTCTAACGATCTCTGACGATCTCTAACGATCTCTGACGATCTCTAGCGATCTCTGACGCCTCTAGCGATCCTGCGCTCTCTGCGTCTCTGACGCTCTCTGCGCCTGACGCCTCTGCGTCCTGCGCTCTCTAGCGTCTCTGACGCCCTAGCGATCCTGCGCTTGCGTCTCTGACGCTCTTAGCGTTTGCGCTCTTAGCGTCTCTGACGCTCTCTAGCGATCTCTGACGCTCTCTGCCACTTTCTCTGACCCTCTCTGTCACTCTTGTGCCCCACTCTTGTGCTCCCTGTTGCTGGTCTTCCGATGGGCCTCTTCTGGTCTCGTGGTAGCCACTCTGATCTCCATATCGACTCCGTATCGTCCATGTGTCTGTTCTTCTGGCCGTGTTCTTCTTCTGTCAGCCCATCTGAGTCTTTTTCTCTCGACCACTGGATCTCTGAGTCTCAAGAGCTGGCGCATATCCGTACTTCTTAGGTCTTGCTGTGTCTTCCTATTGTCCCGAGAGCTGTGTCTTCCTATTCCTATTGTGTCTCCTCGCCCGAGGAGACACAATAGGAAGAAAAATCATAAATTAGATCACAAATTAGATGCCAAATTTCATATTTTAGTCAATCAAATGAACAATTAACAAAAGTTCTTTGTGAAATCTCATTTCCAGTGAACCCTTCTCTTCAATCAGTGACAGTAAACGGGAAAGAATTGATGGCGAGACAGGTTTGAGATCTCATTTTAATAAATAGATAATAAAAGGTCAGGAATTAACGAGAAAAGGTAGATTTCCGTAGATGGGATTGAAAGATTGACCTTTTGCTCAAGCAATTCAGCTATTTGGTAGCTTGAATTGCTGTTGAAAGACGGGGAGATAAGAGGAAGAAGAAAGGAAGAGGGAAAGATAAGAGGAAGAAGATAGAAAGACGGGAAGATAAGAGGAAGAAGATAGAAAGAAAGAAAGAACACCAGGACCTCAAGCTAATACTCCTGACGTTGCTTGGATTGATTTGAACCTAGTCCAGGTCCAGACCTAGTCCAGGTCCAGACCTAGTCCAGGTCCAGACCTAGTCCAGGTCCAGACCTAGTCCAGGTCCAGACCTAGTCCAGGTCCAGACCTAGTCCAGGTCCAGACCTAGTCCAGGTCCAGACCTATCCAGGTCAACCTATCCAGGTCCAGACCTGTCCAGGTCCAGACCTAGTCCAGGTCAGACCTTCAGGTCCGCCTAGTCCAGGTCCAGACCTAGTCAGGTCCAGACCTAGTCCAGGTCCAGACCTAGTCCAGGCCCAGACCTAGTCCAGGCCCAGACCTAGTCCAGGCCCAGACCTAGTCCAGGCCCAGACCTAGTCCAGGCCCAGACCTAGTCCAGGTCCAGGTAAAGCTAGGTCCAGGTAAAGCTAGGTCCAGGTAAAGCTAGGTCCAGATCAAGCCGGACAGGAGAAGACAGTCCAGAAACCAAGTCCAACTAAAGTTAGTCGAGCCAGATCCACATTTCCTAAAGCTAGGCAAGGCCGGTCTTTTAGAAAACCCTAAACTCAAGTCCAAACTTTCTCGAATCCTTTAGGTAATCATCGCCGTCCCTCCAGCAGTCGCCTCAAACATCGACTTGTCTCCAGTATTGCCTGAGAAGATGACCAATTTTTTGCGTTAGTTTAAATATTTTGACGTTAGATGAGATTTTCTAGGTAACTATCGACCCCGTGGATTCGCTACGTATTTCGCAATGACGTACGCAAAACCGTTTTGGCGCGAGAATGGGAACAGTGGACAGGTGGGTAGTTTCTGAGGCTGTCAGTGGTACTGTAAGTCGTGCTGTCAAACGTACGACAGTATTTTAGGTGTTGTAGGTGCCTGAACGTTGTACTAAGTAGTGTCGGGTAGTGTAGGTGATGCTGTAGTTTTGTGGGCCGGTATTGTAAAAGTCGTGCTGTCAGAGGTACGGCAGAGGTGAGCGGCTGAGTATTGTAGTTACCGTATGCACGAATTTCTGTACTCACAGACAAGTACCGTACTCACAGACAAGTACCGTACTTACAGACAAGTACTGTACTTACAGACAAGTACCATACTTACAGATAAGTACCGTACTTACAGACAAGTACCATACTTGCAGATAAGTACCGTACTTACAGACAAGTACTGTACTTACAGATAAGTACTGTACTTACAGATAAGTACTGTACTTACAGATAAGTACTGTACTTACAGATAAGTACTATACTTACAGACAAGTAATGTACTTACAGACAAGTACTGTACTTACAGGCAAGTACTGTACTTACAGGCAAGTACTATACAGATGAGTACTGTAGGACAAATTAAGGACAAAGGTACTGTACTTGTAAGTAAGTACCTAAGTAGCAAGTACAATAAGGAAGTGCTGTATGGAAGTGCTGTAAGGAAGTACAGTAAGTACAGTAAGTAAGTACTGTAAGGAAGTACTGTAAGGAAGTACTTCTAAGTATAGTACCCTTGCTTTAGATCAATTTAGATTAAACTTTAGATAATCTACTCGGGAGTTGTTGATGATTTGCTTTGGGCGACGACGTTTGACACAAGCGAGAACAATCTTTGTGGTAAGTTTTAGACTTTTGAATACTTTAGCTAATTTAGATTCTCCTAGTACCGTACTACTGTACTGTACCGTACTACTGTACTGTACCGTACTACTGTACTGTACCGTACTACTGTACTGTACCGTACTACTGTACTGTACCGTACTACTGTACTGTACCGTACTACTGTACTGTACCGTACTACTGTACTTTACCGTACTACTGTACTTTACCGTACTACTGTACTTTACCGTACTACTGTACTTTACCGTACTACTGTACTTTACCGTACTACTGTACTTTACCGTACTACTGTACTTTACCGTACTACTGTACTGTACCGTACTACTGTACTTTACCGTACTACTGTACTTTACCGTACTACTGTACTTTACCGTACTACTGTACTTTACCGTACTACTGTACTTTACCGTACTACTGTGCGTAATTTAGAGAATCTTTCTCGGAATCTAGACAAATTTCTCGTCTTTAGGCCACGATGGAGTGACGGGAATCCTTTGGGGCATTGCTCACTTCAAATCCGAGAATATCACCGAAGCACAGAGGTTTTTCGAGATTCATTTTGAGATAGATTGAAATATGGAAAGTTGATTTATATAGTATTTATCTGATTCAGGCAATCAAGCTACAAAAATCTGATTGAGATCACTTTCCCGAATGCGCCTCAGCCAATGGATATCAGGTGAGAGCATTTAGATAGATCTAAATAGCATTTAGAGAGATCTAAATAGGATTTAGATAGATCTAGATTCTATTTAGATAGATCTAAATAGCATTTAGAAGGATCTAAATTGTAATAACAAAGTTTTAAAGCATTGTTAGACCCTTCTTTCTTTCTTAAAACATTCTTAGACCATTCTTAGACCATTCTTTTTTAAAACACTTTTACCCCCCTCTCTCTCCCTTTTACCACTCTTCGACCCCTCTTCCCTTCTTCAAACCATTCTTAGACCATTCTTAGCCCCTTCTTCCTCTCTTAGACCATTTCTAGAAGTCTTCAAGTCTTAGAAGCTTACAAAACTCTGTAAACTTTAGCGATTATCAATTCTACAACGATCAGTACTCACTGGGATCTATTGGAGTGTTGCCCGTCTCAAAAGATGCTTCAGTTCTTTCACTTCTTGGCGCACTAAGCATCGATGACAATACACCGTATTCAGAGGTTTGTTTGAGTAAATCAAAGCTCAGCTCAAGCTAGCTCAGCTCAAGCTCAGCTCAAGCTCAAGCTCAAGCTAGCTCAGCTCAAGCTCAAGCTAGCTCAGCTCAAGCTCAGCTCAAGCTAGCTCAGCTCAAGCTCAAGCTCAAGCTAGCTCAGCTCAAGCTCAGCTCAAGCTAGCTCAGCTCAAGCTCAGCTCAAGCTAGCTCAGCTCAAGCTAAGCCAGCTCAGCTCAAGCTCAAGCTAGCTCAGCTCAAGCTCAGCTCAAGCTAGCTCAGCTCAAGCTCAGCTCAAGCTAGCTCAGCTCAAGCTAGCTCAGCTCAAGCTCAAGCTAGCTCAGCTCAAGCTCAGCTCAAGCTAGCTCAGCTCAAGCTCAAGCTAGCTCAGCTCAGCTCAAGCTCAAGCTAGCTCAGCTCAAGCTCAGCTCAAGCTAGCTCAGCTCAAGCTCAAGCTAGCTCAGCTCAAGCTCAGCTCAAGCTAGCTCAGCTCAAGCTCAAGCTAGCTCAGCTCAAGCTCAGCTCAAGCGCAAGATGCTCTAAAGTAAAGAAATGAATGAGAAAAGAGCTTATCTAGCTTATAAACATTTCTATATTGTTTATGAAATACAAATATCCGATTTTCTCTCTAGCAAAGACGCAAGCGCTTCTCTCTTCAATCACCGGTAAGGGAATTGTGCTTTGAAACGCTTTTGCTTACTAATACTTATCGAATTTTCAATTTGCATTTAGTCCATTCATTTCACCTCAGCCGAGCTCTCAAAAGAGTCAATGGGCATGATGAATGGAGCAGTTTTGCACGGGCAACTCGTCGCTGAACAAGTTCTGAAGCAACTGGCTGCAAGTGAGACTTTACAAGCTACTGTACAAGCTGTACAAGCTGTACAAGCTACTGTACAAGCTGGACAAGCTACTGTAGAAGCTGTACAAGCTGTACAAGCTGCTGTACAAGCTGTACAAGCTGTACTAGAGCTCCAAATTGGCTCCAAATCCAAATCCCAGCTCTAATTCCTACTCTACTTACAGTAACCTACCCTTCAGCACTATCCAATCCCTTTCCAGACCCATCCCCGTCCGTCTCTTCTCCTTCTCGAGCTACTCCCTACTCTGCCAGTCCCGATCAACCAGTATAACCAGATTCAATACAAAACAAGAACAATTTCCAGAGCACGATCAAACCCGAAGCTTCATCACTTCTCTATCCAGACGATTTGATGAATGGTTTGTTAGATTCACTTGAAGTTAGCTGAATATCTAGATAGATAGATATCTAGGCTTAGGCTTTGGCTTTGGCTTTGGTTTTGGCTTGGAAATGGTTGGCGGGGTTTCGAACCCGCTCGCTTATCAGGCGAATGCTCTATCAATGAGCTATGTATCCCATTGGCGACAGGCTTATTGTAAAGCAGGACAAGGCTAGGTCAAACAGGTTTGGTCAGGCTTCTGGCCAATACCAGGATCAGTAACAGAATCAGAGCCAGGACTAGGGCTCTGGAGCCATGGCCAGCTCTGCGGCCAGCTCTGGAGCCATGACCAGCTCTGAAGCCAGCTCTCGAGCCCTGGATCCAGCTCTGGCCAGCTCTGTAGCCAGCTCTGAAGCCAGCTCTGGAGCCAGCTCTGAAGCCAGCTTTATAGCCAACTCTGGAGCCAGCTTTGGAACCAGCTTTGGAACCAGCTTTGGAGCCATGGCCGGCTCTAGAGCCATGGCCAGCTCTGGAGCCAGCTCTAGGGCCATAGCCATCTCTGGAACCAGCTCTAGAGGACATGACAGACTAGCTCTCAGAGCAGGCTCAGACTAGGCTCAGAGCAGGCTCAGCGGCTCAGACTAGGCTCAGAGCAGGCTCAGACCAAGCCAGAAGCCTAAACCTAGGCTTAGATCAAGCCAGGAACCTTTTCCAGGTCTGGGAAGACTTACAACCCAGGCCTGGCCTACCAGTATCTTCTTGTAACCAAGAATTGCTACATTCTTGTTTTCCAATTGCAATCCATTTAGACAAGGGCACGACGACTTTCGCCTATCGCACAACTCCACAATATCCTTCTAGTGAATCTCAAACGGTAGGAACTTCTAGAGCTTCTAGAACTTCTAGAGCTTCTAGAGCTTCTAGAGCTTCTAGAGCTTCTAGAGCTTCTAGAATCTCTAGAGCTTCTAGAACTTCTAGAATTCTTTCTTTAGCCCCCACTAACGTCTACTGCGAAGTACGATTTCCCTTATGCCACCTCGCCAATGTATCCGGATTCGTTCGGTTTGTTTCCCTTTCCTTTTTGACTCACCAAAAACGAGAAATCGATAATTCTGTACACTAGAAAAGTTTTAGAGACGACTACAGTGAAGCCAGCAATGCAAGCAACCACTTTAGACTATACAGCGGAATTCCTTGGCTCAGTAAGAGATTTTAGAGCTTCGTGGAAGAAAAGTGTTTCAGTCAACGAAAGAATCTTCAACAACGACAACGACAACGACAACCACCACCGAAATAAGCACAACAAAGCCTGAATTGTCATCACTTCTGTATCCAGATGATCTCATGAATGGTAAGGTTTGAGAGTTGAGCTGAGCTGGGCCTGGGCCTGGTTGGCTTGGACCTGAGCTGGGCCTGGGCTTGGTTGGCTTGGGCTTAAGCTGAACCTGGGCCTGGTTGGCTTGGACCTGAGCTGGGCCTGGCTTGGACTTGAGCCTGACCTGACTGGTCTAAATCTGCTGGACCTAGCGAATCAGCTGACTAATCATAAGCTTAAAGCATGGCTTCAAATTTAAACTAATTCGATGTAGTAATATCATTTTTGATAAAGTTTTATGTAGAAATGAATAGCTCTAATCGATTCAGCGCCCTCGAAAACCCTAGGGCACCGATTTAAGCTGAATATCTTTAAGTGATCTCCAAAAGAGCAATCTTTAAATGAGCGTTCTTTGTGTGGCGGGGTAATCGCTCGTCATCTGGCCCATGATTGACATGTGTCCCATGTTCTCTTAGAGGCGAAGGGTCGGCGACTTCTCGGTTAAAAGGCTTTTCTCGCGACCCCCCGGGGCATGACCATGTGGCGCAGTGGATAAGAGGGTCGGATACAAAGCCGGCCGCTCGTCAATGGCTCGGGTTCGAGTCCCCGAGCCGAAATTCTATTTTGCTTTTCTGAATTTTCCGAAAAATAATAAGAATAGAACTAAAAGAGAAAAACCCTTCAGACAACGCGACCACGACATTCGCCTACGCGACAAGCCCGCAATACGAGACGAGTGAAGAGGTGATTGAAACAAGGTTTTATTGGGGAAAACTGACATTTAGCCAAAGGAAACAACACCAAAACCTCAGTCCAGTACCTCGTCAAATCCGGAAAACGGTAACTTTTAAGATTAAGAACTTTAATGACAAATAATCCTTTCAGAAACGACTCCTTTTGCTTACGAAACAAGCAGCCAATATCCGGCGACTAGCTCAGAGGAGGTTGATTTCAAAGAATCTTAGATACAGTAAACAAATTAGCATTTAAATATTAGATATTTAAGTCTAAAATTGGCCTGCTTATTTGGCCTCTTAAGTGAGTTATTTGGTCTCCTAAGTTGGCCTCCTAAGTTGGCCTCCTAAGTTGGCCTCCTAAGTTGACCTCCTAATTTGGCCTCCTAAGATGGCGCTCCCAAGTGAGTTATTTGAGTTAAAGTCAGTGGATGAGTCAAATTTTTCTTATTTTCAATGATCGCGCTTCATTTTCATATTCATCTGTTCATATTTCACCATTTTCCTTTCTTATATTGAATAATTACAATGTTAATGCTAATAGTTACTTTTACCTTAAAGAAATAAAAAGGAAAAACCAAGGGCGGGATCGAACCCTACCCCAGGTTCAGAACGATCGACTGGCAGGCCGTTGCACTATCCACTAGGCCACTGGGACCTGTTGGCGTAGTGATTGAAAAGCGCCCTTTAAACCTCTTCTCTTCGAAGATTTATGAAAATCAAAAGCTGAGAGAGGGATCGAACCCCAACCCGGCTTTAGCCGATCGACTGGCAGCCCGTTGCACTATCCACTAAGACCACCAGGCACCTGTTGTCTCTCTGCTTGAAAAGTACCCTTTAAACCTCTTCCCTTCTCAGTTTACCAAAAACCAAAAGCTGAGAGGGGATCGAACCCCCGCCCTTGCTTCAACCGTTCGAACGGCTCACCGCCCCACTATCCACTAGACCACCAGGACCTGTTGTGCCACTGCCTGAAAAGCGCCCTTTAAACCTCTTCTCTTCAAAGATTTTAGAAAAACCAATAGCGGGATCGAACCCTCGCCCTTGCTCTGACCGTTCGACCGGCAGGCCGTCCCACTATCCACTACACTACCGGGACCTCTTGTCTCCCTGCTTGAAAAGCACCCTTTAAACCTCTTCTCATCAAAATCTCTTCGAAATTTCCTTTAAATCTTTGAAATCTTCGCCTTAAATCTTTCAATCCAATTTAAATCGAATTTTACCCATTTCAAAGCCTCTTTTAGAGATTTTCATTTCATTTTATGAATCTCTATACTTTATTTAGTATTTAGTCCAAAAAATGAAAGCTTTGGCTTTTAGATTTCGTGAAAAAACTTCTATTTTAGCGTTGCGTTCAATATTAGCGTCTTAATAAGAGAATAAGCGCTCTTTTCTACCTTTCTACCTTAATATCTTAGTTATTTATATCCTTAAACTGATTTCCAAATAAGATTATTTACTTACAGCCGATTCTCCCACCCTACCAGCCTGTCTACGATTTCCCCTACAGTACATCGACACAGTACCCGAGTGGTAAGCGAGAAGATCGGATTTAACACATTTAAATGCTAGCTTTTCTTTATTTATGAGATTTTATAGACTTCTATCCAACCACTGGAGCCTCTTACGATCAAGAAGCTCAAGGGAATACGGTAAGATTCATTCAATAAAGAATTCAATTCTAATTCTAATCAAGAAAATCTAATCCAAACCTTTCCACCTGTTTTCTCAGCCGTTTCTTGACTTCTTGACCAATCGTTTTGTTGTTCTCTGTCGTTTCTTCGAAATTTTGCTTAGAAATTGGCATTCTTTGGTTGTAAATTTCAAAGCAAACGTTCAAGAAGTGGTTGAGAAACTGAAGGTCGAATTAGGTTTGGGTTGGACTTGTCTAGGGAGTACGGCAAGGCAGGCCTGAGCCTAAGTCAAGCCTGAGTCTAAGCCAAACTCAAAGGCAGCCTAAGCCAGCTTAAGTCAAACGCAAAGCCAGCGTTAAGCCAGCCTATGTCAGTCTAGGCCCACCTAGGCCAACCTAAGCCAGCCTAGGCCAACCTGAGCCAGCCTAAGCCAGCCTAGGCCAACCTGAGCCAGCCTAAGCCAGCCTAGGCCAACCTGGGCCAGCCTGAGCCAGCCTAGGCCAACCTGAGCCAGCCTAAGCCAGCCTAGGCCAACCTGAGCCAGCCTAAGCCAGCCTAGGCCAACCTGAGCCAGCCTAAGCCAGCCTAGGCCAACCTGAGCCAGCCTAAGCCAGCCTGGGCCAACCTAAGCCAGCCTAAGCCAGCCTAGGCCAACCTGAGCCAGCCTAAGCCAACCTAGGCCAACCTGAGCCAGCCTAAGCCAGCCTAGGCCAACCTGAGCCAGCCTAAGCCAGCCTAGGCCAACCTGAGCCAGCCTAAGCCAGCCTAGGCCAACCTGAGCCAGCCTAAGCCAGCCTAGGCCAACCTGAGCCAGCCTAAGCCAGCCTAGGCCAACCTGAGCCAGCCTAAGCCAGCCTAGGCCAACCTAGGCCAACCTGAGCCAGCCTAGGCCAACCTGAGCCAGCCTAAGCCAACCTAGGCCAACCTGAGCCAGCCTAAGCCAACCTAGGCCAACCTAGGCCAACCTGAGCCAGCCTAGGCCAACCTGAGCCAGCCTAAGCCAGCCTAGGCCAACCTGAGCCAGCCTAAGCCAGCCTAGGCCAACCTGAGCCAGCCTAAGCCAACCTAGGCCAACCTGAGCCAGCCTGAGCCAGCCTAGGGCCAACCTGAGCCAGCCTAAGCCAGCCTAGGCCAACCTGAGCCAGCCTAAGCCAGCCTGGGCCAACCTAGGCCAGCCTGAGCCAACCTAGGCCAACCTGAGCCAGCCTAAGCCAACCTAGGCCAACCTGAGCCAGCCTAAGCCAACCTAGGCCAACCTAGGCCAACCTGAGCCAGCCTAGGCCAACCTGAGCCAGCCTAAGCCAGCCTAGGCCAACCTGAGCCAGCCTAAGCCAGCCTAGGCCAACCTGAGCCAGCCTAAGCCAGCCTAGGCCAACCTGAGCCAGCCTAGGCCAGCCTGAGCCAGCCTAAGCCAGCCTGCTGATAGACTAGAACACCCTGCTCATGACTAAATCAAGAAAAATCTGTATTTACTAGCTTTATCATCATTCTATCAATTTTCTATCCAACTGGAGTACCAAGATCCTTTTGGTCTCAAGATCTCAAATCCTTTTGTCGAACTTTTCAGACGACTCCAAGCAACGAGACGATGCCTGCAGCTCCATCGACATTGGTGCCAGATTTGTTGGCTGACTTGGTAACATTAACTCCAATATTCAATTAATATTAAGCCATTCAAATATTATTCAAAAAGAAGCCTAAATTCGAACAGAAAGAGTTTTTAAATGTTCAGTTGAACGCGACGACTCCAGCAGCAAATGTGACAGAAGTGACAGAAGTGACAGAAGGCGCAAATGTCACAGAGCTTGTGGTAAAAGCATTTTGTAACTTTATAACTTTGTAACTTTATTACTTTATTACTTTATTACTTTATTACTTTATTACTTTACTGCCTTACTACTTTGTTACTTTATTATTTTATTATAAAACTTCATTTATAGCCAATTAGCTTTAATTAGCTTTCTCATTCTAAATAAGCTGAGTAAAGCTTGAATCCTTTTGTCAAACATTTCAGACAACTCCAAGCAACGAGACGATGCCCACGGTTTCACTCGAGCCAGATTTTGTAGCCGACTTGGTAAGATTAAGCTTGAATTGATTTAAAGATAAAGGAAGGGTCTGGAATTGATAGCCAGCTGAAAGTCAGAAGAGAAAGAGAAGAGAAAGAGAAGAGAAAGAGAAGAGAAAGAGAAGAGAAAGAGAAGAGAAAGAGAAGAGAAAGAGAAGAGAAAGAGGCTTTCAAAGTTTCAGTTGAACCCGACAACGAACCCGACAACGAAGCCCGAAAATGTGACTGAAGTTCCAGAGGCTGCAAATGTCACTGAGCCCATGGTACAAGAAATTATAACATTAGAAAAAGCTTTAGTTTATAAATGCTAAGTTTATGAATTCAAATTCATTGTTAAGGATGAGATCTAAATAGAGAATGGTGTTGATTTAAAGTGGTTTCAAGGGATTTATAGTGGTTTGAAAGGATTTAAAGTGGTTTGAAGGGAATTAAAGTGGTTTGAAGGGAATTAAAGTGGTTTGAAGAGAATTAAAGTGGTTTGAAGGGATTTATAGTGGTTTGAAGGGATTTATAGTGGTTTGAAGGGATTTAAAGTAGTTTGAAAGGATTTAAAGTAGTTTGAAAGGATTTATAATGGTTTGAAAGGATTTATAGTGGTTTGAAGGGATTTATAGTGGTTTCAAGGGATTTAAAGTAGTTTGAAGGGATTTAAAGTAGTTTGAAGGGATTTATAGTGGTTTGAAAGGATTTAAAGTAGTTTGAAGGGAATTAAAGTAGTTTGAAAGGATTTAAAGTGGTTTGAAGGGATTTATAGTGGTTTGAAGGGATTTATAGTGGTTTGAAAGGATTTAAAATGGTTTGAAAGGATTTAAAATGGTTTCAAGGGATTTAAAGTGACTTTTCGAGTCCGATTTCATAAGAACAGTGGCGAATAGGATGAGCTAAGCATCAAGCGTCAAGTATAAGATGCTAAGCATCAAGCATAACATGCTAAGCATCAAGCACCAATATGCTAAGCAAATCTGCATAGCTATGCTGATCTAGCTAATCAGCATAGCTAAATTCAATTGATAAAACTGAATACTTGATTGGAAAACTATTAAAAGATAAAGACAACAAAAAGAGCAAAAAGAGCAAAAAGAGCAAAAAAGTCTGACAAGGAAAGGATTCGAACTTGGGGCAAGGAATTTCATTGTTTTGATAGACAATTGCACTAACCATTAAGCTATTAAGGCAGTTGTTTAAGAGGGGAATTCTCTATAGCAAATATAGAGAAAGTAGAAACTAGAAATGGAAACTAGAAATGGACTAGAGAAAGAGCTAGAACGGAAACTAGAAACGAGTAGAGCAAAAACTAGAAACGGAAACCAGAAATGGATTAGAGAAAGAGCTAGAAACAGAAGCTAGAAACAGATTAGAGATCCCCATAGTCGAATCTATAAGCTGGAGTCGAAAGGGTAAGTTCCCTAGTAAAGTTAAGCTTTCCGGGGAGTCGAACCCGGATCGTGTGAGCCGTAGACAAGCGTGCTTCTAACTGCGCCACGGCAAAAACCGTTTGAATATTTGGCATTGATTAATCTTTAGCATAAAGACAAACCTTTGTCTGTCTTGTTTGGTTAGATGACTAAGGGCTTAGGCTTAGGCTCAGGCTCAGGCTTAGGCTTAGGCTCAGGCTTAGGCTCAGGCTCAGGCTCAGGCTCAGGCTTAGGCTCAGGCTCAGGCTCAGGCTCAGGCTCAGGCTTAGGCTCAGGCTTAGGCTTAGGCTCAGGCTCAGGCTCAGGCTTAGGCTCAGGCTTAGGCTCAGGCTCAGGCTTAGGCTTAGGCTTCCCAATTCCCTAATAATGCTGAAAGTTTGCAGTTGATTGCCGAAAATGTGACGATTGTGGAGCTGATAAATGCGACGTTTCCCGGGGATACTGTGACCGATTTGGTAATCTCAATTCCTATTTATACAATTCCTATTTATACAATCAATTTTCAGCTAAATGAGACAACGACAATCGAGCCAGCAACAAATCAAACCGTTCCAGTGGAGACGATTTCGGATTTGGTAATGATTTCTTATCTAGTGAAAGACTAGGGAAAGACAGGGATTTAAGGTCGACTTTTTGACTGGACACTTTTGACTTGACTAGACTGAATTTAGTGTCTGGACTTAGTGCTTGGACTTAGTGCTTGGGCTTAGTGCTTGGGCTTAGTGCTTGGACTTAGTGTCTGGACTTAGTGCTTGGACTTAGTGCTTGGGCTTAGTGCCTGGACTTAGTATCTGGACTTAGTGCTTGGGCTTAGTGCTTGGGCTTAGTGTCTGGACTTAGTATCTGGACTTAGTGCTTGGACTTAGTATCTGGACTTAGTGCACTTTAATAGAAGCTTTAGGTTCAAAGCTTCCGGTTTAAAGCTTTAATAGCTTCAAAGCTTTAGGCCTAAGCCATAAGGAATTCGAATCAAATCCAAACCAAAGCCAAATCAAATCCAAATCAAAGCCAAATCAAATCCAAACCAAAGCCAAATCAGAAATCCAAGCCAAAATCCAAACCCAATCAAATCAGAAATTCAAATCTGAAATGAAAATCTCTCGAATAACTTTCCAGAAGTGTGAAACTTTAATCGAAAAACGGAAACAATTCATAAACGGCGTCATTTAAAGTATTTATTGTAGGCATACAATAAGTACACTAGGCTCCTACAGCCTTTCTCGTAGACATTACTGTACACTAGACCTCTACAGTCTTTCTCCTAGACACTACTGCACTGTGCACTAGTTTCAAATTGTTATCTAGATTGAGTATTGATCGTAGACATTACTGTACACTAGACTTCTACAGTCTTTCTCCTAGACACTACTGTACACTAGACTTCTACAGTCTTTCTCCTAGACACTACTGTACACTAGACTTCTACAGTCTTTCTCCTAGACACTACTGTACACTAGACTTCTACAGTCTTTCTCCTAGACACTACTGTACACTAGACTTCTACAGTCTTTCTCGTAGACATTACTGCACTGTGCACTATTGGGTTGGGGAGAATGAGTCGGCGCCAAACTTTAAAGGGACTTTTTGCACACATAAAGCCTTCTTTAAACATACGTTTGGTTTCATCAAAAGGATCCACTATTTCTCTACAAAATCACTTTTGAGAGATTCCACAAAGCTTTTCTTTCATGGAGTTTATGGACTCCCAAACACAGCTAGTCAAAATGGCAAAGAGTCCGACTCGTCATTTGAACAGTTTCTTTCACATAAACCTTCTTTGGTGTTTATATAAAAAAGATAGAGCACATTCAATTACTTAAGTTGCCAAATTTGCAGGAAGATCCCACCAATTGTTTTTTCTAGATGACAGTTTGTAGTTTTTGTGAAAAAATGCCTTTTTCTTGAGCGGAGGCGCTGTTTGAATTTTCTTTTAAATGTCATTTTGTAGAGAATTAGTTAACCATTCTCTACTCATATCAAACGCATATTATTTGACGAAGTCTGCTAGACATTTTTTTGATTTTCGGCGCCGACTCATTCTCCCCAAACCCAATAGTTTCAAATTGTTATCTAGATTTGCATGAACTATTGCATGAACTTGTTTAGATCTAGTTTTACTCTATTTGTTTGTTTGTTTGTTTGTTTGTTTGTTTGTTTGTTTGTTTGTTTGTTTGTTTGTTTGTTTGTTTGTTTGTTTGTTTGTTTGTTTGTTTGTTTGTTTGTTTGTTTGTTTGTTTGTTTGTTTGTTTGTTTGTTTGTTTGTTTGTTTGTTTGTTTGTTTGTTTGTTTGTTTGTTTGTTTGTTTGTTTGTTTGTTTGTTTGTTTGTTTGTTTGTTTCTAATTTTTCTATTCTTTTTCTTATCATTAACGATTTGTAGAATGGAACTTCTGCTGTGAATGAGACTGAAGTGTCAACTCTTTCAGTGCCTGTCGATACGGTTTTAGATCTGGTGATTTCTTTTTTTCCTTCTTTGTAAAGCATGGCTTATGAAAAAATGAGTTACCGTATTGTCTCTAATAGCACTACTATTTTTTCAACCCCCTCCTGGACCGCAATACTATTAGAGAGTGCTATTAGAGAGTGCTATTAGAGAGTGCTATTAGAGAGTGCTATTAGAGAGTGCTATTAGAGAGTGCTATTAGAGAGTGCTATTAGAGAGTGCACTACTATTAGAGAGAATACGGTATTAGCTAAATCTATCAATTTTAAAACACCATTCACTTTGTGCTTGAATGAAAAGAAACGAAAAAAAGAAAACGGAAGATGAAAAAGGGTTTTGAACTTGGCTTTTAGACGGTTTTGAATCAGGATTTGAACCAAGATTTGAACCAAGATTTGAAACAAGATTGGAACCAAGATTGGAACCAAGATTTCAACCCGGATTTCAACCGGATTTCAACCGGATTTCAACCGGATTTCAACCCGGATTTCAACCGGATTTCAACCCGGATTTGAACAGGATTTCAACCGGATTTCAACCCGGATTTGAACAGGATTTGAACCGGATTTGAACCAAGATCTGAACCGGCTTCTGACAGCTCAGACATCTAGCTTCCTGGCTTAGACAGGTAGTCTAAGCCAGGAAGCTAGATTCAGATTAGACTAGGATTAGAGCCGAGTGACTCACTTGGGAAGAAATTCGTCGACGCCTCGGTCACTCCTCCGTACGCTTGTTGAGCACATTGAGCAGCGAATGATTTGAACCAGGATTTCAACTGGATTTCAACTGGATTTCAACTGGATTTCAACTGGATTTCAACCGGATTTCAACTGGATTTGAACCAAGATTTGAACCGGATTGGAACCAAGATTTCAACCAAGAATTCAACCAGATTTGAACTGGATTTGAACCAAGATTTGAACTGGATTTGAACCAAGATTTCAACCGGATTTGAACCAAGATTTGAACCGGATTTCAACCAAGATTTGAACCAAGATTTGAACCGGATTTCAACCGGATTTCAACCAAGATTTGAACCGGATTTGAACCAAGATTTCAACCAAGATTTCAACCAAGATTTAAACCGGATTGGAACCAAGATTTCAACCAAGAATTCAACCAAGATTTCAACCAAGATTTCAACCAGGTTTGAACCAAGATTTGAACTGGATTTGAACCAAGATTTGAACCAAGATTCGAACTGGATTTGAACCAAGATTTGAACCAAGATTTGAACTGGATTTGAACCAAGATTTGAACTGGATTTGAACCAAGATTTGAACCAAGGTTCGAACTGGATTTGAACCAAGATTTGAACCAAGATTTGAACTGGATTTGAACCAAGATTTGAACCAAGATTCGAACTGGATTTGAACCAAGATTTGAACCGGATTTGAACCGGATTTCAACCAAGATTTCAACCAGATTTCAACCAGATTTCAACCAAAATTTCAACCCGGTTTTTCTTTAAGTTTATTCCCTTTTTCCCAGCTAGAAACCCTTTCTTTTCAAGCACAAAGTACACTACAAGTACGTTTGAAATCTTTTCAAAATAACTTTCACAAGTGTTTAGCTAAACCCAAGTGCACCCGAGAATAAAACTGAATCACCGGTGCCTGTCGATGAAGTGCTCGACCTGGTACTTTCACGACTTTTCTTTTCCAATCTTTTCACTTTGTCAATTTCAAGCTTAACCCGACACCGCCAAGTAATGAAATCGAGCCGAAAAATGTCACAAAAACTGTGGATGAGCTGTTAAACTTGGTAAAGAAATGATTTTGAAAAGAAATTCAAAAATGAAACTTTGACCTTAAATATCTCATCACTGGATTGTTCAATTTGAATAGTTTTTCTACCAATCGATAGAGAAAGACTTGGCGAATCTAATGATACCAAAAACATTTGAATTGGACATCTGAACACCGAGAAATTCGAGTTGAAAGTTAGATTGGCAAAAGGGGCGGAGCCAGAAGACCTTTTATACTCTTATCGCTATCGAATCACCAAATCAGAGTCCATTTCTGTCCAATTTCAATCATTTCAATAATTGCCAAAGCTTAAGAACTGCCAACGGAACGGGACGCCTTTTATACGCGCCGCGCCCCGCCCCTTTTGCCAATCCAACTTTGAATTCAAATATCTCAGCGCTGGATTGTTCAATTTGAATAGTTTTTCTACCAATCGATAGAGAAAGACTTGGCGAATCTAATGATACCAAAAACATTTGAATTGGACAGCCCAACACCGAGAAATTCGAGCTCAAAGTTTGTCAATGGAAAAAAGGGGCGGGGCGCGTATAAAAGGCGCCCCGTTCTCTAGGTGGCTCAATTTTCGATTCATTTGTTGTACAAACAACCTTTTCTGTCTCTTGTTTGTCTACTGTACTTTTAGTTGAATGCACCCGAGAACAAAACCGTCAATGCACCGATTGAAGAGATTCTTGATTTGGTAAACACAAAGCACTCTTTTTAAACACTTTTTTTTCAATTGTAGCTTAACCCAAAAGCACCTGAGAATGGCACTGGAGTTGTTGAGGAAACGAAAAACACAAATTTACCTGTACAAATTGATAAGATTTTCGATTTGGTGAGTTTTTGAGAGTTGCCTGTAGGTTTAGGGTGACAACTTTTTGGAAGAGTATCTGGGAAATGTCTAATTTATTTCAAAAGTGGCAAGTGTTAGATAGAGAATTGTAGGCCTGAATCTTGGCTACATTTATCTCCCAAAAACTTGTCGTTTGGAATTCTACAACTCATTTAACAAGCGTTTGAATGAGCGCTAGTCGACATCTCTTGGGGTTATCTTGGCCGAGTCGTCACACTTCGAGGGCCCATAACTTTGTCCAGAAATCATATTATTCCTAACCTTTTATATCATTGAATAGAGGAGATTTCAGCCTTTCAAATGATACCAAATAGAGCTTGATTGGACAATCCAGTCTAGAAATCAAAGCCAATTCTGTCTTGGCCTATCCAACACGAGGCCTAGCCGACATGTCGTCTTGTTTCCATGAGAATGAAAAAGTCAATCACGCTCTATTTGGTATCATTAGAAAGCCTGAAATGTCCTCTATCCAATGATATAAAAATATCTGAATAATATTATCTCTAGACAAAGTTATAGACCTTCAAAGTGTGACGACTCGGTCAAAATCCACTCCCGAGTCGGATAGACCATTTGCTCAGCTCTGATTTTCTTGGACTCGATTATCCAATCAAGCTCTATTTGGTATCATTAGAAAGGCTGAAATCTCCTCTATCCAATGATCTAAAAAAATCTGAATAATATTATCTCTAGACAAAGTTATAGACCTTCAAAGTGTGACGACTCGGTCAAAATGCCCGGAGAGATATCGACTAGCGCTCATTCAAGCGCTTGTTAAATGAGTTGTAGAAGTCCAAACGACAAGTTTTTGGTAGATAAATGTAGCCAAGACTCAGGCCTACAATTCTCTATCTAACACTTGCCACTTTTGAAATAAATTAGACATTTCCCAGATACTCTTCCAAAAATTTGTTGCGGTAATTCTTAGTCACAGTCGTTTTTTTTGCTTTCACAACGGCATTTTAGGGATTTCTTTCTTGAATACAGTACCTTTTAAAGCTTTCTACAGTATGCTAGCACTATATTCTGTCTTATTTTTATTCAATCCCACTTTTTAGTTGAATCCAAAAGCACCAGAAAATGGCACAGTCGATGAAAAGGTTTCGCTCTTTTTTTTCTTTTTTCTGAGCTAACTAGCTAACACACACTTTCTAATGCATTGAATTAAAGTCTTTGAAGATCTCAGTGCACTAGAAAGCTTGTCTTTATCAGCACAGACAAAGTAAAAGAGCACTGTTTCAGAGCACCGTTGCACCGGCACCGGCACCGGCACTTGTTGATCTGATTTGGGATTTGGTAAGGGTTTTGTGATAGTTTAAATGATGAAAATGATGAAAATGATGAAAATTGAGGTAAACATTGAATAGGAACTATCCAAACTTAGTACAGCATCCAATAAATAGTCTAAAAGATAGCATAGTCAGCATAGAAATCCATTTTTACTTCAGCTAAACCCGAGCCAGCCTCCAGAGAATGTCACTCAGTCAGAGCCAGCTAGCCAGCCAGCCAGCCAGCCAGCCAATTTCACTGAAACGGTACAATAAATAGAGATAGAAATAGAAATAGATATGAAATAGATATAGATATAGAAATAGATCTAGAAATAGATCTAGAACAGATATAGAAACAGAAACAGATTTAAGATAAACAACTATTAACTAACGCTGAAAACAGCTATTAACTAAAGCTGTGTTCAAACTAGAGTCAACTACAGTCAACTACTCTTTTAGCTTCCAACAGCACCAACAAACGCCACCGCAGAAACCCCAGAAGTAAGCAAAACCTTAGCCAAACCCTAGCCAAACCACAATCAACTACAACTACTCTTTTAGCTTCCAACAACACCAACAAACGCCACCGCAGAAACCCCAGAAGTAAGCAAAACCTTAGCCAAACCTTAGCCAAACCACAATCAACTACAACTACTCTTTTAGCTTCCAACAACACCAACAAACGCCACCGCAGAAACTCCAGAAGTAAGCAAAACCTTAGCCAAACCACAGCCAACTACAACTACTCTTTTAGCTTCCAACAACACCAACAAACGCCACCACAGAGACGCTAGAAGTAAGCCTAACTTTAGATCGTTCTATTTATAATCCTATTTATACCCAAACTCGATACCCAAACTTTAAACTATACATAACTTTCCTTTCCAGCTCACTTTTCAAAGCAACTACAGTTAAATTAATACCGTTTCCATGAGCTAGAGTCATCTAGTTCCCATTCTGTTAACTATAGAGCTTGAAGATAAAGCTGTACATCTGTACATCTGTACATCTGTACATCTGTACATCTGTACATCTGCATCTGTGCATCTGCATCTGTACATCTGTACATCATCTGTACATCTGTACATCTGCATCTGTACATCTGCATCATCTGTGCATCTGTACATCATCTGTACATCTGTACATCATCTGTACATCTGTACATCATCTGTACATCTGTACATCATCTGTACATCTGTACATCATCTGTACATCTCTACATCTCTACATCTCTACATCTCTACTTCTTGAAGTTGTCCATGCTATAAATGCCTTGTTAGAAAACTTAAAAACTCAGGTCAATATTGATATTGGCTAAAGAATAATGTACAGTAGGCTTGAATGTACAGCAGGCTTGAATGTACAGTAGGCTTGGACAATGTGAATTAATATCCAATGAATCAAGACATCTAATGAATTCAAATTATTCAACTAATAAAGGATTCAGTTAATAAAGTAGATAATAAAGTAAAAAATGGAAAAAAAAGATTTCCGAGATTAAACCCTCAACCTTTTCCTTCAGCTTTTTACTTTTTGAACAATTTCTTTAATTATTGAGCTATTCTATTCGAGAAGAAAGAGGAAGAGAAAGGAAGGAAGAGAAAGGGAAGAGAAAGGAAGAAAGAGGAAGAGAAGAGAAAGGAAGAAAGAGGAAGAAAGATAGGGAAATGAAGCCACTTGGGAACTTTTTTGCAATTAATTGACTGGATATCCATTTCTAATGGGTTTGAGACGGAATTTGGGGTCTCCTATTAGAGCTTTCTATTAGAGCTTTCTATTAGAGCATTCTAATAGAGCTTTCTATCAGAGCTTTCTATCAGAGCATTCTATTAGAGCTTTCTAATAGAGCATTCTAATAGAGCTTTCTATTAAAGCCTTCTAATAGAGCCTTCTATTAAAGCCTTCTAATAGAGCCAGCTCTTCTATTAGAATGTTTACGGTAGTTAGAGAACTTGCAAACAGATTCTAGCAGATTATCCCGTTCCGACTCTTGATTGAACCTGGAGATGAGATTGAACCTGGAGATAAAAACTAGTAATAAAGTAATCAACTAAAGACTTCTATCTTCTTTGCTTCTGCTATTGCTAAGCTGTTGCTAAGCTGTTGCCAAACTATTGCTAATCTGTTGCCAAGCTATTGCAAAGCTATTGCCAAGCTGTTGCCAAGCTTTACTTTGTTCAGGTCTCGACTACAATCTTTACTCTCAACGATACGACGAATCTAGTGGCTCGAGATTCTCCACAAGCTGTGAGCTTTTGATCTGCCTTTGCTTTTGATCTGTCTTTGCTTTTCTGGATCTTGATCTACATCAGAGTTTGGTTCTTAAGTCTTCTTAAGTCAATAGGAAGTCTACTGTAGCTACTGTAGCCTCTGTAGCCTCTATAGTCTACTGTAGCTACTGTAGCCTTTACTGTAGCCTCTACTGTAGCCTCTGTAGCCTCTGTAGCCTCTGTAGTCTACTGTAGCTACTGTAGCCTCTGTAGCTACTGTAGCAACTGTAGCCTCTGTAGTCTACTGTAGCCTCTGTAGCTACTGTAGCCTCTGTAGCCTCTACTCTAACCTCTGTAGATCTAATGCCATCATTCAGTTACAGAGGGAAAACTCAACAGCTCCCTTCGAATACCACACTTCATCCCCTTATCCACCGGATGCTTTCAATGATACTCAGGTATCGGAAAAGCTAGAATTTCTCCAGATTTTGCTTTTCTCTAACACTTTTCTCTTTAGCCAATTTTGCAAACGATTTTGAATGAGAGCTTTGCCTTCCCGTACAGTACTTCTACACAATATCCTCTTGACGCTTTCCCCACTCCACAACCATTACCGAATACGACTGCTCAGGTACATTAGCTAGAGCTCAAGTAGCTCTAGCTCAAGTGGCTCTAGCTCAAGTGGCTAGAGCTTAAGGTGGCTCTAGCTCAAGGTAGCTAGAGCTCAAGTAGCTAGAGCTCAAGCAGCTTTAGCTCAAGTGGCTAGAGCTCAAGTGGCTTTAGCTAGGTGTAGCTAGCTAGACCTCAAGATAGCTAGCTAGACCTCAAGATAGCTAGCTAGACTTCAAGATAGCTAGAGCTCTAGCTACATCAGCTCAAGCTACATCAGCTCTAGCTCTAGCTACATCAGCTCAAGCTACATTAGCTAGAGCTCTAGCTACATCAGCTCAAGCTACATTAGCTAGAGCTCTAGCTACATCAGCTCTAGCCACATCAGCTCTAGTTCTAGCTACATCAGCTCAAGCTACATTAGCTAGAGCTCTAGCTACATCAGCTCAAGCTACATTAGCTAAAATAGCTAGAGAAATGATTAGAAAATCTACCGAACTATATCAAATTTATAGCCTTTTTGCTTAATAACTTTTAAAAAATAAGATAAAATGACAAAACTATCAAGTTTATATCAAAACTATCAAACTATCAAGAATTGCAAGATAATAGACTATTACTATTCCTTATTTCTTGGATAATCAATCAATTTTCATCAATTTAAGTTCAAAAGAAAACAAATCAAAAGATGGAGCGGTGATTCGAACAAAGTATATGGTTTTTGACTTGTCTTTAAATCGAATTGGAAGGATTCGGAAGAACTGTAGCCTCAATAAAGCTGTAGCATTCTAATAAGCTGTAGAACTGTAGCATTCTAATAAGCTGTAGAACTGTAGCATTCCAATAACGGATCATTTTACTAAGGGATCATTCCAATAAGCTATCATTTTATTAAGTTGTTCGGATATAAACAAGCGTTTGCATTGCTTAGCTCGTGAGGAAGCCTTTCCAATCTGATCGCCTTTCCAATGCTCATCAATGCTCATCAATACGGAGATGCAATAGTAGAATTAGAACATAGAAACTGTTGAGCAAGTTCACGCGTCGTTTGACGTAGATCCGATTCGATTGCAGCCCTCAAAGTATCGTTGTCTACCGCTAGAGGTCGACGAGAGTGTTCATGATCGACGAGAGTGTTCATCATCCTCGAGACTTTCACAACCATTCCGAAAGCGTCGGAACCCGGCTCGGCATCGGCTTTCGGACAATACATCATTCCTAAATGCTTTGATCATTGACCATTGATCATCATTGACCAAATCTCGATGGGATTCCGCGACTGTTTTGCTCAGTTTGAAGTCGTAAAGTAGGCAGACTCTAATAAGGCAGACTCTAAGGCAGACTCTAAGGCAGACTCTAAGGCAGACTCTAAGGCAGACTCTAAGGCAGACTCTAAGGCAGACTCTAAGGCAGACTCTAAGGCAGACTCTAAGGCAGACTCTAAGGCAGACAACTAAGCTAAGTTTAGCAACGCTTGTCTATATCCGAACAACCTAATAATAAGGTATTATTCTAATAAGGTATTATTCCAATAAGCTATCATTCCAATAAGCTATTCTTCTAATAAGCCGTCATCAGACTCATCAAAATTCTCGCCTCTCCACTTCATTTGATAAAAACTTCAATCAAATCATGAGTTTAAATCTAAAACTCTACCATAACCTTAGAAAAACTTTCTCCTTTTCAGCCAGATCTAGCAGTTGAATTGCTCTCTGCTGACGTGAACGCAACAACTGTTAACAACGTAACAACTGTGGCACCGGACGTAACAAATGCTACCGCCGAGACACCGCAAGAAATCGTGCAAGATGCGGTGAAACAAGTTGAGCAAAACATTCAAAAGGTGAGAAAATATTGAGAGTGAAAGGGTGTGCAAAAAGGAAAAATGAAAAGTTTAGCCATTATATTATGATGTTGGAACAGGTAACATCTAGCATCCTTTATGGTTCCTATTTGGTTCCTTTAAAGCTCCTTTAAAGCTCCTTTATAGTTCCTGTTTGGTTCCTTTAAAGCTCCTTTAAAGCTCCTTTAAAGCTCCTTTAAAGCTCCTTTAAAGCTCCTTTAAAGCTCCTTTAAAGCTCCTTTATAGTCCCTGTTTGGTTCCTTTAAAGCTCCTTTAAAGCTCCTTTATAGTTCCTATTTGGTAACAGGTAACATGACTTACACTTTTCTAGCACTTAGAACCTCTCTATCTTCTCCTCTCTTCTATTTCCAACATATTGATGTTTCAGGGAACAAATTACATATAACTCGTTATTCAACAGCGCAAAAATCATTGCAAACGGTCAACTGGGCGCGAAGGACGCGCGGACGCTAAACGCATAGCGCCAAACGCGAAACGCCAAACACTCAACGCTTCTCTATCGCAATATCTCTTGATAGAGAAGCGTTTGGCAAAAACTGATTGCAGATTCGGAATCAGCGTGAAAAACTGCATCAGATAGGATATTTCTCGAGTCAAAAGCGACAATAAGTTAACAAAATTCCTTAGTAAGACATCTGTCTATCTGTGCGCGCACTCCTCCGCGCCCAGTGGACCGTTTGCAATGATTTTTGCGCTGTTGAATAGCGAATTACATGTAGTTTCGCAATGTTTTTTTAAATCTTTAAAAGGCACGACTCAAGTCGCACGGGGAGGTCGAACCTGGATCATCTGGGCGATAGACTGGCGCGCTATCCACTGCTTCACAGCGATAAAAGCCATCCAGCACAGCGACAAAAGCCAGCCTAAAACATCCAGAAAAACCCAAGAAACCCGTTAAACCGGTTTCTTGACTCCTTTCTAGATATAACACATTGAAATCCCGAGTCAAATCCATTTGTACTTGGAATGAAATCCATTTCTAAACTTTTAAAAACAATTTCAGATCCCGTTGAGTAATCGTAAGCCGATTGCTGGCCGGCTCGCGAATGTTTTGGCTTCATTGCTCAATTTGGTGAGACGAAGATGAGAACTTTTGATTGAAGATCTTTGAAAGTAGAATTGTCTCTCTTTGTGTCTCGTTTTGATGAATCTCAGCGATGCTCAAATGTGGGTACGGTAGATTTTAGGATTACGGTAGTCAAGGAAGTCAAGTAAGGAATACAGTAAACAAAATAGCTACCCATCAGACTGTCTAGCTACCGTACTATGCTAGCTATCGTACTATGAATCTGTCTAGCTACCGTACTATCAATCTATCTACCGTAAATACTGTAATAGTACCCCACCCCCCTCGTACAGTCGCGTAAGTCGCAAAGTCGCGTAGTCGTTTTCTAGTATTTCACTTTTTGCAAAGTACGCGTACTTTCAAAAAATGCGTCTTTGGTATCAAAAAATAGCTGAAATTCAGGGCTATTTTTTGATACCAAAACGAGCATTGTAGCATAAACCAGTGTCGAGAAAAACTCGTTCAAAACTAGACTACGCAATGCTCCGCACCTTTTTTCACTTTTTTCAAAGCACCCGTACTTCCAAAAAATACCTTTTTGGTATCAAAAAATAGCTGAAATTCAGGGCTATTTTTTGATACCAAAACGAGCATTGTAGCATAAACCAGTGTCGAGAAAAACGCGTCCAAAGCTAGACTACGCAACACTCCGCCACCGTCATTATGGGGGATGGGGTACTATTACAGTATTTACGGTAGCTACCGTACTATGAATCTGTCTAGGTACCGTACTATGAATCTGTCTAGCTACCGTACTATCAATCTATCTAGCTACCGTACTATGAATCTGTCTAGCTACCGTACTCCCAAGCTGTCTAGCAACCTGTCTACTACCATCAGACTACCGTAATCCATTTCCCAAAAATCTACCGTACTTTCCCGTGTTCGAATCCTTTCATTTCACTATTTGTACATTACCATTTCACTCCGTTTTCCTAGTTTATAGCAAATTTTTTTTTTTCAAATTCATTCACAGATTCTCAGAGTCAAATTTTTTCAAAATTCTATCCATTTTCGCAATAATATGGGTCGTGTCGAATCAAAAAAATAAAAAAGAAAGAATAAATAAAGATTTAACCCGTATAAATCAATTATAAATCAATTAAATCAAAAAAAAAACATTGAAATTGTTCAGATCAGATCGGAATTCAGATCGAATTCCTTCTATTCCTTCAAAAAGCAATCAAAAAACATTCAATATTAAGATGATTTTTGAAGCTCAGTGAAAAGCATTAGGATGACGCCGATGAGAATTAGAAAACACCCGAAAAAGCCGCGCTGAGAAAGGCGCTCACCGAGGAATTGCCCTGAAAATCGAAGAAATAATAAGATTTATCGATTTTAATAGGGAATGAGCCGGGCAGATGCTAGGCGAGCTTGAGCCTGAGCGCTGAATTTTATAGAAAGGCGCTCACCGAGGAATTGCCCTGAAAATCGAAGGAATAAGAAGATTTATCGATTTTAATAGGGAATAAGCCGGGCAGATGCTATGCGAGCCTGAGCCTGAGCGCTGAATTTTATGCTGATTCCGAATATATATTCCGTTTTTGATAAATGAGAATCTGTCAGGAGGTAGAAGTGTTTAAAGTTTTCTTTTGAAAATCTGGTCTCAGCGGTCTCAGTTGAGTCTTAGTGGCTTTCTTGCGGTCTCGACTCGCTGCAGCCGTGGCCGGGTGGTAAAGCGCTCGTTTCTAGAGCGAGACCGGGCGAGTTCGATCCCGCTTCAGACCTTTCTTTTGCTTTTTGTTCAAGAAATGCTTGTAAATACGATAGCTCAAATGATTTTGGGTATAGTACTATCCGGTAGCTCATTTTGGGTACGGTATTAGTGTAGTTATTTCATTGGAAACCCGTTCTTCATTAGAATTCATTAGAATTCATTAGAATTCATTAGAAAGCTCAGAAAGAAAGCTCATTAGAAGTTCAATCGATTTAAATCAAAGATAAAAAGATTAGAGTGAAATTGATCAAGTATTTTTCCGCTGGGGACCTATTGACGCACCTATTGACGTCAGCACCTATTCCCAAGTCTACAGTAAGCCTTAAGCTAGCTACCGTACTATCAATCTGTCTAACTACCGTACTAACAATCTGTCTAGCTACCGTACTATCAATCTGTCTAACTACCGTACTAACAATCTGTCTAACTACCGTACTATCAACTTATCAAGTAAACCTTAAGTTACAGTAATCCAGCTAGACTACTGTAATCATTGCATATCGTTCTTCATTAGAAAGTCATCAATCTACTGTTATCAATCAATGATATTTCATTTGGAATCCGGTATACTGTAGCCAGTATACCGTACTGTAGCCAAAATACCGTACTCTACCTCTTTTACTATCGTAATCATTTAGAAACCGATTAAATTGATTAAAAATAGATAATCTTAAGTATCTTAAGTCTAAAGCTAGGCACTCAACAAGCTCCAAGCTCCAAGCTCTAAGCTCTAAGCTCAAATTTACCTGCAAGTGCCGCGAAAACGAATTGCAATGAGTTGACGGTGGGCACCACAATCGAGACGGGCAAACGAGCCACGAGAAAGGTGAAAGAGATCTAAAATAAAGCATTTCGACAATAATAATAAATAAGCTTTCGTCTTAAATTAATTCTTAATGTAAATGTCTTAATGTATTTTGAAAAAAAAACAAATGTACCGAGCCAAATTGATTGACGAGAAATGGAAGGAAAAAGCGCCAATTCGCCACCGTTGACAATGATTTTTGGAGAAATCCTTAAAATTTAATTTTATATTTTCTAAAAGGCACTAAAGGCTTTGATTGTCGTGAAATGAAATGGTAATCAAAAATACAGGGTGATTGAATTTTGATCTGATAAAGTTCCAATACGGTTCCAATACGGTTCCAATACGGTTCCAATACGGTTCCAATACGTTTCCTTTTTTGATCTAATACAGTTCCAATACGGTCCCTTTTTAGTTCCGATACGCTTCCAATACGGTTCCAATATTGTCCCTTTTTAGTTCCAATACGGTTCCAATACGTTTCCAATACGGTCCCTTTTTAGTTCCAATACGGTTCCAATACGTTTCCTTTTTTGATCTGATACAGTTCCAATACGGTTCCAATACGGTTCCATTGAATTGAATGAATTGAATGAATTGAATGAATTGAATGAATTGATTGAATTGATTGAATTGATTGAATTGATTGAATTGATTGAATTGATTGAATTGATTGAATTGATTGAATTGATTGAATTGAATTGAATTGATTGAATTGAATTGAATTGATTGAATTGATTGAATTGATTGAATTGATTGAATTGATTGAATTGAATTGAAAAATTGAAAAGTTTTGTCCACATTAATAAACGTATCTTTACAATAAAATAATAAAATCCCGTCGAGATCGAGTAAAATTAGACTTAAATTTAGAAAACTTAATTATACTTACCTTTCATCTAATGAATCTAACTATGTAAGTCATAGTTTTAAAGAAAAATCATTCTTCTTTCAGTCAGGTTATTAAAATTTGCTTTTAAGGAAATCAAAACTCATTTAGAAAAAGAATTGTAGAAAATTGGCTGAAACTGGCTATTGGATTCAGATTTGGTTGAGATTTGGTTCGATTTGGGTCAGATTTGGTTCATATATAATAAAGCTCAGACTTGGTTCATATATAATAAAGCTCAGACTTGGTTCATATATAATAAAGGTTAGATTCAGATTTGGTTCAGATACGGTTCAATTTAATGTTTGTGTGTTTAAAAAAGCGAAATTTCTTTTGCATCAACCTAGTAAATAAGTATCTACTATGTATAAAGACGCTCGTCTGTCTGTGTCTGTCTGTCTGTCTGTCGTCTTCTGTCCGTCCGTCCGTCCGTCCGATGCTTTTATTCGGGGAATTGAGCTAGGGGACTGAAAACTCCCATTTTAGGGTGAAAATTGGCTGATTCCGAATCTGAAGTCAGATTTTGAAAAAGTTGAAAACCCGCTGAGTTATGAAGTGGTGTTTCGTTAAATTTTTTGCAGCGCCACTACACGATACATCTAATTTTGACCATGGGAAATAATGCAAAAGCCGGATGCTTTTTGAAAAGCATCCGCGAAGCTGATAAATAATAATGCTTATTAATTTGCAAAAATATTAAGGTGCTAGCAAAAGCGCGAAATTATTTGCGCCAAAAGTTTTTGCGCCAAATTTCCACTTTTCAACACCCTTTTCTACCAACTCCGGTTGATCATTTATATTTTTTTCAGTTTTTCCTCGCTATTTTCATCTGAAAATGCCATAAAATCGATATGGAGAGTAAAAAGCTCAATAAAATGACTGTTTTTGACATAAAAGGACTGTTTTTGGAGGCTGTGTAGGTATTTAAACTTGTTTTTTTAATTGAAAACAGTGCGAACTGAAATTGTGAAGCAGAAAACAGAAACAGAAAAAGGGAAAAATGTTGGTTAGAAAGTTGGGAAAAAGTGATTTGTTACAGTGATTTTTATAAGCGTAAATTTGGAGCAAATGATACTCGGCGCAAATGAAATTGGAGCAAAGGATACTCGGCGCAAATGAAATTGGCGCAAAGGATACTCGGCGCAAATGAAATTGGCGCAAATGATACTCGGCGCAAATGAAATTGGCGCAAAGAATCTTGGCGCAAATGGAATTGGCGCAAATGGAATTGGCGCAAAGAATCTTGGCGCAAAAAAACGCGGCGCTTTTGCTAGCACCTCAAAATATATCATACCCGTCTCGTTTCCGGCACTCGAGCCGTACTTGGCACCGATTCTCATAAACGGATTCGTTGTGCCCCAAATCGCCGACACAAACAGCATCTCGAAAAGGCACCATCGATCGCACTCCATTCTCTGCAAATGCTGAGAAATATTAGTGCATAAATATTAATGCATAAATATTATTTTCGCTTTTTTGAATGCAATTCGGTAAACAAAACTCCAGTCTGAGCCTTGTTGTTGAGTCTAGTGAAAAGGCTACGCGCGAAAACTTTCACCGCTCACCCAATTCAAATGCTTTTCCCTGTCAAAGGCGCCTTGTTGTGTTTTGAATTTCCGATAAGCTTTTGATTTTTGTGAGATTTTTGTAAGATTTCATGTAATTTTTAAACTTTAGATATGAGTGAAGACGGTGAGTTGATCCCGGAGAACTTGAGGCGACCGGCGAGCAGCTCGACTGCCTCATCCCCGCTACAACGAACAATCGCCGACTACAATACGATTAAAGAAGTGAGTTTTGAGTGATTTTGCACCTTTGTCGTCTAAAGAAGTTTAAACAGTACTGTTGTATATCTTTGCAACAACATTTCATTTAAATACAGTAGAATAGTAAGCTTAAAAACATTGTAGTAAGGGTGAATTAACTTACTAAAGACTGTCATTTCACTGTTTAAAAGAGCTGCAAGCTGCAAACTTGGCAGATGCAGATGGCAGAAAGCAAATGGTGGCAGATATAAAGATGCAAAATATCGATTTTTGTTTCGGTTTTGTATTAAAAACCGACTGTAGAGTTGAATCGGTGAGCGGAATGTGTTAAACAAGTGCGGAATTTGTTAAACAAGTATTAAACAAGTGCGGAATGTGTTAAACAAGTACAGAATGCGTTAAACAAGTGTTAAACAAGTGCAGAATGTGTTAAACAAGTGCAGAATGCGTTAAACAAGTGCGGAATTTGTTAGACAAGTGCGGAATGTGTTAAACAAGTGATGTGAATGGTTATAATTCATTTCTTTAGATAGGCGAGGGATCATTCAGCACCGTCTACCATGCACGCGAGATGTTCGAGACAAGACGAGACGTTGCGATCAAAATGTGCCTGAAGCAACAAATTCTACGCCAAAAACGAGTAAGCTTTGCGTGGGCTTTTCTGTATGAAAAATTAAATCTTCATTTAGATTGATGCGATTATGCGAGAGAAAAACATCTTGGCTCGTTTGTCGACGAAGGAAAATATCCACCCGTTCATCGTTGGCCTCTATTGCACGATTCAGGACACCGATCATCTCTATTTTGTCTTGACGTATGCTTCAGGTAAACGATTTTGCTTTAATCTTTCTGTAAAACCTTAATGTTTTAAAAAAAACCTTAAAAAAAACCTTTTAAAACTTTAAAAACCGTGTTTGCTGCCAAAATTCTATTCAAAGCACCACAGATTAGTTGTTTATTTTAGAAGGTGATCTGGCTACGATTCTGAAGAAGTTGCCGAACAGACGTTTTGATGAGGCACAGGCACGCTTTTATACGGCTGAACTTGTGGAAGCTTTAGGTATTGGAAATTGTTGAAATTTTACAAAACCTGTCTCAGATCATATACACTCTCTTGGAGTCATTCATCGTGATGTTAAACCGGATAATATTTTGATACAAGTTTGTTTTACACCGTAGCTTTTTAAAAATTTATTCTAGGCATCAGGTCACATTCTTCTTTCGGACTTTGGATCAGCGAAGGAACTTTCTGCCATAAAAGAGGCGCCAGCAGAGTAAGTGCAAAGTTTACAGATTATTCCATTTGGTATTCCATTTGGTAACTTTAGAAATCCGCCCGATGATCGACCGAAAAGACGAGCATCTTTTGTCGGCACAGCTCAATTTGTGACACCAGAGGTTCAACGATTTCTTATCTGAAAGCTAGTAATAATTTAGATGTTGAAAGGACAACCTGTAGACGAAACATGCGATTATTGGGCTGTAGGCGTTAGTTTGTTTCAATTCTTGACAGGTAATTGAGTTTTTTTTTGATTATGTTAACATTCATTTTTAGGTCATCATTGTTTTCACGATGAAAGCGAGTATCTAATTTTTCAACGAATACAGGTACTGTGAAAGCTTTTTACTACTTTTTACTGTGAAAGTTATTTTAGAAACTACTCTACAAGTTTCCAGAAGATTTTCCGGAAAATGCTCGTAATTTAGTCGTAGATTTACTTGTGTTAGAGGTTAGTTTTGTGTTTTATATTTTGGTAAGCGTTTGTAGAGTAATCGGTCGACAAATCACCGCTTAATAAATACCGTATCAAATCTTATTTAGCCTTATAATCTTATAAATCTTATTTAGCCAAACGGACGACTTGGAAGCAGTGAAAGAGGTGGAATTGCTGATCTGAAGTCTCATCCATTTTTCGAAGCGCTCGATTGGAAGAACTTGACATCAAGCGAACCACCAAAGTTGAACTTAAAAAAAAGATAACATTTTGTTTTTTTCGTTGTCATGTTTGTTTTTTTCGTGTCAATCAATGTTCAAATTCAATTTTATTCTTTTATGAATGTAAGTTAATTGCATACGTTTGCCTGTGATAGTAATAATTTCATGTTTTAGTTGTTTTAGGTGCTGAGTAGTAAATATTAAAGAATGAAATTCTATAAATTGCGGTGAAAGCCATATCTTATTACCTATTTTATCATTCTTGAGAAAAAGTGGAGAAATTGATGAACCTCTTTCAGAAATGCGGGTCAAAGTTAACAATCCGCTGATGGCGGTTGGGCTTGCTCAGTTCGCATTGAGTCTACTACAGGTTTGGGTTTTTAGCGTAAAAATTACATAAACTGCTAGGTGGTGTTCATGTTCTTCTACGTAAAAGTGTACCTCAATGTTTTTCACGTCTCGCAATGGTAAGTGGGTTTTGTGTTTGCAACTTTCTGTGACTTCACTCACTGAAATGAAGCTTTTAGGTGGTTCAGTCTTGCGCAGATGGTGTTCATGGTTTGTTTCTCATGATTCATTACCAAAATCACAACAACGGGTAAATTTTAGTTTTGGAATGCGATCAACGATCCGTTATTTGGATATCTACAGGTTACTAGAGCTTGAATTTAAATTTTTATTTGACAATTTTAGGACAGTCATCCAGGATGGTTGGGATCTCGGACTCAAGTCATCACTCGATTTACCCCCTTTCTTTGTGGCGCTTTTTTGTTTTTATGGTTGGTGTCTTGACGAGAAGAGCTTGATAATACATATTAAAGGTTTCCTTGGGATACAACCGGTTCATGGCTCGAGGGTGTTCATCTTATTGCCGCTTTGTGCTTGTATGATGCATTCTTTAGGTAAACATTTATTTTGAAAGTGTATAACTGTATTTAGTGCGATGGGTGTGGCCTGGTCGGCACTGTTTGCGGAAACAACTCCCAATAAAGAAGCTCGCGCTGCAGCCATGAAATACTCACAAGTTTGAAATCAATGCTTTTCAAATAATTGAACAATTCTAGTTTGCCATTTTATTCTCAGTGAATGGAATCGCGATCATGGAGAAAGTTAGTCACAGTCTAGAGGTATTAAATGTTTGTTAATTGTGAACATTTTTTTTTTCCTAGAATTTTGGCAATTTCCAAATCGTGGCAGGATTTATGGCGGTATTGGCATTCTTTTGCCTTCTGAGCGCTGGTACTTATCGACCAACGTTACCCGTTCATCGGTACTTATTAATTGGCATAATGTATAGTTAATCGTTTAAGAGAAGAAGACTCGGATCGAGAAGGCTTGTTGGTAGGTTCTTCTATGGCTGCAGAGCGTCCAGAAAACGAAAACGGTTTTTATGCTCATTTTCGGACGCTAAATGACACTAAAATTTAGATGGTGGATCATGGGAACACGCGTGGAAGCTAACTAAGCAGACCTTATATGAGAAAGATTTTGTCGTTATCACAGCTACCAATTTTCTTCACATCATGAGGTATTTTTTTTCTTATTTGCTTTCTTTAAAAATCTTTTAGAAGCATTGCTCATTTAAATTTCGCTTCAATATCCACAGAGCTACTGATTCCGCAAGAAATTTTGCCAAAAGGAAGCCTGCGTTTGAGCATTTTCTATGGCCTTTGTACGCTTGGACCTCAAGTTTGTATTGACATTACTCATTAATTAACATTACTCAAAACATTACTCATTAATTCATTAATTTTTATCATTTAGGCGTTTATCATTGGTCTGGAGAGAGTCGTAGTTGCATTGGGGGCTGGACGCCTATTGCTTTTGAGGTGGTTTTTCCGTTGAGCTTTTAAAATTCTCTTTTAGTTACCTTTGCTCAATCGCTTCTGCTTTGGTGTTTGCTTTCTTCAAAGACTATCCATATGGTGAAGTTTGAGAATAATAATCTTTATACTATTTTATATTTAAAAACTTGTGCTTTTTTAGGTGTGATGTTGTTCATGTTGGTCGACGCGTAAGTTTAAAAAAGTATTTCTGATAAAAGTTGATTTAGGATAACTGTGCACTCGGCTCAACCGCTTTTCAACATTCTATTTTCTGACTACATTGATGGAGACAAAGCAAGATACAGTCGAAAGTAAGGGATGTTATTCATTTACCTTTTTCATCACGTTTTAGGAGCCCTATATCTTCTTTCGTCTTTGCTTTAAACGCATTTTTCACAAAGGTTTGGCGTTTTCTTCTTTTTAAAACTTTAATTTTAAAATTTTAGCCAGCTCAATCCGTGGCTCCTATCCTTATTGTTTTTGTTCTTAATCATTATGGCTATCAGGTAGAATTTTTTATTATTCTTTAAAAAAAATAACCTTTATACTATTTTGTATTTAACAAACTTGTGCTTTTTTAGGGTTTCCTTCTCAGTCATGTGCCGACTAGTAAACTACAAAATGCTGTTCAATATGTGCTCTATGGAACTCCATTAATTTTGGGCACTTTGCAGTATTGTCTCTTTTCTAATTACTCATTAATATCTCGCCCACCAAAGAGTTATGTGATTTAATCGTTCTTGTGTGATAGTGTTAAATGCTTTAATGACTAATAAAAACGGGTAATAAAACCTCTTTTTTGGTATGTTTAAAGTAATCTGTGATTTGGGCTTGTGATGTGGTAACATTTGAATATAAAGATGCATAATTATTGATTCAAATTAATTACTGATTTTATGGATACAGTCCAATTGTTTCTCATCGACTTGCTCTTTGTACATTTATTCATGTTATTTTTAGATGCTATCAACTCTTCATGCGGTGAACGAATTAAAAGCATGGGTGCCTTGTTCGCTTCTTTCATTTTCAATGGTTGGTTTGATACTTTCTATTCTTAGAAAGTAGAAACAATACTAGGAAACTTTTAGGAAATGATCAAATAACTATTATTTTAGGTTCCTTTCGCTACTTGTGCATTGGGCATCGGTGCGCTTTCGTGGGTTACGCCAAAATCAGTCTTTGTGGTGCTTTATTTCTTGATAAACCAATTTATTAGAAGTTTAGAAAATGGATAATACCCTCTACCAAGCGTATATGCGATTGTGTCTTTTTGTATTTGAAAATATTGCAGGTATGAAGGTGAGAACTTTAAATTGGAATATGTGAAAAGTTTTTAGATGCAATTTCGTTAAGACCTAATGATAATATTTTAGGTTTCACTATCTGGAGACGTCAAGGAATTGAAAGAAAACAAGGAACGTGCTGTGATCATCTCTAATCATCAAACAGATGGTGCGAAAGAATTTTTTAGAATTTCCACAAACAATTTTAGTTGACTGGGCAATAATTACACTGATAGCGGCTCGGCACAATGAGGCAATGGGCGGAAATGAGAAAAGTTTTCGCGTGATGGTCAAGAACGCTATTCACTACGTACCACTGTTTGGTTGGTACATTTTTCAGGTCTTGAAACTTTTATTTTATGTTATTGCAATAGAAAATGAAAGTTTAATTTGGTAATCATTCGTTTTAGCATGGATACATTTATGTTCGACGATTTGGAGAATTTATTACCTCTCCGGTGTTGCGCCAATTAGTTTGGTTGGATTCTTTGCCCGATCCATATTGGTTGTTGATTTTCCCGGAAGGAACTAGGTTTGAATGCTTTTTTTTCTTTCATTTTAAAATTTTTCATTTAGATTCACTCGTACAAAGCCCAAGTTGATAGCTGAAAGTCAAGAATTTTGCCGTCAGAAGGTGCAACTTTTGTAATATTTAACATTTCGTGTCAATTTAGGGTTATCCCGTCTTGAGAAACGTGCTAACGCCAAGAAGTGGAGGACTACAGCTGGCACTGGATAACTTGCGCACTTTGGAAGGAGTCTACGATATCACAATAGCATATGGACAAACAAGGTATACTATTTTTGTTTTTTTGTCAAAAATGTTAACGAATAAGATTTAGGCTACCAAATCGAGCTGGACTTGCTCCTGGAATGTTCGAATACGTTTGCGGCGATAAAGAACGACATTTACATTTGCATATACGAAGGTAAAGAGTTTTTTTAATTCACAAATAGGGTTGTTTTAGGTTTCCAATCGCTCAAATTCCGCGTGATCGTGATGCACTCAGACAATGGCTTTTTGAAAGATATCAAGAAAAAGACAGGTAATTTTGTTTGATAATGTTTTGTGGAGATTAGTGACTGATTAGCATTTACTTAGGTTGATGGATCAATTTTATGAAGTTGGCCATTTCCCTGATGTTTTGATCGAAGACGAATTGCCAATCTCACTTAATCGAACTCTACCACCAACATTATTCTTTGTTGGCGCTTTGGTGCTACCATTTTTCTCAAAAAAGGTTTTGTTGCACTGCTTTATTTAACATTAAAATTTTCTAGGTTCGAACTGCATACCTGTGCACGATCGCCTCGTTTCCTTTACTCATCGGATGGCTCAAAATACGAAAATGTGTATAGGGACTATGATTGTAATAGCTTTAGATATTTTAGATGGTTTTCTTGGTTATTTATTTTTTTTTGTATATTTTAGGAATTTATTTTTGCTTATGCTCAATGACTAATTAACTCAAATTTGTTGTGCTATATTTGTTTGTAAATTAATGGTTGAAATTGTTAATAAATGTATTTCTTTTAAGGAAATTTTAACTAAAGGCTGGGATAACCTGATGAATTTTTAAAATCTAGTTAGATCTCTATTTACGTGTTGTTTAAAGTAGACTTGATTGTTGTAAAAAAACTTTTTTCAGGATGGAGCTAACGCGCAAGATTGCGAACCTCGAGGCGGTGATACGACAAGAAATGACGCGAATTGCGGGCGCATTTCACGACTCTTACGAGAAGTTCATTCCCTGTTTGAAAGCGACTCGTCTCGACAGGGCAGACTCCCTTCAAAAGCTGATCGAAGAAGTTCGTTTAAATTTTGGCTCTAGAATTCACTCGTTTGCGTGCAAAATTTACTTACTGGTTCAACAAAACTCGTATTTAGATCTCGCAAAAGTTGAACGATATTGATGGCACGTTGAATGGGCTTGACGTCTCATCGGCTAAAGAAGAGGTGATTCTTTTGAGTACGTTCAAAAGTTCTTTTATCTTTTTTTTTAGTTAAGCGAGCTGCAACAGCAATTGGAAAGTATTCGTGAGGCTCGCGGTTTCGTCGAATCAATTGAAGAAGTTGAACGCCACCTCGTGAAGGCATACGTCGTTGAAGAGGGAATTCTAACAAGAGCACGCACGGTTCATGATGCTGTAGAGGCTTTGCAGTCAGCAGAGAAGGTTTTTTTGAAGGTCTTCATGCTGAATTACCATAATATTTAGAGTGCCGAGATTTACGGGGTTGAGCATAAAATCTGCGGTTCACTTGCTGCTGAGGTTCGATTGGTTTAGACTCGCTCCTAATGGTCTCTTTTAGGTTCGAAGCCAACGCGAGTATTTGTGCTTTCTTCTTTCGGAATACTACCGGAATGCCGTCGAATTCTCCGGAGAAAGTTCGAAACATGTGGTCTCTATTGGATTCAAACTTGGTCCATTTGTTGATGCGTCAGAGGTTGCCTTTGTTTTTATGGTTCGTTTAGGGTATGGTTTTCATTTTAGCATTTTGCGGCAATGGCTGAAGTGAAGCAATTGGAGCCACGTCTTCATAAACTTGCGGAATTTATTACGGAAAAGATGTGCACGGCTATCATTTATGGTGGTGGCGGAAATAATGTTGTGAAAGTGAATTTGGATGACATTTTGGTAAGCTAATTTAGGAGTTTTTTTTTTTAATACATTACATTACATAATCTAGTAATTTAAGGAGCAAAAGCAGATAAAAGTGCGCCTACCAACAAAGCAAGAGAAACACGATCCACTAAATGCAATTGAAGTTTTTGGGTATCGATTTAATCTCTTATTTTTTATGCAAAAGTTTAGGGCTCTTGACAAGCTTTTTCAAGCTATTTCTTCAATTCTTGCGCCAATTGTCGTTCATCAACAATCGCTTCCCATCTTTCTTGGCAAACACATTGAGAAGCCACTGATGAGCCTTATATTAAAGGTTGGTAATATTGGGTTTTGAAGTTAGCATTCGTTTAAGGAAGTGATCAGCGTTTGCATTCCTGCTCTCTCGCGTCCAGAGGATCCCATTGTGGCAGAAGTGATGGCTGCAGCTGAGGCTTTTCGTGGAAAGCTTATCGAGTATACGTTCTTCAATGATGCCTCACCTACATTCACGAATTTTGCTCAATTCAACGATCGAGTGTTTATTGATCGCAGGTGATACCACTTTTCTATATAATAATAACTACTTATGTTTTAGATGTATGCAAGTGTTGACTAAAGCTCGCGAGCTGATACTAAAGCCATACGTGAAGTTGGTGCCCGTTGGCTATGGTAAAGAGTTGCTGGAAGAAACGGTTGAGGACTTTAAAAATGTATTATACATATTTGATTTAAAAGTCAATGAGGCTTTTAGCTTGGTTGGGATCCGAAGTTCAGCATTGAGAGTGGCGATGAATCTATGCCTTGCTTATTGGGGTTGAACCTGTGTCAAGTTAGTAAATTTTGATCAGATCCTAGATCTAACGGCATTTAGGTGAGTGAATCGGTGGTGGAGCTGATGAAAATTGTCGAGGATACCCTCAAACAAGCTGCGCTAAGCGATAATGAGGTAATAGATTGTTTTTTAGTAAGTGGAATATCATTTTTAGATGGCTTTCAATCGGTTGGCCCTCACAGCCCGCAACATTGTTCAACTTTTTACCCTTATCGCCTACAGGCAGCACCGCGACGCTATCAGCAGTATTCCACAACAAGCAGGTTTGATTTGTGAGGGATGTTTATTATTATTTATGTTTTTTTTTCAGCGGTCTTTTTCAACAACTGCTATTTCATTGCTCATCGAGTCATCATGCTGCCATTTGCAGTTTTCCGGGATTTTGATCAGAACAAAGTGGGCTTATTTTTTTGTTTTGTAAAATGGCAAAGTTCAAATTTAGTTCGAAATTTATCGTCCAATGTTCGCTGAAAACATTCCGCAACTACGTGAATTGGCTGCCAAGGTTGGAAGTTTTTTTTGTTTCAGAAACCTTATTCATGTTCATGGTTAGGCGCTTGAAGATCTGCTGGCACAGTGTCGTCGCAATCTCTCTGGGGAATTCGTCGACAGAACGCGTGAGTTAAAAAAATTAAATTTTACGTTATTTGATTTATTTAGTCTTTGCATCATCAAACCCTCGTGGAGACAAGTTGCGAGATCGGCGAGTGGCCAAAACTCTGCATCGATGTGTGGAGCAAATCTCAACAGTTGCAGCGTCTTTCAGAGAGGTATGTATGCCAATTTTTAACGTCTAAATACCATCTATTTTGTAAGGTTATGGTGGCGACAATCTACACTCGATCGATTGCAAATTTGGTGACTTTCATGCTCTGTGAAATTGGCGAAACTGTATGTTTCCTTATGGATCTGACATGAGATTTGAACTTTTTAAGATTCTATCGATGGAAGACATTTGCCAATACGATGCTAATCAAATGGCCATTGAGATACAACGAGTCATCGACGAGTTGATGCCTTTGTTCCAAGTGGGGTTTCAACTGTTGAATTTGTTCAGTTGCGATTTTCAGATTGAAGACTATAATGCGATGCACAAAATGTGCTCGCAAGCCTTGTTCCGAATCAAAGAGGTTGCTTTTTGTCTCCAGGGATCCCTTCAGGTTTTTGTTCTTAATTTTGCTAATTCGCTTCTTTTTTTCTGTTCTAGGGAATCGATGATCGTTGGTGCGACGGAAAGGGTCCATTGGCTGATCTTCTCAACGCGTCCGAGGTTCGTCATTTGGTGAAAGCGCTCTTCTCAAATACCGATCAACGCAAGCAGCTTCTTGTAAAAATTTCGTAATCACTTGTTGCTGATATGTGCCTCTTGTTTTTTGTGTTGCTCAATCCATTGAATTAAGTTCACTTAATTTATCGAGTTTCTTTTATCCTGTAATTTCATATTCCTTTTTGATCTCTTTTCCTTTTCGTTTGATTTGTATGGGTCACTTGTGTTATTGCTAGGTACCGGTGTCATTTTTTTTAGTACTCTTTGTGGATAATTATTACCTCTCTTCACGTAAATAACAGATAAGTTTATTCACATAACGCGAGCAAGAGTGAAAAACAAAACGAAAAATGATGAGATAAATGGTAAAATGTTTGCGGCTCCTTTGTCTTTTGGTGGTTTCTCGTCTTTGACGACTACATATCTCAATAGAAATCCGCTTTTAGTGTCTTTGTCGGGAGTCCACATCACCTGAAAGTATGATTCAATGAAAGAATGAGCACAGTAGAAGTGCACAGTACAAAAGTCAGGTCTATGTTTTGGTTTTGAACTTATTACACATCATGAAACCCCCGACCTTTAGCTGTTTTCCCAGACCGCCGACATCCTCTACTTTTGTGATTGGCTTGGTGAAACTGAAATTTGTTTGAAAAACTGCTCGCTCTTTTATCTAGCCACAATTCTCGGCCGAAACCCACTTTTGCTCGATGTTCCCCGCGAAAAGCACCAAAGATCCCGAGGTACCCGGATCAGAGCTGATGACCTCGAAAACGACAATGGCTTCATCTAAAAATGGGTTACTGTAAAATGAGTTACTTTTTAAAACAAACCACTCCATGAGGCGTTCATCGACAGACTTGGATGAGTGTCCAGCACGGAAGCGGCGAAGTTCCCCGGATACTCTGGGCTCATCATAAAACCGGAAGCCGTTGGCACGAGTTTATCGGTGTTGTCTAGAAAATTGTACTTTGAGCTCTAAACACAGCCTCTCTGGCACATTCGAGCCGAGAAAGTTGAAGTATTTCAAGTATTTTGAACTACAAACCCAATTCCGTTGTGACGACGAGAGTGGCCTGGCAATTGGGCGGAATGATGAAGGTGGCTGCTGGAGTGCGCACGACGCTTTTGCGATACGTTGGCAGGGTTGTCGAGCTGGGGAAATTGTGGATTTTGTTTTGTGGATTGAGATTGAGATGAAAAATTCTCACTTTTTTTTTCTTTTTAATAGAAATCTCTTACTTGAAATCGTAGAGAAGGTATTTCTGTCGACCGGCATCGCCCGGAATACCCGAAATGAAGAAATCGATTGTGCAATTCGTTGACTAAACTTCGGAAAAAGTACAACAACTTTTTGGATACTTTGTACTTTGTACTTTGAAATTGTAAACACACCCCTTTTCTAGTGCACTGATTTCTTTGCTTTTCTTGCTTTTCTTGCTTTTGATTGCTTTCTTTCTTTTCTTTCTTTGCTTTCTTTGCTTTCTTTGCTTTCTTTGCTTTCTTTGCTTGATCTTGCGCCTTTGTGAGAAAAACGAGGAATTCAATGCGCTAGAAAGTTGGCGTTTACATGTGTTTAAGCAGAAAGTACATAAAGAACCAAACCAAATCGTTGACTGTGGCTGTGAAAGTGGCTTGGGTATTTGGCGAAATGTAGGAGTAGGCTTGCTGTGTGTTGGTGGCTTTCACCGCTGAATTGAAGCTGCCATTGTCCTCGAGCACGAGAATCGTGTGCGGGAAATTGCGATCTGCGGTTTCTGCAAAAAAAATTGAAGTAAAAACTCTTTGACTGTCGTCTTTGTGCTCTTTGTGCTCGAAAATGTGTAAACGAAGCCTTTCTGGCACACGGGAAAAGCCGTTTATCGTTATTCTCCGTTCTCATTCATCTGCGTTGGTGGTGAGCGTTTACAAAGCGCTTTGATAAAAAGTACAAAGATATCGGCTTTGATACGAAGTGTACTTTGTGCTCGAAAAGTGGAAAAACAGCCTTTCTGGTGCATTGGAATTCGAGAAACAAACTTGATTTTTCTGTGGATCGAGTGAATGAGAGGGCGAAGAGGTAATTCGTGTTTTTGTCCAAATCCACTGTCACATTCGGGCCAAAATAGCGACCGGTTAGTTCTTTGGATCTGAAGATACCGTAATCTTGGATCTTGTCTGTTTGTTTGTCTGTCTGCTTGTTTGTTTGTCTGTCTGCTTGTCTGTCTGTTTGTCTGTCTGTTTGGCTGTCTGTTTGTCTGCCTGTTTGTCTGTCTGTTTGTCTGTCTGTTTGTCTGTCTGTTTGTCTGTCTGTTTGTCTGTCTGTTTGGCTGTCTGTTTGGCTGTCTGCTTGTCTGTCTGTCTGTTTCTCTGTCTGTCTGTCTGCTTGTCTCTTTGTCTGTCCGTCAGCTTGTCGGTCTGTCTGTTTGTCTGTCTGTCATTACGATAAGTCAATTCAAAAATTTCCCCACGAGACACTCAATCCGGCCGCATCTTTGACAACGAAATCGGTGAGTCTCGAATCGTTTGCCCACAATTGCACGTAAATTGTGCAATCTGTGCAATCGGCTGTCACGACGAGGTCCTGAATGAAACAAAATTGATTTGATTTGAATTTGATTTTGATTTGATTTTGATCGCGATCACCAAACCTGTGCCCTTCTCAATCTCATCCCGTGAATGAGATACGATCCATCGACACTCGTTAGCGTGATCGGCTCGGCTTGTGTGCCTGGAAACTGGAGTAGAGTACAGTTTTCAGCTGTGGAAAGGCTAATGGGATTACTGTACTCTGGCCTAGTTACAGTTACATGTTAGTTACTAGTTACATTGATTTCCTTTGACCAGGATTGTGCAAAATCTTAATGAATAACTCACCAAGTGCTGCTAACAAAAAGAAGAAGAAGAATTTCATCGTGAGATCAAGGAAAATCGGCTCAAATGACGAGTGGAGAGAATTGCCCGATTTCTGTGAGAATTGCCCGATTTCTGTGAGAATTGCCCGATTTCTGTGAGAATTGCCCGATTTCTGTGAGAATTGCCCGATTTCTGATGAATGCGTTGACCCACGTCTATTTGCGCTCTCCGTTTTTTTTATTTTTTTTTATTTTCCTCTTTTTTTTGAGCGAAATATTTGAACATTTTAGGCGATTCCCATTCAAATTCGAGATTTTTATGGTCCACGCAATTCTATTCAGAAAAAATGACTCAGAAAGAAAGGTTTTCGTGATTCCCCGTGAAGACTCATCCGATTGATCTTTTGAAGAACTTTGCAGAACATGAAGAACATGGGAAAGTTTTTATGCAAAAATTATTGTAAAATAGGAATTACGATTGTAAGCGTCAATAAAAATAGGCAATGGGTTTTTTTTTTCTTGGTAATCTTATGGAAATTTATCGAAAAGGTAATTCGTTCTCTTGCCCAAATCCATTATCACATTCGGCTAGTTAGGGCCAAAATAACGACCAGTTAGGGCTTTAGATCGGAAATTACCGTAATCTTGAATATTTTCTTAGTCTATTAGTATAAGATGGTACTGTAAACATGTGCCAGTCTAGCCAGCCAGCCAGCCAGCCGGTCCAGCCAGCCAGTCCAGCTAGTCCACCCAGTCCAGCCAGTCCAGCTAGTCCAGCCAGTCCAGCTAGCCAGTCAGCCAGTCCAGCTAGCCAGTCAGCCAGCCAGTCTAGCCAGTCCAGCCAGCCAGCCAGCCAGTCCAGCTAGCCAGCCAGCCAGCCAGTCCAGCCAGCTAGTCCAGCCAGTCCAGCTAGCCAGCCAATCCAGATAGCCAGCCAGTCAGTCCAGCTAGTCCAGCTAGTCCAGCTAGTCCAGCTAGTCCAGCCAGTCCAGCTAGTCCAGTAGCCAGCTAGTCCAGCCAGTCCAACTAGCCAGCCAATCCAGCTAGCCAGCCAGTCCAGCCATTATTACTCTTCGTCAGCAAGGAAAAACACTTACAAAGATACTCAAATCTTGCAGGAAAAGAGTAGTGTTTTTCGTGCTCTGAAGCGTTTCAATAAAAAACTGGATTCAATGAAGATCGTAAAGGACGAGATCAACCAAAGACTGTCAACAATTCAACAAAACAACAAGACGGTGCTCCATCTCACAAGGCTGTTGATACACAAGGTTGAATCTCCAACAATGAAACAACGTTGCAAATGACAGGCGATTACTGGCCAACATTGGAAGATCCTCCTCACGGATGAAAATTGGTTTAATATTGAGCAGAACCATCAGAACGATCGAGCTTGATCCAAACCTCTACCGTTAGACGACAGAATTGTTTCAAGACAACAAAAGCCTCAACAAATCATGGTTTTTTTGTGTCACTATGCTCGATATGCTTGAAAAAGAAGTTTTGCCTTGGTCTCAAGCGCTCAAGCGCACTTTCGTGCTAATAATGATTGGGTTTTTTCAACAAGACGGTGCTCCATCTCACAAGGCTGTTGATACAAATCCCCAACAGCTTCCTAGATTGTATGGATGTCAGTCAACAGTCAAGTTGATTGCATTGTAAACAACGCTCAGGCGAATGGCCATCAAACTCGCCCGATCTCAATCCCTTAGATTACTGGCTGGCTAGTTGCTCAAGACGATTACTCAAAATGGTCGATTTTTGATCTTTCTTCGCACTTAGGTGTTTCTATTTTGCGCAGATCACAACCTGCTTCCACTTTTCTCTATCTCTTGCTCTTGTCGTTCATCTTGCTTGGTTCATCACAATCGATCTTGGTTGTTCTTGGACCGGAGTCTTCGACTTGCTTGTGCTGGTGGTTGGCCACTCTAGCCATCCTTTCTCTGATCATCGCCACTCTTGTGCTCCATCTCGTTGCTGGTCTTCCGATGGACCACTGGTCTCGTAGCCACTCTGTGATCTGTATCGTCCAACTGTCGTCTGTTCTTCTGGCAACAATATGATCGATTCTTTAAAGCAAGGCATTTGCCCACAAAGCAATTGACTTCATGAAACGATCAAGGCATGCAATGAGATCTCTATCAGCACCATTGCAATGAAATCTCTATCATCATCTCTATCATCATCTCTATCAGCCTAAGTCATTTGATGATTCCCCAACGCGCTTACCAATATATTAATGTTAATGTTGAAAGACTTTAAAGATTTTTATAGAGATTTAAAACGTGACTACCTATTCAAACTACCCAAGAGCCGAAGCTATTGCCCTTTTGACCCTTTTGAGTGATCAAAAAGACTCTTATCACTAAAAATAGCGCTGAAAAGGGATTTCTGAACGAAAAACAGCGCTTTAGCGGTTGTTTTTCATCAAAAACTAACGAGATTGCTGATGAAATTCATTCTTTGCCTAACTTTATTCCATTTCATTTCTTCATTGAATATCTTTATCTATTCGCCTCGTTATGGTCATTCGCACTCAAGTTTTATGGGGAAAATCGCAGACATTTTCGTGGAAGCTGGGCATAAAGTGGTAGATTTGTTTATAATATAGATAAGTAAGCAAGGAAGGAAGCAGGGAAGGAAGCAGGGAAGGAAGCAGGGAAGGAAGCAGGGAAGCAAGCAAGGAAGCAATGAAGGAAGCAAGCCAGCTAGCAAGGAAGCAAGGAAGCGAGTAAGCAAGCAAGGAAGGAAGCAGGGAAGGAAGCAGGGAAGGAAGCAAGGAAGCAAGCCAGCTAGCAAGGAAACGAGTAAGCAAGGAAGCAGAAAGCAAGGAAGCAAGCAAGCAAGGAAGGAAGCAAGGAAACAAGCAAGGAAACAAGCAAGCAAGCAAGCAAGGAAGCAAGCCAGCCAGCCAGCAAGCCAGCCAGCAAGCCAGCCAGCCAGCCAGCAAACAAGCCAGCCAGCAAGCAAGCCAGCCAGCAAGCAAGCCAGCTAGCCAGCCAGCCAGCAAGCCAGCCAGCCAGCAAGCCAGCCAGCCAGCCAGCCAGCCAGCCAGCCAGCCAGCCAGCCAGCCAGCCAGCCAGTCAGCCAGCCAGCCAGCCAGCCAGCCAGCCAGCCAGCCAGCCAGTCAGCCAGCCAGTCAGCCAGCCAGCCAGCCAGCCAGTCAGCCAGCCAGCAAGCAAGCCAGCCAGCCAGCCAGCAAACAAGCCAGCCAGCAAACAAGCAAAATAAGCAAGTGGTTGATAGTTTAACACATTCACGACGAGCGTACAGTCACGTAGTCATTAACTATCGTTTAGAATAGCTTTTAACAGCTTGTGAAACTTTGAATTCATTTGGGGACGATTTTTTGAGTCCTCGATTTTTGGATTGAAAAATCTCGTATTAAAAGCATTACTTTTTTGAATAGATTATGATATTCTTCTAATAGATTGTCAAATAGCTATTAAACTAACAAATAGCCGCTAGTTTGTTTAGATCCAATCCATTAATTACTCTCAGATCGTCCTCCAACCGATCATCATCGATCAACTCCAGGAAACGGGCACAAAGTTGGCAGAGGTACAAAAAGCTGTTGTAAACTAGAAATTTGATATCCCAGATATCCCAGAAGGGCTATGACGAATAAAATGATCGAATACTATGCAAAGCCCTTTTCTAGAGATGATTTTGCTTTAAAAAGAGCTGAAGTTCCGATTTCAGCCGTGAGAATGCAGAAAATTTCAATTCTAACAACAAAAACGTTGCCTTTAATGCAGTCAATTAAGCTATAAACCGGATTTTATCCGTTTCTGCTTTTCAGGTGATTGAAATCCCTCCATCGGAGGCCACAAAGCGATTGATGTTGGCAGCTTCGGGCGACTCGACGGGCCGAGATCGATGGACCACTTCGGGCACTGATCCCCGGCCAGCGATAAATGTAATGAAGCTCGAAAGCCTACAGTAACCCTATAGCGGCTACAGTAACCCTATGATGATACAGTACGGCCACAGTACCCCCATAGCAGCTACAGTAACCCTACAGCGGCTACAGTGACCCCGCAGTAGTTACGGTGTCTCCATGGTGGCACAGTACGACTACAGTACCTCCTTTAGTGGCTACAGTACCACCTATAGTGTTTACAGTACCACCAATAGTGTCTACAGTCCCCCTATAACGACTACAATACCCCCTATAGCCTACAGTAGCCCCTAAAGTATCCCTATAGTTGCTACGGTAACCCCTATGATCACAGTAAGCGCCTATAGTCTCTATAGTCTCTATGGGGTCTATAGTACCCCTATAGAGTCCACACTTTTCTATTAATCTATCAGAAGTCGTTGCCCTAGCTACAGTAGTTGCAGAAATCGTTGCCCTAGCTAATCCAAGTATCTTAGATCCTTCGACTCCTTCGCGAAACGGCACTTGATGCAATGAAAAGTAAATGATCGCTTTTTCTTGCCTAATATTTGTTCAGGAGTGGTTCACGACGAGGAATTGATGAAACGGCTCAGGGATTATCATTTTGATCTCGGCTTTTCAGAGGGCATTGAATTGAGTGCGTATGGTGAGTGGCTACAGTATTTCTAGAGGCCATAGTAACTTTACAGTAATCCCTAAATACCTACAGTAACTCTTGTAATGGCTAGATAATCCCTAGATGGCTACAGTAGCCTCTACAATGATTACAGTAATCTCACGAGGTCTACAGTACTTTACAGCGGTTACAGTGAAATCTAGAGAGCTACAGGAACTCTATAATGGCTATAGGAACTCTATAATGGCTATAGGAACTCTATAATGGCTACAGGAACTCTATAGTGGCTACAGTACTTCTAAACACCTACAGTACCCCCTAAAGAGCCACAATAAACCCCAAAGAACTACAGTAACCTCTCCAGCTCAAGCCAAAGCTAGATACAGCTAGCCAAAACTAGCTACGGCTAGCCAAAGCTAGATACAAACTTTTTAGGTCTTTACCATGAGCTGAATATCACCAAGTACATCACCGTGCTTTCGTCGACGTTTGGCGCGAGTTTCTCGTCGATTTTCGGCGCTCCAATGCTTCCCTCGTATGTCCCTTGTGAGTGAGATTGGTGGAAATATTCGTTCTTCTGATCTGATTGGTGGAAGTATTCGTTCTTCTGATTTAAATAAATATTCAATCCCACCAAAAGTTTAGATTTGAAATTTGAGCATCTTTAGCCTTTTCTTCAAGTTCCATCGATCAAATGAGCTTCAGCGAGCGCGCGATCAACCTCGTCGGATCGATAGCGGAAAAGTGAGCCAATTTTGAGCCAAAATTGAGCCTAAGCCAAAAGTTTGAGCAACTAAAGCATGACCCAGCTACCGTAACCTAGCTAGCTAGATAGCTAGGTAGCTAGATAGCTAGGTAGCTAGATAGATAGATAGATAGATAGATAGATAGATAGATAGCTAGATAGCTAGATAGATAGCTAGATAGATAGATAGATACCGTAGCCCGATTACCGTAACCTAGGGGCCCAGATGGCTTTACAGTAATCTATATTGTTTCTATCATCATAATTCATCAAGAAAACTACTGTAAGCCACGGATTACTGTAGTTTCTATCGATTCCATCGCACTAATATCTCCATCGATCTCCAGGATCTCCAGGATTACGATAGTCGCTTTACGCCTTAAAAAGCTGGGCCATGGCAGCTGGGGCGGCTTTAGATAACGATAACAATTCAGATACATGATCACGAACAGCTACACGATACTGGACGAGTTTTTTCATGAGTTCAGCGAGAATTTCCCGGGAATAGAGGTACACTAAGAGATATTCAGCTTTTCTAATTACAGGAAGATTCAAAATCAAATTGGATTTATGTAATACTGAGGCCTAGTCAAAATAGCACCGCGAAAACAGCGTCGTTCAAAATAGCGCCGTTCAAAACAGCGCCGCGAAAACATCGTCGTTCAAAACAGCGCCGTATCCAAAACAGCGCCGTTCGAAAACAGCACCGTTCAAAACAGCGTCGTTCAAGACAGCGTCAAACTTAAATGCAATTCGATCGTTTTTAGCGCCACAGTGGATCTCACGTATTTAGATAAATAGAAACTAAATAGAAACTAGAGAAAATAAGTTAAACAAAACAGTAAACACCTCTTGTGTTGCTTTCAATGGCAGGCATGTCGTCTTGGCATCTTGGCATTTTCGTTTCGTACGTATTTTGTTGTTTGCTGTTTTGTTTAACTCGTATTCAGTTGATTAACTGATTTCCGACGTCTTTATGGAAACGTCGGAAAATTTCTTTTTAGTTCTTCTTTATGATATTCAGTTATTGGGATAAGAGAGGCAGCTATTGGGATAAGATAGGCAGCTATTGCAATAGACAGCTATTGCAATTGGCTACAGTAGTGGCAGGACTCTAGTGTCACATTCATCTATCACAATAATATATTCACTTATCCATCTCAGGCTCAGCTCACTGCCTCGTCTCTCGTCCTCGCCAATGTTGAGCCACTTTTCGACTTTCCCCGTCCACTCCTTCACAAGCTACAGTACATTGGCGGAGTTACTGTCTCTGAAAAGAAGCCACTGAATGATGTACAAGTTCTATTTAGTCCTTTAGTCTAAGATTTTGTTCAGGAATGGTCAGCAGTGCTCTCGAAACGGGCACAAACAATTTTGATCTCTTTCGGAAGCATGGCACGAAGTGTTGATATGCCAAATGAATACAAAAAAGCGTTTATGGAAGCTTTTACTCGGTAAGGATTGGATTTGGATTTGGTGGGAGAAAGAGAGGATAATAGTAAGTCCTGTAGACACTAGAGTCCTGCCACTACTGTAGCCAAGAGCCAAGAGTACTGTAGCTGTACTGTAGCTGTACTGTAGCTTCCAAGAGTACTGTAGCTGTACTGTAGCTTTACTGTAGCTTCCAAGAGTACTGTAGAGTTACTGTAGCTGCACTGTAGCTTCCAAGAGTACCGTAGAGTTACTGTAGCTCTACTGTAGCTTCCAAGAGTACTGTAGAGTTACTGTAGCTCTACTGTAGCTTCCAAGAGTACTGTAGCTCTACTGTAGCTGTACTGTAGCTTCCAAGAGTACTGTAGCTGTACTGTAGCTTCCAAGAGTACTGTAGAGTTACTGTAGCTGTACTATAGCTTCCAAGAGTACCGTAGAGTTACTGTAGCTCTACTGTAGCTTCCAAGAGTACTGTAGAGTTACTGTAGCCAATACTGTAGCCATTACAGGGCTACTGTACCCAATTTCAGTTTCCCCAACGTCACTTTCATTTGGAAATACGAGAATCCGTCGGAGTTAGAGGGAAGCGCAGAGATTCCGAATCTTTTGCTGAATGCATGGGTGCCACAACCGGATCTTTTAGGTACCAAACCTTTGGATAGGTAAAAATACGATCATAATCTAATATTCAGCGAAATTTGTTTATAATTGTTCAGGTGACTCTCGTTTGAGCGCTTTTATTACACACGGTGGGGCAGGGAGTGTCAACGAGTTTGTTTATCACGGGAAGAAGGTGTTTTCGAGTATTTTCGAGTATTTTGTTAGGGTTACAGTTAGATTAGCTAACAAGTTGAGTTAGCTAACAGTACAGGGTTGTTGTAGCCAAGAGAGCTGTAGTCAAGAGTACTTAGCCAAGAGTACTTGCCAAGAGAACTGTAGCCAAGAGTACTTGCCAAGAGTACTATAGCCAAGAGTACTGTAGCCATTGCCATTGCAGGGTAGCCTTTAAGGATTACTCTAGTCGTTTATTTGTACCTTGATTAGGCAATGGTGATTCCCTCTATTCGCCGATCAATTCGCAAACGCAAAGCTGGTGAGTCGAGTGGGCAGTACGATTGAATTCAACAAGTTTCACCTCGCCTTGCCAGATCGTTTGACGGAAGCAATCGAACAATTGTTGAACGATCATAGGTATTATGTCCTTTTCTCAACTACCTTAAACTTTTTTAACCTACAAGGTACTACAGTACAACAGGTAGATTAGCCTAAGGGTACTATAAAGTCAGAAAGGCCAGCTAGAAGGCCAGCTAGAAGGCCAGCTAGAGAGGTCAGCTAGAAAGGCCAGCTAGAAAGGCCAGCTAGAAGGCCAGCTAGAAGGCCAGCTAGAAGGCCAGCTAGAAAGGCCAGCTAGAAAGGCTAGCTAGAAAGGCCAGCTAGAGAGGCCAAGCAGAAAGGCCAGCTAGAAAGGCCAGCTAGAAAATTGAGATGTTTAAGAAGCTACAATACTGTATCCAATTCAGTCTTGATAAAAACGCGAAACAAATGGCTGAAATGATCGCCGAGAAGCCGTTCAAAGCACGAGAAATTCTGTTGAAGAATGCGGTTTTTGTCGCTGAATTTGGTAGGTGAAAGGTGAAAGCTTAAGCTGAAACAAACAGTGCACTGAATTTGATTTCTTGCAGCATTCGGTGCACTTGGAACCTTTCCTGCAGCATTTGGTGCACTTGAAACCTCTCTTGCAGCATTTGTTCCACTTGGAACCTCTCTTGCAGCATTTGGTGCACTTGGAACCTCTCTTGCAGCATTTGGTCCACTTGGAACCTCTCTTGCAGCATTTGGTGCACTTGGAACCTCTCTTGCAGCATTTGGTCCACTTGGAACCTCTCTTGCAGCATTTGGTGCACTTGGAACCTCTCTTGCAGCATTTGGTCCACTTGGAACCTCTCTTGCAGCATTTGGTGCACTTGGAACCTTTCCTGCAGCATTTGGTCCACTTGGAACCTTTCCTGCAGCATTTGGTGCACTTGGAACCTCTCTTGCAGCATTCGGTGCACTTGGAACCTTTCCTGCAGCATTCGGTGCACTTGGAACCTTTCTTGCACTAAAGAGCTCAATTCCTTGTTGGCATAAAGCTAGCATAAAGCTAAGCAAGATCCAGAGCCAGAAAGGATGCTTTTCTACTCAAAATAGATCAAATTTCATTCAATTTCTAGGTCCATTGTCAAATCTGGATCCTCTCGGTCGATCATTGTCATTTATCGAATATTTTCTACTTGATATCGCTTTTCCTTACAATTTTTTTATTATTTTTCATCTTATTTCTCATTTTTATCTTTGTAAAAAGCTCAGGAATCGTTTTTTTTTCGAAAATTTTGCTCTTGAATGGCATTTATTGAGTTGGAAATGGTACTAAACTTTAAATAAACTTTAAACAAACCTTTTCCACGTTTTCTCTAGATAAAAAATAGCTCTAGATAGCTTTTTAATGCTGAAGCCCTCTTAAGCTCTCTTTTTTATGTCATTTTGTGGAGAATTCGTTAACTTTTCTATTGATATCAAACACGGATCATTTGACAAAGTTTTAGCGTTCTTTTGCTAGACGTTTTCGAAATTATCTTTGATTTTCGATGTGATTTCATTCTCCTCAATACAATCGAAAACAAAAGATCTTTGCTAGAATGCAGATAGTTGATAGTATGACTAAATTAAGCTTCTTTCAAATCTTGGGCGCTAAATTTCTATGGATTCACACTCGGAAGGAGATGAGCAGGTTTCGCGGAAAGGAAAAAAACAAGAAAAGAGGGGAATGAGAAAGAAGGAAGAGAAGGGAAGAAGGAAAGAAGGAAAGGAGGAAGAGACGGAAAGAAGGAAGAGAAGGAAGAGAAGGAAGAGAAGGAAGAGAAGGAAGAGAAGGAAAGAAAGAAGAGAAGGAAAGAAAGAAGAGAAGGAAAGAAGCAACCGGATCGTGTTGATTTGGAAAGGGGAAAGGAGGGGAAGAGTCTCAAGAAAGGGCGGGTCGCTCCCACAGGGTATCCTGGGAAATACTTGCCTTAAAAACAAGGATGAGAGAATGTGATGGTGAAGAGAATGAGAAATTGAAGTACAAAGCTGGGAAGGGGGAATGGAGGAGGAGAGAAGAGACAAGAAAGTGACAATGAAAGGAAGAAGTGATTCGTGAGAGAGAAATTGAAGTACAGACAGTGGAAAGAGATAGAGAAGTGACAAAATAAAGAAAAAAAAGGGGGGAAGTGAGCGACTGGGAAAGATAGGAACGAGAAGGAAAGAGAAGGAAAGAGGAGAAAAGAGGAGGAAGGAGAAGGAAGGAGATAGGAAAGAAAATTGGAGAAATAGAGAAAGTAGGGGGAAGAGAAGTCAAGAGAGTGTAGAAAGCAGAGAAATAGACGCTGGAGAATCTAGAGAAATGCAAGAATGGAGACAGTGAATCGGAGAGACAGTGGACAGGAAAGTGGACAGGAAAACGAATGGACGCGACGCTCCAAATCCCGGTGGCGTCGCGTGCCGGTTTTGGGGAGGAGGAGGAGCGTCATTTGCCCCACCCCCACCACCCTCCCGCCCCCCTCCCGCCGAACCGAGCCTAGCCAAGGCCCCCGCCCCCGATGGCCGACCACCCGCCCTCAATTTTACCTAAACCCACGCACGGACTAGCCTCTACGCATCAACCGCTTCAAAAAGTGGGTTTCTAAAGGATTTGATTGGATTTGATTGGATAGAATTGGATGGAATTGGCTAGGAAAGGCTTGAATAGGAAATCCGCTTGGGAAATAGCTAGCTTTTCTATTTTAGATTTAATTTAAAGCTCTAGCTCTGGCTCTAGCTCTAGCTCTAGCTCTAGCTCTAGCTCTAGCTTTAGCTCTAGCTCTGAATTAGATGTATATCAAAATTTATCAACTCTTGGAAAAGATAGAGAAGAATTTGGATCTAGCCAAAGAAATCTGGCTTCATTCTAGCTTGATTTATCTTTTCCCAGCTTGATTTATCTTTTTCTCTTTTGCAGTAAAATTTTGAAACAAAAAGCAAAGAATTGGCGGCAAGAGGAGTCGAACCAGCGACCTATCTCTTCTGTTCGTTTGAGAGACGCGCGCGTTAACCAATCGGCGAATCGATGGCGCAGTGCGAGCGCTCTTGTCGCTAGCCTACACGAGCCGGGTTCGACGGCCTTGGCACTTTTGGTTTTTTAAAAATTTAAAAACATTTTGCAGAACTACATGGAATTCTAGACCAAACTAGCTAGAAGTCTTTTGAAACGGTCCACTGGGATAGTGCGCACAGACAGACAGACACAGCTCTTATTTATAGTAGATAAAATCTAACCTATTTTATCGGATTGCTGTATTCTACGCTTTATAAAACAGTTTAAATATCGATTATTTATCGGTGAAACTCGTAAACAAGGTGTCAGATTGGAAAAGAATTTCGTAATGGATAATCCGGAAATAAATACATGTATTGATCGATTGATAATTGTTAGATTTAGATTTAGATTTAGCTTTAAATTTAGATTTAGCTTTTGATTTAGATTTAGCTTTTGATTTAGCTTTAAATTTAGATTTAGCTTTATATTTTGATTTTGATTTAGCTTTAGATTTATATTTTGATTTTGATTGGATTTAGCTTTTGATTTAGATTTAGCTTTAGATTTAGATTTAGCTTTAGCTTTAGATTTAGATTTAGATTTAGATTTAGATTTAGATTTTGATTTAGATTTAGCTTTTGATATATCTATTATATATACTAATGTACTGTAGTTTAAAAGAAGACCCAGACACCGCCCAGCAAGTTTTTGCTGAATTCAACCGATCAATACTGTTTTCTTGCGCAACCGAAAGCTCATTTGGCTTTAAAATTCAAAGTTGAATTGTTAGAAGTAGAAGAATTTCTGTATCGAACTAGCAAACAAACAGAAAACAATTTTCCTTCAACATCGAAGAGAAAACTTTTCTTTCAACAGCTTTTTCTCACGCCTTTAGCAGAGATAATAATCGCCGGGTGGCAAAGAATCCAATTTTTTTGAAGAAAACGAATAGATTCTTGAGAAATTTCGATCCAAAACTGTTAGCTACTAAATGTTTAGCTAATTTCGAGTTAAATTAGTAGAGAAAAGCCAGGAAAAGTTATCGTATTGGTAGTTAAAAGCTAACTGTTCAATATTTAGGTGATCTTGCTGCAACCACAATCGCATTCCTCGTCGCAACCGGCTCAACAACAAGTGTACCTGTTTCAGCCAAACAATGCATCCGGGCAACAGGTTGGAGAATTTCGACAAAAAAAATGGTTGCTTAAAGCTTAAAAATGGTTAAATTGGTTAAAATGGTTAAAATGGTTAAAATGGTTAAAATGGTTAAAATGGTTAAAACGGTTAAAAACTGCTTAAAAATGGTTAAAAACTGCTTAAAAATGGTTAAAAACTGCTTAAAAATGGTTAAAAACTGCTTAAAAATGGTTAAAAACTGCTTAAAATGCTTGAAAACTGCTTAAAATGCTTAAAAACTGCTAAAAAATGCTAAAAAATGCTTAAAAACTGCTTAAAAATGCTTCAAAACTGCTTAACATACTTAAAAATTGCTTAAAAATGGTAAAAATAGGGGGGTGCGACCTTTTTTTTGCGCACCTTTTTTTTTGCTGGAAAAGGCTTTAGGCAAGGCCGTAGAGCTTGGAAAATATTTCCACATAAGGAAATCGTATGCGTAGATTCCGAATTTCGACAAATCAGACCTCGCTGACACGTCAAATTTGGGCTAAACGGCAAAAACTGCGGAAAAGCGTTAAGTTGCGTAGTTTTTGCCTTTTAGCCCAAACTTGACGTGTCAGCGAGGTCTGATTTGTCGAAATTCGGAATCTACGCATACGATTCCCTTCTATGAAAACGTTTTTGAAGCTCTACGACTTTTCCAGCAAAAAAAGGTCGCATTTGTCCCACCCCCTAAAATGCTTAAAAATGCTTAAAAATGCTTAAAAACTGCTTTAAATGCTTGAAAACTGCTTAAAAATACTTAAAAACTGCTTAAAATACTTAAAAACTGCTTAAAAACGGTTAAAATAGTAAAAATAGTTTAAAAAGTTAAAAAAATAAAATGATTGCAATGTTTTTCCAAAAAAAGACGGTTTAAAGACGTAAATTGGAAAATCCTGTTTTCTAAAAATTGCTCTTTTTGCAATTGTTGAATTTGCATCACTTAGCTGAATATCTTTTCAGCAAAAATTTACACTATAAAGGCTCAAAGTTAAGCGAAATTTTTTGCTTTTTCATTTTCTCCTAGTTTTCAATGAATCCATTTGAATATTTTGACAATTGGATTTATCCACAAAAACCGCTCGAAACAATCGACGTGAAACCGTTAAAGCTCGAACCAAATAACCTTTATGAGGTTCACGAGCTCTATGAACCGGCTAGAGTAAGGATTTACGAGTTTTTGCGATAACCTAGTATTTTTAGATTCAACTCATCCCTGTGCAAATCGAGTCGACGTCGAAGAAACAAATGGCTTTATTGTCGCCGGTGCAGCCCGTTCAGAGCAACAATCACACAACGACCACCGTTGAAACGCTTGATAGTGGAAAAGTTTGTTAATCTTTTTGTTGTTGTTGATGTTGCTGTTAAACTTTGTAAATCGGAGAACCGTTTTAACAATTCTTTAGCTTATTTTACTTTAAAATATACTGTTTTGGCTTACGTTGCTAATCGTTGCTAAATAACTCTAGGCTTACGTTGCTAATCTTAAAAAGTCGTCAAAATTTGCTGGTTGCTTACTTTGTTTGAAAATTTTAGGGTTTTTAGATTTACATTATCGTAAATACTAGACTTGTTTATCGATATAATCGATATAAACGATATAAACGCCAAGCTCATGTTTGACCGTTCAGATCTCGGTTTCTAGAACAGCTATCAATCTGAAAATTGTTTCATTGGAAAGTCAAGAATGTCAGCTTTCGATTGTTATTTTATAAATAGCGACTTTTAATGAGTAAGCACCTCATAAACCTGATCGAAAGGATCGTTTATCGATAGGCTTATTGATGCTTGAGTATTAATATAAATATTGATAAGCTTTTTAAGGCACTCGCCTATGAGAATTTGCTATTTATAAAATAACAACCAAAAGCTGACATTCTTGGCTTTCCAATGAAACAATTTGCAGATTGATAGCTGTTGTAGAAGCCGAGATCTGAGGTCAAACATGAGCATGCTGTTTGTATCGATAATATTGATAAGCAAGTCTAGTAAATATTCTAATAGAAGTCCCCATATAGGAGCGCCACGCTAACTAACTTTGCACTTAAATAAACGCTCATATCTCGACACCAGTACATTTGTTTCTGCGCGCTTAGGTATCAAAACAAAGCAGAGAGGATGGGTGCTTTTTTGAGATATAACACATATTCTTAACATTAATCAGCGCTTAGAACAAAATGATTGAAAATCAGCTCTTTTTTGCCACTTTTCAATCATTTTTTCTGAGCGCTGGTTAATGATTAAAAATATGTGTTATATCTCAAAAAAATCACCCATCCTCTCTACTTTAATTTGATACCTAAACAAGCAGAAGCAAACCTACTGGTGTCGAGATATGAGCGCTTGTTTGAGAGGAAACTTAGACTACGCGACGCTCCTATATGGGGGCTTCTATTAGAATATTTACGGTAACCAACATTCGAAATTCTAAATGTTTCACTTGTCAAATTAACGATTTCCAGGTAGAACAGCCGATCAGCGCTCAGCCACAAGCACAGCAGCGAATAACACTTGGTAAACATTGAAATTTCTTGGTAAATCATTGACTCCCTTTTAGGAAATCTCCAATTCCAACAAGATCCAAACGATCCGCAGAAATGGATCATCACAAATGAGGCCGGGTCAACGACATCGGCTCCACATCATCAAAGGTAGCTGACCTTTCTACGAGTTACAATTTGTAAGCAATATTTTTAGCTATAGCCAACAATCCGGCGGTGATGACGGAAACGAGTCACCGGGTTTGACCGAAGATTTCGATTTCGATGCGGCTAACAAAGGAATGGGATTGGATGGTTGGTTTAGCAATTGATAGACTAAAATAATCAATACTTGAAACTTGCGCATTCTATTCTAAAGAGCAATGGCAAGAAATTTGAATGGATAGATATCAATCAATCACTCACTCGTTAGTCCATTTTCCCCATTTCAGGCTATCAAAGCAAGCTGCCAAAGCGCTCAGCGTGCACTTGTCCTAATTGTCAAACCGGCGCCAATCCCAAAGGGTTAGTGATCTTTGTTTATTCGAGAAAATTTCCATATTTAGTGGATACCCTGGTGAACAGAAGCCTTCTCGGCTTCACGTTTGCCACCTTTGTACAAAAACCTACGGAAAGACCTCACATTTGCGTGCCCACTTGAGGTGATTCATCGATATCGGAAGTAAACTTTTGATTTTCTAGGGGTCACGCTGGGAACAAGCCATTCGCTTGCGATTGGCAACAGTGCACAAAGCGATTCACTCGAAGCGACGAATTGCAGAGGCATAGGAGGTAAGAAAGATTGGCATAGTCAGGGAAATTGTAATTCTGTTGAAGTTTTAGCAATGGATTTAATAAGGCGAATGTCTAATAAACTATTTAATCTAGTATCTGAATCTCATCTTTAGAACCCACACTGGCGAGAAGCGTTTCGCGTGTGGCGCTTGCGGCAAGAGGTTCATGCGCTCCGATCACCTAACGAAACACGAGCGAACGCACAACTCGACTCGCGGTCCAACTGCCAAATATGAGACGGATTAACGGATTGAACCCAAGAAGCAAGGCGGATTGAACATATCGGTAGCTTTCATAAATTTTACTATTGTTAAACATGTGCTCTGTTCAACGCTGATCGTTCTCCAGTGAGATGTCACCGTGTTAGACACTGTGATTTGTTGATCTTTAACAAAAACTGCCAGAAACAGAAAGGAATTCAACATTTTACAGTGACTTTTGTCTGTATATGTCACCACCTTTTGAGAGGATTCGATGATTTCCCCAGTTTATACCCCGAGTGTTTCGCCTTAATAATGCTTTTCTTAAATTTTTCCTTGAATTAGTTGTGTGCGTCGAGAATTTCCCCATTTTCGCGCAATCCCAAAAAATCTATTGTTTTTGCCCATTTCCATCCTTGATACGAGTTATACTTTTCTCTTTCGATAGAGTGCTTATGATTAGGTTATGTGTTGTTTCGCTATTTGAGTCTCGTTCCTCCGAGATGCCCACATTGTAAGATGCTAATCGAACATTTTGAGACACTTAATCGATTTGTGATAGTAATGATGTTTTGTCGTTTTTATAATTTTATTATTTGATTAAGAGAATCTCCTAAAATTTTCCATCAGCTCATATTTCTCCCGATTTTCTTTCAAGTGCGAGAATTTTATCTGTCGTTATAAATTCAATACCACTGCATTTTCCTTATTTTAAAAATGTTTGAATAAAGCTGAAGTATTAGCTCAGAGCCAACAGACCTGGTAAATACGTTAAGGAAATCTTCTAGATCCATTAACTCTCGAATATTTAAGCCGTATCAAAAAAAATCACGATTTAATAACTCTTTAAAAAAACAACCGGCTGCAAGCATTCAAGGTTAAATGAAGTGAAGAGAAATAAAAGGATATGTAACGCTAAACTGCCAAAAGATGGAATGAACACAAATACGACCAAAAAAAGAAAGCACTCATCATCAAAAAAAAGTGGAAAAGCAAGCTATAAATACTCCGTTTGCAAATGTGAATTTTTAGAAAGAGAAATACAAAACATACTACATCGACACTCGAAAAGAGAGAGAATAAATGCAGGCAGGCATAGGAAGGGGGAAAAGCACAACATTTAAGTATCGTTTAAGTGAAGTTGAACGAAAAATTGTAAGAGAAGTACAGTATATACCCGAAGCGTCTCGATCAGATAGACAACACAACACAACAAAAGAGATATGAGAGAAATTCTCATCCTGATAAATGACAAATAAAGCTGCAAGGGGTTTATGAAAATGTTCATATAAACCCCAGCACACAAAAAAAAACAAACAATGAAAGATTTGGTAAAAATTGCAGAAATTTGATAAAATGCGTCCTGAGCATGACTAATATACAAACAAAAGAGCTACCAAATGCAAGGCTTATTGATTGCTGCTTTGTCTTGAGTGAGTGCTCGGTAGAGTGCTTCGATTTCGAGAAACTCCCGCTCGACGCTGCCCACCCGCCTGTAATTTGACGAATCGACGGTATTTTTGGTATTTAGTTTATTACACTAAAGCAATTTCTCTCTTTTTGCAATTATAAAAGGTCATTTTTAAGGGAAAAACGACAATTTTAAAGAAAAACGACAACTTTATAGTAAAAAAAAAAAGCACAAACCGCTTCAATTGTCCTCATCAGATGTCTGACCCAAGTGTTCGATTCCCGCTGATCGACGGCCATCAACAGCATTTCACTCATCACACCGTTCTTGGCTAAAATCACATCAACTTTATGAATAGCTGGTTTAATAGCTTACATTTGCACACAGGAATCTCGGCCATTTGATGCTCTTTGTGAATCTTGTAGTGGCAATCTAGGACAACAAATAATTAAAACTATCTTTAGCTCAAACAAAGTACTTTTGCACTCGAGGGCTGGAGGGGGCCTGATCAAATCGGAGAGCTTCTTGTTGCAAAAATCACAATAGGCACTCATGTGGAATGAGAGTTCCTAAAGAAAGTTTTAAAAGAAATGTTCATATAAAATCATGCCTGGAAATCGTGGCGGTGCCCAGAAGATGCTGAACGAATGGACAGATTGGTTTCTGATTCCTGAACACAAAAATAAAGAATCGTCGTAGGTAAAACACAACAAACCGCTTGGCTAATCAATGTAGCATTTAGGTCTGACATAGACGAGTGGCGTGAGGCAGAAAAACCATTGCTATCAGTAGCACCGTCATACATCACATGGAAGATTTTGGGGATCGCTGAGGGATCGGCAAATCGAACATCTGCAGCGGTGACCAAACGAGCATAACAAAGGCGACTAAACAAATTCATTCTTTCGAAATTAATGGTCTTGAAGTGATAGCTTTGTTTCAAGCATTTCACGACTAAAATAAAACCGCAATCATAGGATAATCTATCTTTAAGAAAGACCACTTACGATGCTTCGATATAAATTGCAGGTTTGTCATCATGCGCTCCCGACTTTGTCTCATTGAAGAGAATAAATGCCGAATGTGTCAGTTGAGCATACATTCCCAGCCATGGCTGTTTGCTTGCCTAGAATTCCCGATAATCTATCAAAATTCTGCGTAAAAACCTTGATTCTCGATCCTTTCTTGACTTTTGGCCAAAGTTCAACCGAGCCTTCATAGATTATTCCACTGGAGATCGAGCTTGGTATTCCCTCTCGTGAGTCGACTGATCTAAATTTGTTTATTAAATTCGTTGCACAGCAATAGCGTAAAATTTAAAGAGTTTATCTTTGACTCAAGTTTTCAAAAGCCCAACTTAAAATTTAATAGCCCACCTCACATCACCATTCAGTTCATATAGCCTCAAGCCTCGCTCTCGTTCCTCTTCCAATTCTTTTATCCTGTCCCTCAATTGTTCAGCCTGAATCATGACGATTGAAATTTTTGTTTCTAAAAACCAAACCATTTTCTCTTGATCTTGGATATTTTCAGAGAAAGTGGCGTGTAGACGCTGCTTTTCATTGTGAGACTCCTTCAATTTGTTCTTCAGCTCGTGAATTTCTTGGTGAGCATTCATCTAAACATGACCGTATGATTATCATAAAATCCTCAAACCAAATCTCGTTCTTTCTGACGCAATTGCCGCGAGGAATCGTTGCTCTTTGAGCTTTTCTCTGGCTTTCGCTCGCTCATTATTTGTTCCAATTTCCGAATCGCCTAAAATTTAATAGTAAAACTCTGTGACCTTGGTTTATAAAAACAAAGTAGATGGGCAACTTACTGATGTTTTAAGCGACTCGGCCATTAATGCTTTTCTTTCTAGCTCTTTGATATGCTTTTCCAAGATTGTAATCTAAAGCGTAAGATGCTTAGGATTTTAAACAAGAACAAACCCTCTCTTGCTCTCTGCTATTCAATTGGCCGTTGCGTTCCCGAGTTTCATTCAATTCCACAAGCGAAATTCTAGCCTCTTTGAGCTCTTCTGTTAGCATAGAGATGGCTTTTTCTTTATCACTGAGATCCTGAAAATAATTCCATGAAAAATATATACGGTGTGTGGAACAAAATAGTTACCTTTTCATTCCGGTGTACCAATTGACGAATCTCTTCCTTCAACATCGTCTTCTCCTTGTCGAGCTCTGTTAAATTTGCTTCGGCAATTCGCCGAGCAAGCTGTTCACTATCAAATTTTTGACGAATATTTTCATTCTCGTGCCTGGAATCAAGTTAGTGAAATTCGATAATGAAGCATTATTTGTTACCGTATCGTTTCAGCTGATGATATTTCTTTCTTTGCATCACTAAGCTCGGAGCTCAATGTCTGGATCTCTCGATTGTAGCAATCCTAGATCGAGTTATTATAAAGTGATGATCAGAAATTAATGATTATCGATGCTAATTTCTAATGATAGCCGTTTACCGGCTAACTGCCAGGCATAACGCGAAAACTTACAATCATATCCTGATCGGTTCTCATCAAAGACTCCAAGTTTTCAATGGTTTGCGCATACGCCTTGTTCTCTTCAGAAAGGAGATTTTCTCGCTTCTTCAACTGGACCTTTTCTTCTTTTAATCGTGACAACTCCTATAAATGGGCTATAAAAATCCTCCGCTCAACCAAACCTCTTTGAGAAACTCCTCATTCAAACGTAGAGCCGCCAAGGATTTGGCTTTCTGTTCAAGTTCGTTTTGAGTAGTGACATGTCCACGACGTTCTCGCTCAACATCAAGTCTGGCGTCATCAAGCTGAAAGCAATACATGAATCCTTTTTTTACGCATCTCTTACTTGTTTTCTAGCGGTTTCAAGCTTTAGATGAAGTTCAGTTTCTCGAGCAACAGTTGTATCATGAAGTCCATTTTCCTTGCATTCATCGAGAGCCTAAACATTTAACAGATATTACAATCGAGCAAAATCCTACTTTTGCAAGGCGTCTTGTTAGTTCCTCCTCTTTACCAGCTTGCTCGTTAATCCTAGCCAACAATGTGTTATTTTTATCCTCCAGTTCCTGAAGCGCAAAAATATGAAAGCAAGGTTGGCACAAAATACTTTCAATCGAAGAGATTTTCTTGCCGCTGATTCCTTTTCGATGTCGAGCTCTTGTGCAAGTTGGCGTTCCCTTTTCCGCAGTCTATCCTCTTCCTCTTTTGCCTATGGTTGAGAAAAATAAGTGAAACATATTTAATTTCCTACTTTTGCCAAATTGTCTTCCAAATCCCCCATTGTTGCTTGATGAACTTTCAACTCGTTCTCCAAACGCCGTACTCGATCTTCACTTTCACCTTAAATGCAAGAGTCAATATTTGAATCAATTCGAGTTCTGAATGCATGACTTACCATGTAAGCGTTGCCGATTGCGAAATTCATCAGACTCCCGTTCAAGCTCATCTATTCTTTCGACCAATCTGTAACAAGTTGAATAACTCTACAAGAAAGTTTGTTAGCTACCTCTTAGCATGAGCTTCTGTCTCCGCCGTTCGTTGTTTTGCCTTATCGAGCACGAGCCGTTCATGTTCCAGTTGGGCCGTTCTTTCAAGTAAATCTCGACGGGTCCTTTCAAGTTCATTCTTTGCGCGCTTTAAATCTTCTTCCAGTGCAGGATTCCGCAGAGGCCTCGTTTCTTCAATCTGGAAGAAATGTTGTTAGCTTTGCCTATCTTTGATAAAACTAACCCTTGGCGCAGTTATGGCGACGGGATTTGCATTTTTATCTTTGATTGCTTCTGTAAAATGACGAAGAGGGCTAAATGTAAGCGATCAGTGACATAGACAATTGGAAAGATACCTCAATTCATTGGTGTATGTGAATCCAACAAACGGCAGTTGATTTCCAGTAAATGCTCTTGGAATCTAGGACGGACTGTTTAAGGATAAATTATTAATTTACACCTGAAAAGATTCCCTAGCTGCATCACGATCTGGCTCCACGTCAGTGAAATTTGTCGTGTCATCATCTCCATGCAATTCTGGCACAATTGGCGGAGCAGCTAGAAAAAGAGTCAAAAAATCTACTAAACAAAAAATTACCGTCACGAAGAGTTTCAAAAGTCCATTCGTTATTCTTGAAGAAATTGTGCCTTCGAATTTCCTCCGCGCCTTTTCTACCAAGTCGTGTCTCAGCTTTTGATAGAAATGAGCGAATCAAATCCTGTAAAGCAAAAGTCAAAACAGATAAAAACCAAGAACCTTTGCAGCCGGACTCATTGTCGTATCTTCAGGAAATGAGAGCGAATTCTCAAAGTTCATAATGTTGGTGTAAGTGTTCACAATTGAGTCCGCATAAAAAGGCGTTTCACCGACGAACAATTCGTACAAGAAGACGCCGACAGACCTGAGTATGAAAGTTCTTTAATGGAAATCAGAAACAATCACATACCACCAATCAACTTCAACACCAAATTCGGCTTCTCGTCCTTGATTTGACAAAACTTCTGCAGCAATGTAGTCGGGTGTTCCCACAGCCGTGCTACAATGAACTCGCCCATGGGCATTCATCCTCACACACGTTCCAAAATCGGCAAGCTAAAATGTTTTTTTTTATAAAGCAACAAGGAGAGAATTGGTGAAAACTACAAGTCTTGCTGGAATCGAATGCCTACCTTGATGTGTCCCGTTCGAGAAATCAACATATTGTCCGGTTTAACATCACCTAAAATTTATTTCCGCATAACAAACAATATTTCCATTTAACCAACCACATCCACAACAAAAAACAACATAAATCTATCTTTACAAAGTTGTGCATGTGGCTCATTATTTTTGAGTGAAAAACATACGATGAATGTAACCCATTGAGTGAAGCGCTGCAAGTGCCTCAACCAACTCCGCAGTGTAAAATCGAGCCCATTTCTCCGAGACTTCATATCTAAAACTCTTGATAAGCATAGTAATTCATTTAAAAACATACGTTGTTATCAAATTGACAAGATCTCCACCCGGCATGTACTCCATCACCATGTAAAGAAAGCGCTCATCCTAATAAATCAATGAATTCTTATTTTCTTTTAATTATAAGTTACTTGAAAAGCATAATGCAGCCGAACAATCCAATCAGATTGTGTGTGGGCCATGATATCTCGTTCTTCCCAGAAAAACGCGGATTCTGATCGTTTGATCTATAAAAAAGATTTTAAAGCAACAAATTGTTATTATACCATGTCATCCTTATTCAAAAGCTTCATAGCATAAACTTGGCGAGTTTTTGTCTGTCGTACAAGTTGAACTTCTCCAAATGCGCCACGCCCAATCACCTAGAAAGGAAATCTTGGTTAGGTGAAAAAGTTTCGAATTTACCTTTATCAACTCAAAATCCGAGCCCTTGAGCCGCATTTCAGAAAGTTTCCGAACGTGTGGATCATCTAAAAATAAACATTTTCATCCATGATTCAAAATGATGATACAAAAGCATTTTCAGCACTCACATTTTTTCACAAATTGATCGATCGTTTTGATCTTTCGTAGCACTGGATAATTGCAATCTTGAACAAGAGCTGTGACCGCATCCTAAAAAAAATGCATCATTAATGAAAATAAAACAAAAAGCAACCAATAATCCCTCGATATTCAGTGGAGAGCGGGGATCAAGTAGTTGTTGAACCAGCCTACTACTTGACTCCATTGCGCAGCTATAGAAATAGGCGCAAGCCCTGAAAAAAACTAATTATATAACCGTTATAAGTTTAAAAACAAAATTCAAAAGAAATGTGGTAGCAAAGGGATAAATCCTCAATGATTTGAATGGGAAAGCAATCGATGAGGTCGGCGCCCCAAAAAAGTGCTTGTATTTGTTCATGGAAACGATAAGGCGAGCGTTAGAGCATAGAAGGGCACGTGCACACAAAAAAAAATGACAAATCATTGTGCCTGGAAGTCGGCTATAAAAGATCAAATGCCTCAAATTGGGGGGAATGTTTCTTTTCTAAAGACGAAAAGTAGGTAATTGGATTCCGAATAATACAAAATTGGATAACTTTTTAGATTCAGCTAAATCTAGATCTAAATCTAAATCTAAATCTAGATGCGATATACGTTTAATAATGAAAATGATTAAACAGGTGGCGCAAACTTTTCAAAATGACTTTTACGTCGCAATTGAGCCGCTGTTCAGTTTGATAACCGAATATGAGTATGTTATTGCCTTTAAAACGAGTACATTTTGTGAGTTTTTTTAGTTTTTAAAATGTGATAATCGATTGCATGCGCTAAAGCGTCAATAAATCGATCTAGTTCAAAAACCCAAGCCAACTTTCTTTAAAATTCGAGTTCTTTTTGTTGAAAAAAAGAAAAGGAGTCTGTTGAAATTCAAATGTGATAATCGATTTCTTTATTGCCGTTCGCGGCCCGTTTGCCCCTCCCCCTTCGGCATCGCCCCTTTTCTCGATTTGTGCAGACAACACAATGAATGAATAATTACGACGAAATCGGCTGAACCGCCAAAAAGAGAAACCTTCGAATCAAAGAAATTCATAAGCCAATGAGAGTCAGAATTGTCATGGTGAAGAATTGGCTATTGAGAGAAAACACGTGAGCCGAATGAAATCATCATCGAATTTCGTGGAGCCTAAACAACATGTGATAGATCCGACTAGAACATCTCAAGGGCAATCTAAAAATCGGAGAAAGCCATAATGTATTCCCAAAATTTGTGTCACTTTCCCGAAAATTCCCTCATCAATCAACCCCATCATGAGAGATGAGTTCACCCTCGTGAACAAAGTAATAAGCTCATTAAGAATGGTTCGATAAGGGAAGAAGAAGATAGGAAATGAGAATGAGAACCAATAAGAGTTAAACGATTTGGCAAAGACAAAGAGGTAAACTAATTATGAGATCACTTCACGAAAACTTGCACAAAAATCGAGTCATTTCTGAATTGACTGTAGTTCAAGGTTCAACGAACCCAAATCCAGTCCGAATCTTCATTCCATTAAAAATAACAATAAAGTTGGGGGTCGATCGGGGGAGAAAATGAAAAGAAAGACGGATCAATTGGTAAGTCGAACCGCCACACAAGAGGAAAAAAAAGGGAAGGAGAGGTCATCAAAGCAGGAGAGCGACGCGGAGACGAGACAGGGGGGTGAAGAAGGGGTGAAGAGCGCGTGCGGAGAAGCGAGCACTCCTCGAAAAGGAAGGAAGGGGGTGCAAGGCGATCACCGAACAACACGCGCGACCACCGCCGCCGCCTTCGATCGAGAGACAAACCTTCTACCACTCCACAAAAGTGAAGAAAAGGAGCGCGAAAGGGTTTTGTGTTGTCGCGATTGAGAAGTGAATGTACCCCCGCCCCATGATTCAGACGTTTTAATCGCTTCCACGAGAAATGGCCGATTTGGTGTCGAGCAAAAAAAGGGTGCTTACACAGATAACATCAATCAATCAGCAATGGTGAAGATTTGAAATGAGTCATAAGTGATCAAGATCGAGCGAAAGATTAAAAAAAGCAGAGAGGCGAGGGAACTACAGCAGAACTTCGATACAACGAAACGTTCGATATAACGAACACTATTTTTGGTCCCAACGAAGGGTTTTTGCCTTAAAATGACCTTTGATACAACGAACTTTTTGGCCAGTCCCTTGAGGTTCGTTATATCGGAGTTCGGAGGTATTTCAAAAATGATCAGTCTTCACCTTTGAATGCAAGTACAGTACTACCCGGAACACCCGGATGAAGGTTTCAGCACCTATGCCAGATATAAAAGGTAACCGAAGATTTACAGCGTCAAATTACCGTAACAAATCAATTTCAGAGTTTGAACCGACAGAGCAATGATCAGCCAAAGAAAACTAAAAATGCGGCAGCTTTGGAATAAAAAGCATTTCCCCAAAGATCAATAAATGTGTGTATAGATTAATTAGGTGATTCACAAATTTTGACAATACGAGGAGGTCTCGCTAATAATCTTATGCGAGTGTCTTGGGGTACGGGGTGGGGTGGGGAAAAGGGAGAGAAAAGTGGCGGCGGTGAATACCAAATAGGTCAAGATTCAACGCGGAACCGCGCAAACAACGTGTCATCCCCCGAGCCGCATTCCCCCGTTCTCTTTGTTCTTCTTCATACACACACGCCAGCCGCATATGCAAAGTATGAGCATTTAAAGGAATTGAGAGAAATTTGGTAAAGAAGACAGGATATTGTCTACTGACTCATTGAAAAGAGTCAAGCACAGTAAAACTTGATTTCTTAACTGAAAAGGTCACGTACCAAGCGTTTCTTATTCGGCTTCACTTTAACTAGATTATGATTTGGATTAAGCGCGTTAAAGTGCACCCAAGACAAAGCTACCGTCTTACCGTATTCTAAGATGAAAACTAAAGCTAAAACTAAAATTGGAAAATCCACAAAACTAGAATTTGCATAAAATAAACCGCTTTATAGTTAGAATGAGGCTTGGCAAACTATGGGGCAATCGAAAGCTCGCTAAAGAAAGACAAAAAAATGACCGTGTCGACATTGACGCAAGAACACCGAACCAGTCGCCTTCTGTCCTTCTGTTTCCCGTGGGTGACCAGTCCAACAAAACGGCTACACGCAAGCACATCGCTCGCCCACAACGGATAAACAAAGGCGTGCCCTCCACCTTCTCCTTTCTCTCTAAAGATTACCCCAAGAGTGCTTCGTTTGATCTTTGTGAGAATCAAGAATTGGCATAGATCAATGCAAAGGCCAATCCATTGTTTTTGGAAGCTCAATGCGGTAGTTAGATGTCCAATGAATGCTGAAAAGTTCAAAAATTTCATGATCCAAAATATGTACTTTCGTAAATTCGATTTCAAAATGGAATTCCAATCTTTTTTCCCCAAAAAACTAAACGTAATATTTCGGCATGAGGCATTCCAAAAGCAAAAAACAAAAACGCTCAAAATAGTCGACATCAATTCAGGTAGATTTGAAGCTAAATCAACTCATTTAAATCAACAGCGGTAACAGTTTTTGGGTAAATTTTATTTGCACATATCACACAACTTTCACAAAATAACTAGATGACAAAAATTATTACTAGTATACCTGGATGTTAGGTTCTTGGATGATGTTTTATTATGGCCGTTTGGTGATCAGAGAAAGGATCGTTTATGCTCAAGAGACCAGCTCCGTAGTACTTATACTAAATTCAGTAATTAGTCGATAGTTACGCGAAAATATTTTAGGATATTTTAGGGAAAAACACCCATAAAATCACCTGACTGTTTTTTGTTTGATCCTGATGGTAAACCTTTTGCAAGTCTCGGCGCTTGCGATGAATCTGAAAGAAAACAGGTTCAAAAATGAGATTAGCTTCAAAAATCTTTTACTTTTAGCAATGCTTGTAAATCTTTTTCGGAGAAGTTGAGCTCTCCTTCCGATTCGGAGTCCGACTCAGCAACAAGTAGATCCTTTAGCCAAGTACGGCTTTTGACATTTCTGTAACTTGAGAACTTGAAAAATAGAAAAAAATCCCCAAACTTGAAATTGTGCATTTGGGAAGCATGTTCGATTCGCTCGGCCTCGTTCGGCCACACGGTGCACACTGAGAAAATTGATGGCGGTCGACCACTTTTTGAACCTGGCATTACAGAGGTACCAGGAATTCTAAAAGCTTTATATGAATGCTGTTAAAATAAAATACCCACTTAATCGGCTGCGCAAGGAGTCTTTCGAGTTGAGAGACGAATCGACCCAAATCAAGGTGTTGCTTCAATTTTTGCACACGTAGCGGCAATGCTGGCGTATCGGCCCGTTGAGCGGCCTCTTCTTCTGCCTGAAAAAAGTTTAAATGTAGTTGTTTGCTTTCGTGTTTCCAATGCGCGCATAACAATAAATAAAAAAAAACCTACCAATCTTTGCATTGTCTGATGTTGAACAAGTAATTGATGATGTGCTGGCGGAAGATGAGCACCACTGGGATGAGCACCTTGAGGCCCTTCGCGCATCCTTTGGATTTGCGCCGCAATTTGTCTCAAAGCTGCTCGATTCGGAGGGAGTTGACTGGTCGACGGATTCTAAATTCATCAATTAGAAATCGAATTTTAAAGTTAAAGTTGTGTGATCACTTTTCCGAACCAAAAAAAAAACTTACACCATGGTTTTGAATTTGTATCGAGGCCGGATCCAATCGACGCAAGTTTGCCGCTTCTACGCTTTGAGGTTCGGAAACTTTTACCATACTAACTGAAAATGGAAAATTAAAAAGTTTGTATTCAAAAGTAATAAGTAGTGAAAGTAACCATCCAACGACCGAGTACCTTACTCTAACCCATTAAAATTTGAATTTGTTTACTGTAGCAATCGTGCTTATCCACGTTTTAGTAGCCCATCACCGCTCTCAAATAAGTTGTCTCGAAAAGGTGCTTTGTAACAAAATTCATAAATATTTAGAAGATTTTAGAATTGAAAACCATTCACGGTGTAAATTTAGACTTTTAAGTACAAAGATTTATTCGAGTAACAATTTGGATAAAATTTGACTAAATCAACCAAACACAACAAAGTTCTAAAAATTAACAATAACAAGTTCAAAGATTCATTCAACAAAAACAAATTCAAAGATTATTTTTCTTAGACTTTTCCTTTTTCGCTGGTTTTTCTTCTTGGTTCACAACATCATCTCCCTCGACATGTCTTTTCTTTTTGTTCTTCTTTGGTTCTTCATCAAGCTCCTAAACAAAAATTTGCGTACAGTTTACAATGTAGTAAGACCAAAAACGTACAACTAATGGTTCTTCTTGACTAGCATCTGGTTCTTCGATATGTCTTTTCTTCTTTTTCTTCTTTGGTTCCTCGCCAAGTTCCATTGTTAGTTCTTCTTGAGCATCAACGACTGGTTCTTCGGTACACTTTTTCTTCTTCTTTGATTGATCGATTAACTCCTAGAAATTTAAAATAGCGTTACAAAAACATCGTGCAGTGCTGTCATGTATGCAAAAACTTACATTTGACGCCTCTTTTAACGCAGCCAGTTTAGCGGCCATTTTATCCTTGTAATAATCACCAGCAGAAACAGAACTAATCTAAAAATAATTTTTAAAAAAACTTTATTCTTTGACTAACCGAATGCTTTTGTGATGAAATTTCCACACTATCAGATGATTCTGGCTAAAATAAACTATTAACTATCAACCGAAATAAGATACTTTTGTGATCTCCTCGTTTTGCTCAGCCTTCTTTTGTTTATCCTTTTTGCTAATTCCAAGCCCAAGAACTGCCTGAAATTTGTTTTGTCCAAAGACAATAAATTATGAAAACTAGCCTTCTTTGCATTATCGTCGTATTCGGTGATATCTTTCGCTCGGGTAAACTTCTGATAACTAAAATTAGTGTCAGAAATCGTAAAAAAAAAAGATATAAACTTACTGGATTCGTCTCTTCAGCGATTTGCTTTTCAACTCTAGGCTAACTTGACTGGCCTTTTCTTTAGCAATACCTTCCTTAATATTCAAAGGTTTTTTGTGCAAATAGAATTCATTTACATCATCCTCTTTATTCGGCTTGTTTTTGTTCAAAGCGCTCAACAAATCGGCGAAATCATCGTGATGAGCGATCCACGTGCTATCGTAAGAGGCTATTGCACCAAGTCCTGAGCTAATAATAAAATCAAAATCTGTTCAAATCCCACCTTTCCCAGAAGTGTTAGCTTTGAGCTTTAAATTCTCCGTCATTCCACGACCACCTTTGCCCAAGCCTTCTCCATGTGACCAACCAAAATTATCGTCAAGTTTCTTGTTATTAACTAGAACACTTACCCCATCTTTTCCATCAATTTCTTTCCAAATTTTGACTCATCCTGTGCCCATTGTTGGTTTTGGGGATCAACCTGGGTGAGCACGATTATTGTTAGAAAAAAGAGACGCTTCCTCGGACACTTTTATCGTCAGAAGATCATAAATCACTCACCGAAATACGCTTCTTCCTCTTTGGTTCAGCAAGTATCGACATGCCTACCGTAAAAATTACAAATAGACGATGCCGAATTCAAAGTTTCTTTGAGGTAATTGCTCCCGAATGCAACAGTAATTTCTTTTCTCCTTCAAGCTTTTTTGAAAAATTTATTTAACCGGTACAGGAAAAAATACAAACACTTACAAAATAAATTAACGAATGCAAAAAAGATCATCACGAGAATAAACTGTCACGAAATTAAATTAATCACGATTTGCGATGATGGTAAGATGAGCTTCAATTTCTTCCGTGGTCAACTTGTTGAAAGCGCGCTTATCCTAAAACTTTCAGTATTTCAACTAGTAAACAAACTCGTACCTTGGTGACGTAAATAAGCTCAAGATCCGAAGCTCGCACATCATTTCCCAAGCTTTCCTAAAAACATAAACCATACAAGTATGTATGTATAAATAATAATTACCTGCAAAACTTCCAAAGCACATTGAATTGTGCCATCCTTGTCAAAGTCAGACTTTTTCTTCAACCTAAATTAAACCGTGGACACATTATTTTTATAATGCATACTTTTTCTCAAGAGAATGCTTGATGGTTGTGTCCTTCACTCCAAGACCAGCGCCTTTCATGTTTCGATAACTACCAGCTGGATCAATGCGATACACCTAAAGCAGTGTTTATTTTGTTACAACACGACAAGAAACCTGTGGGCCATCTTCATCATCGAAAGAAATCATCAACATACCGCAACCGAGCGATCGCATCTAAACTAACGTTTTATTTTGACACGCAAATTTTCCAACCTCAGCATTTTGGGTGTAGAATTGATTCAGATCAGCAATCCGACGAGCAAGCTGTTCAGCGGGCATATTGTAAGCGTTCTTGTACTTCCATTGAGCAGCTTCCAATTGTGCACGTCGTACCTAAAAAAGTAGTTCATTGAAAAGAAACCCAAAAAGCACCTGATATTTGCAATCAGGAATGATTCCCAACATACAGCAACTGATGGTGGGTGTCAATTGATAAACCTAAATTAGTGGATAAAGTTATAAAATGTGTAAAGTTACCGAGGTGACAGAGTCCGATACAATGAGTTTGTCAGGGATGCGCTTTTGAACAGCAATGCAAGCCGAATCAACTCCCTAAACGTACACATTTGCATAACCCATTCAAGAATCAATACCTTGACAGCTACCGCCGACAAATTGGTGCTGTTAATTGCTTTGAAGGCATACTCAACCTAAAAATGATAACTTTATTTTTATTGCGTTAAAATGATACCTGATAAACGCGTCCTTCAGGAGAAAAGATAGTAATGTGACGATCAAACCCGGCTGAGCTTCCGCGCGACATCTAACCTGGAAAATTTCTATTACTTAACGATTTGAGCATGTCAAGCTCGTAATCAGAAAGATAATAATTGATATTGTTGGTACAAACCAAAAGAAGAAAAAAATTGAGTACTTTAGTGCCATTTTTATTTTGTAAATACTTCCATAAATATTCAAAACGTACATACATCGGTAAAAAAATAAAATAATAGTGACAGCGAATGAAATTATGCATCAATATTATCTAGAGATCATAAAAACTAAAAATTGAGCTCGTTTCTCTTCCCGCGACGGTTTTTTTTTCATCTACCCACACAGCTGATTCCTCGAGGGGCCCCACTTGAGTGATGAAAACACTAAACTCGTAATGTAAAGTGAAAAATTTGTAAAACAAAGGTTATAAGAGTAATTTGCTTACCGGAATTTTAAATTGCTCGATCCTCGACCGCCCGACCTCGTTGCAATTCGTATTTCGCCAAATCCTCTGCTTGCTTGTCCAACTCGAGCTACAATTTTCGACGAGGATTTCCATCTGAAAAAACGAAGATTTTTTAAAACAGGTAACAAAAAAGCAGGCAAGTTATTGTTAATTATTAGTTTAAGCTTTCAAAGAACTTGTAAAGCTTTCTTCAAAGCTATTTTTAAAGTGCTGTATAACAAAAATATATTATTTTAAAACCACTAACTTTGCTGAATGAAGACAATCGGTGCCACAAATGATGAGCATGATGAGATCCGATTGGTCGTGGCCAAGAAACTCCCCTCGCAGTGTGATCAGTGTACCTAAAAAGAAAGATGAATATTCATAGGGTTTAAAAATATTTACCTGGAATTCCTTCGCATGGTGATAGCCCGGTAACAAGTGGTGGTCCGGAAGGCGGGTCATTCTCCGTCATCGAAGTCTAAAAACAAGGAAAATTTCTAGATTTCTTTATAAACTAGAAAAAAGTCAAGCAATTCAAGGTCTAGAAAATTAGCTACAACTTGTGTAACACTTAGAAAATGGTTATTGACTTGGCAACATCTAGAATTTCGACGATTTTGCAAAGAATTTCAATTTACCTAACGCTTTTGCTAGGCCCGACCGAGCCAGCTTGCTGGTAGTGGCCAAATTCGGCGCCAGACCACTTTCCTTCATCGCAATCTAAGAATATTTTTCTTCGTACGGGTAATTTTAAGGATCAAAACCAGTAAAATGAGTGAAATTGTTAAAAATGAGCATAAAGCACGTAAAATTCGACAAGTCTCAAAGATTTGACGTTGATTGATGAAAATGAGCAAAAGATGGCAAAGTTTTAAAACAAAATGGCAAAATGGGAGTGGGACAAATGCGACCTTTTTTTTGCGCACCTCTTTTTCCGCACTTAGCCCATTAGCGCACCTTTTTTCGTGTTTTAAAAAAGCTCTAAAAGCTAATATTAACCAATTTCTATTCCAAAAGTTGTTTTTCTAGGCAATTTTAGGGCGTAGAATCGAAATTTTGGCATATCAGAGCTTGTGGAAGCGAACGGACGGAGTTATACAAAGAGAAAAATCGACAATTTTCTGTAATTTGATCTAGCCGTTTTGTCTTTCAAATTGGTTCCACACGCTCTGTTATGTCAAAATTTGAATTCGACACCCTCAAATTACCTAGAAAAACAACATTTGGAATAGAAATTGGTTAATATTAGCTTTTTAGAGCTTTTTTAAAACGCGAAAAAAGGTGCGCTAAAGGGCAAGGTGCGGAAAAAAAGGTGCGCAAATGTCCGGGTGCGCAAAAAAAGGTCGCATTTGTCCCACTCCCGCAAAGTGCGTAAGTGGAGTGACAAAATAAAAAAAGAGAAAGAGAAAAAGAATTTCAATTAGGCTACAAATTTTTTTAAAGTCTATGCAATTTAAAAGCTAAATAATTTTTGTATCTTTAATCCGACTCTAGCAAACAAAGGTTCATGATAGGAAATTTCCTTAAATCATCCCCGAATAGTTGAAGTCGCGCTACGATGGGGAAAGGGGCAAGAGCACGTTTTAGGCGCCAGTCATGCAGCCGTTTTCAAAACAAAGCGCTCAATACATAGCTAAAACGCGCTCCAATAACTTTTCCACCGTAGTCCTGCTACAAACTATAGTTTGACGGATATTTCCTATCATAGGCAAAGTGTTTGTTTTAACAACCGCAGTTTTAACAATCGCGTTTTAACAATCTCCAGCTGCTTAGCATTTGGCTCTATTAAATTTTAGAAAAACGTCCTTAGCAATGGTAAACAGAGAAAGTCGCGTAGTCGCTACGACGCTAGGATAATGACGTTTTTCTTAAATTTATTAGAGTCAATATTTTGTGTAATTTGTTTTCTTGTTTTCTTGTTTTCGGGGGGGTGGGACAAATGCGACCTTTTTTTTGCGCACCTGGACATTTGCGCACCTTTTTTTTTTGCTGGAAAAGGCCTTAGGCAAGGCCGTAGAGCTTCAAAAATGTTTTCATATAAGGGAATCGTATGCGTAGATTCAGAATTTTGACAAATCAGACCTCGCTTACACGTCAAATTTGGGCTAAAAGGCAAAAACTACGCAACTTAACGCTTTTCCGCAATGTCCAGGTGCCCAAAAAAAGGTAGCACTTGTCCCACCCCCTGTTTTCGTGGTAGTGTTGTGCAAAATCTCTAGGGTGGTACTACGCCGGTTGGGGGGCACTTTTCTTCTTGAAAGACACTTTTTCTGGGATAATTTTTAACGCTGATTCCAAATTTCAATATCTTAAGTCCGCTAAATAAGTTTTAATCTCAGAAAAGTCACTTCTAAGATGTTCCTTTTTTGCACTTTAAATACAAATTTCCCTGTTAAGCACGGGCTCGACTCCGGCTTCGGCTGTACGTGAAAATTATTGATCGCTCTGGCTTCGGCATAATTATTGACCGCTTAAAATTATATAAGCCTTCTAATTTTCTTGTCCACAAAGATCAATTTCATTGTAAAACAATGAAAATAATCCACAAAAACAAAAAGTTGATAAAACTTGGTTTGATTTTTGCTTTTGCTTTTGCTCCTTTGCTTTTGCTTTTGCTTTTGCTCTTTTGCTTTTGCTTTTGCTCTTTTGCTTTTGCTCCTTTGCTTTTGCTCTTTTGCTTTTGCTCCTTTGCTTTTGCTTTTGCTTTTGCTCGGATGCACGCGTGAAGACTATTTGAAAAAAAATAAACCGTGCGCCGTAGGCAATCTTCATCATCGGAAGATAGAGGCAAAATCGCCTCTATCTTTCGATTAAAGCTGATATGAAAATCACTTCAAATCTTTATTTGATTGTTATTTTAATAGCTCTTTGTTTTAATTTAGCAAAACAAGGCTTCTGAAGAGGCTACGAAATTGAACAGATTCCCCTAGCGTCAGGATTGCACAGTCCAAGCTGTATGAGCGGGCGATCTTAATGCAAGACGTATGGATTAGCCCGAAAATATGAATCTTTTCAAAAAATTAAGCCAAGAATCTTTTTTTTAATTAAAATACCACTCAAATAAAGATTTGAAATGGTTTTCGTATCAGTTTTAATCGAAAGATTGAGGGGGTTTTGATGAAGATTGCCTGTGGCTATTTTTTCCAAGTAGTCTTCACAGTCAAACTGCATTTTATTAACTTTTTTTTGTTTTTATGGATTATTTTCATTGTTTTAGAATGAAATTTATCTTTTTAGTGTTCAAGAAAATTTCAAGGCTTATAGGAGCGGTCAATAATGTTGGATCTAATCTTAACTGAATACCTTAATCTAGACTGAATACCCTAATCTAGACTGAATGCCGTAATCCAGCTGATCTTAACTGAATACCTTGATCTAGACTGAATGCCGTAATCCAGCTGATCTTAACTGAATACCTTAATCTAGACCGAATACTATATTCTTGTAGTCCGGACCGTGCAGAGAGTGGGTTTAGGGGAGTTTAAATACCCGCCAACCGGTGTAGTACCATGATCTGTACTAATCAGCTAATCTTTCTTTCATTAGCTAATTGTTATAACAGGAATGTTGTCACCATATTCGTCAAAAACGACAAGTCCAATGTCACCTGGTCTCTCCGTGCATACCGCGCTGGGAAGCGTTTTCCGAGCCGTGAGCAGTTTCGACCGCACCAATCGCACCAATTCACACTTTTCAAATTGATACGAATATATTGTCAAGTTTTTCAACTCTAGTATAAGCCTGATAGCCTAAGCCTAGCCTAGCCAGATTGACCAGCGTAAGCAGAATAGAAAATGTTAACATTTTTCCATTTGAAGTTTACCTGACAATATATATTATCGTTTATATTATTGTTTATATCATTGTTTATCCTGCATGTGTAAATTTCGGGTTTTTTTTGTTCATTTTTAATTTTCCTCGGTTTTTCGCTTGGGTTTCGGTTTTATTTTTTATGCAAACCATCAAAATTTTCAGATCTCGATGACGGAGAATGGCCCGAGTTGGGGCCCGCCGGTGGTCACCGGATTGTCGCCAACAGAGGGGATACCAGGTTGGCTAAAACAACAAAAAAAAATCTAGCACTCAAGTGATCAGTTTTTAATTATTAACGCCACGTGAACTTGAAGCTGAGAACAGAAAACAGTTAGTGCTCATCTAGGCACCCAAATCACACTTCGCGGCGAGTTTCTCGGTCATGATGCATCCGATCTCATCATGCTCATCATTTGTGGCACCGATTGTCTCCATTCGGCAAAGTTGGTGATTCTTTGAAATGAAAGACATCTGACAATTGGATAAACTGATCGAATTGTTCAGTAAATTTTTCCAGATCAGGTCAATCTAGAATCGAGTGTGTTTCTCTCAAACAAATAATTATTTGAATAACGAGTCAAATAAGGCGCTCTAAAAAGGGAATCTAGTCAAAATAGCGCTGCTAAAACAGCGCCGTTCAAAACAACGCTCATACAAACATAGCGCTGTTCAAAACAGCGCCAAATTTAATGATTTTAATGATTTCAAATTTAAATATAGATTAATTAGCGCTCTTTTAAAGTTTTCGATCAAAGCTTTAATTTTTTGTGAATTTCGAAGTAAAATAGTAGATGAGAACTTGCTTATTAAATTAACAAAATGAAAAAGGTCTAGATAGTAGATAGTACAGCTTGTTAGTACTTGACAGTACTTGACAGTACTTGTTAGTACTTGTTAGTACTTGTTAGTACTTGACAGTACTTGTTAGTACTTGTTAGTACTTGACAGTACTTGTTAGTACTTGACAGTACTTGACAATACTATCAAGCACAGTTCTTGCTATCATTACCAGACAAAGCTCTGACTTTCAGATGGAAATCCCCATCAAAAATCGTGGCTCGAGTTGGACAGGCGAGTCGAGGGTTGGGCGAGATTCGGATTGGGACAAAATCCGGTGGCAGAGGGTCGAGTAATGTGAAATTCCGGTAATAGATTTAAGATTTTATGTGGAACAAGATAATTCTTCAATCTCTAGTATCAAAATCTCAAAATCTTACAACAAATTCAGTGTTTTCATCACTCAAGTGGGCCCGCTCGAAGAGTCGGCTGTGTGGGTGGATGAAACGAGGACAGTGCCAGGAAGAGAGGTATGACAATTGCCTTGTACTGACCAAAATCGATTAACAAGCTAAGGATTACTGTACTAGAGGGCGCGCAATTACGGAAATCAATCTATTTCTGGTTTAATAACCAGAAATAGATTGGTTTCTGGGTGAATAACCACTGATTTCTTCAAAGAATCAATGTTTGAATGAGCTTTAAAGCATGTCTTGGCCGCTAGGGCCGCTATGGCCGCTAGGGAACTTCAAACACTGAAATCTAATCCAATCAAACGTCTTGAGATACCCATTTTTGAGATTCTTGTTGAAATTTTTGGTAATTTTCGTTGGGAACGGGCTAGCGTAGGCTTTCGCGCACTGTTTCGCGCTTCTTCACCGTCTTCTTTGTTGTTACTGTTGTCCTTGGGCCTCATCCTGGTCGACGAGAGGTCGACGACGACGAGAATTCGTTCCCATGGCTTTGTAGCGTTGAATTGTCTTTAAAACAACAGACATAGCCACTACTGGAAATGCTTTTCTGTCACATTCCCCGTTTTTAGAAGTTGATGATCGAATCCCTGTCGGATCGAATCCCATCCGATTTCTTAGCCATTCTAAAATTTCAAGAACATTAAGAAGAACCTCAGTTACCGTAATTGCACCACTCTGTAGATAAATATTATTGTAGCTTTATTGACCAGTATGGCCAAGTATGGCCTTACAAGAAAGGCCTTACAAGCAAGTAAAGCTTACTAAATGCTGTACAGGTTACTCTGCAGTAACCTGTACAGCATTCAGTACTGTACTGTACTAAACAAATTGTTTTTGGTTAGTACAAAAAGATTCCTGTACTGTGCTAGCTTTTAGGCAATTCGTAACGTTGCCCCTAGCATCGAGGACCGAGACGCGCTGGGATTGGAAAAGACGAAGAAAGCGGACATCGGATGGTTAGCGAACGAGTATCCGGACGGTTCAAGTGAGTTACAAGTGAGATGGATATGGTGTAGCTCTTTGGTGGTATCCGCTAATGATAAACGAAAGGACGCGGGTTCAAATCCCGGTGCTGATCGGTTCCCGGCCTAGAGCTGATCAAATCCCAGCCTAAAGCTGATCAAATCCCAGCCTAGAGCTGATCAAATCCCAGCCTAAAGCTGATCAAATCCCAGCTGATCAAATCCCAGCCTAAAGCTGATCAATGAAATAGAGCTGGCGTTTCCAAGTAATAGTCAAAAGGTTAAGCTTTTCAAATGACGGTATCTCAAAATGGTTTAACCTGTAGTGTTACAAAGAAATAATACGGCGTTACAAAATAATGCTCTAGTTCAATATTCAAACTTCTTTAGCACTTCATCTTTAGGCAATCTTCGCATGGAGAGCTTCAATCCACAACTTTATCTACTCGAGTACCACATGGATTCCAGGTTTTAGCCTTGCGCTCTAGTCTTTGCGCTCTTGTCGCTCAAGTCTTCTAGAAAGTATTCAGCTTACAATGTCTCAATTCAGCTTACAATGTCTGCGTGAGGGGTTGAAGAATATTGAGCTCGATAAGAGGAGTGAAGCGAAGAATGAAGAAGAGATGCACAAGGTATTTCTAAAAACATTACGAAGAACAAGATCAAGAACAAGAACAAGAACAAGAACAAGAACAAGAACAAGAACAAGAACAAGAACAAGAACAAGAACAAGAACAAGAACAAGAACAAGAATAAGAATAAGAATAAGAACAAGAACAAGAACAAGAACAAGAACAAGATCAAGAACAAGATCAAGAACAAGAACAAGAACAAGAACAAGAATAAGCTGCAGTAGTCACAAAGTGAGCTCAACTTTAAACTGAAATGCGTTACAGGCAAATCTCTACTCATTGATCAACTGCGTCGACTCACTTGCCGCTCTCCATAATGAACTCGAGAGTGCGCACAAAGCTGGAGAGTTCGCAGTGATCAAACAGATTGCTTCTCAGGTAGGAGTTGATTGTTTCGACTTGACCAAAGCTTTGTGATGATCTTGAGCTTGATTGGACTAACTTGATTGGAACAGAGCTTGATTGGACTAACTTGATTGGAACAGAGCTTGATTGCTAACTTGATTGGAACAGAGCTTGATTGGACTAACTTGATTGGAACAGAGCTTGATTGGACTAACTTGATTGGAACAGAGCTTGATTGGACTAACTTGATTGGAACAGAGCTTGATTGGACTAACTTGATTGGAACAGAGCTTGATTGGACTAACTAACCAATCCTGATGGCTGTAATCTTTTTTTGAGTAAGGTTAAGGTTGAAGAAAAAGTAATATCGGTTTTTGGTCATAAAACTGTCAATTGCTAAAAACATAATCAATCAAAAATCAATCAACAATCAATCAATCAAACATCAATGAGATATTCTGCATTATTATTGATGACTTGTTTCCATCTTCGTCTTGTTCGACTTGTGAACAAGTCGAACCAAGAGTTGACCGGTTGACCAAGAGAAAGCCACTGATTTTTGCGCTTCACATTCTCATATTGAATCCCTGTTTCATCAGATGTTAGAATTTTTCCCCAAAAATCATGAGATTTGCCTTTTTGAAGCAGAGTCGAGCTCACGGTGACACGAATTGTTTTGCCTTGTTGCGAATGTTGCGAAAACTCTCCATTTTTTTGGAGATGATCCCATCCTCAAAAAATCTCTAAAGTTGCAAAGATGACATCTAAAGTTGCAAAGGTGACATCTAAAGTTCCAAGGAGACCATTTCCTTGCAGCCACATCGATTTGTTGAGTATCCTTCGGTAACTCAACAATGCTCCCCCTAAAAAAACGACCTCTTCTAGTTAGACGAATCCAAAAGGGAGCACCTATCTATCAAGAAGATGTGCCAGAAGGCGAGCGATTATGTGCGCGCTGAAAGAGCACCTCGCCGATCATTTAGAGATTTCTCTCTTGCTTTGTAAATGGCACAGAAAAAAGATATTTAGCTGTAAATTTGTACCCTGGGGTTTTCGGGGTCGGGGAATCGATTGGAGTGATTTATTTTATTGAGTCTACGAATTAGAACCATAGCCAGAACCGATTTTCAGATCAAAGAAGCCAAATCGGAAGCTGAATCAGTTTTTCGAGAAGTTTTAACGCGAAAAGATCGTGCGGATGCGACGAGAAATGCACTCTCAGTGCTCACTCGTTTTAAATTCATCTTCTTTCTCAACAAGTCGATTGATGAGAATTTGACTAAGGTAAACGATCATTTATCAGATTTTTGAATTTTTATTAGAAAAATACTGATTTCAGGGTGAATTCTCTGCAATTCTTAACGATTATACCCGTGCCAAATCACTTGTAAAGGACACCGAAGTAGCGCTTTTTCGCGAGGCGATGGCTGGCGCTGACAAGAAGATGGCTCAATTCAAGGAAGAGCTAAAGCATCGGCTTGTGGAGAGTACAGCCTCGTACGAAGAGCAAAGCAAATTGATCAAGTATTTGAAGGTTAGTTGGCAAAGGATTAGGCTTATTCCAATGGTTTTGCAAGAAATAGCTTGTACACAACTCAGAATTTCCTTTGCCTCTCTCCCCTTCCTAGTACAAGGCTTAACTTCTGTAGATCTTCTGTAGATTGTTAGCTTCTTTCTTCTTTCTTCTTCATTTCTTTCTTCTTCCTTCCTTCCTTTCTTTCTCCTTTCTTCTTCCTTCCTTTCTTGTACACAACTCAGACTTCCCTTTACCTCTCTCCCTTCCTAGTAGAAGGCTTAACTTCTGTAGATTGTTAGATTCTTTCTTCTTCCTTCCTTTCTTGTACACAAATCAGACTTTCCTTTACCTCTCTCCCTTTCCCTCCTTGTTCTCCGTTCTCCCTTTCCTAATAGTAGAAGGTTTAACTTCTGTAGACCGGCTGTAGATTGTTAGCTTCTTTCTTCTTCCTTTCTTTCTTCCTACTGCTTCCTTTCTTTCTTCCTTCTTCTTCCTTCCATTCTCCTTCCTTCCATTCTTCTTCCTTCCATTCTTCTTCCTTCCATTCTTCTTCCTTCCATTCTTCTTCCTTCCACTCTTCTTCCTTCCATTCTTCTTCCTTCCACTCTTCTTCCTTCCATTCTCCTTCCTTCCATTCTTCTTCCTTCCATTCTTCTTCCTTCCATTCTTCTTCCTTCCATTCTCCTTCCTTCCATTCTTCTTCCTTCCACTCTTCTTCCTTCCACTCTTCTTCCTTCCATTCTTCTTCCTTCCATTCTTCTTCCTTCCATTCTTCTTCCTTCCATTCTCCTTCCTTCCATTCTTCTTCCTTCCACTCTTCTTCCTTCCACTCTTCTTCCTTCCATTCTTCTTCCTTCCACTCTTCTTCCTTCCATTCTTCTTCCTTCCATTCTTCTTCCTTCCATTCTCCTTCCTTCCATTCTTCTTCCTTCCACTCTTCTTCCTTCCACTCTTCTTCCTTCCATTCTTCTTCCTTCCATTCTTCTTCCATCCATTCTTCTTCCTTCCATTCTTCTTCCTTGTCCTTATCTTTCCTATTTCTTCTTGAGCAAAGAATGGATTTTAGATCTTGGATCCAGATTCAGATCCCTGGTGGGACTGTATCACTTCGTGTCATTGTTGGCTTGAAGAGGTTCTGTGGGCACTTCAAGAAACGCATCAAAAGAAAGGTGATATATCTAGATTTAGGTAGAAAATATATTTAATAAAAATCTATCTATTTATCAAAACAAATTCCAGCTGTTGAAGACGCCAAGCAGACACAGAGTGGAAGAGTGTTAAGTAAGCTAATGTTTTTGAATCAAAAGAACAAGATGTAACAAAATGTAACAAAATGTAACAAAATGTTCAGTTGTTGAAGTAAATCATCGACAAGTTTTCATCACAGAGATGGTCTCAATTCTACTTTCGAAGTTACAGGTAGATTGTTGATAGTGAAAAGCATGGAAATTCAAGTTTTCTCGTAGTATTAGATGAGAAATTTGTATTTTAGTACTTCTGGAAGCTAGCCAGTAACTACACGAATAACGACAGCCGATCAACGCAGCGATTGGATGATGTTAATGTAAAGTTCTTTGACAGCCAATCTTTCTTTGACAATAACTGCAAAAAAAGCTATTCACAGTTAAAGATCTAAAGCTACAGTAGGTACTAGGATAATCCACTTCCTTATCACACTTTCTCGACTACCTTCTTTCTACTTTCTCGACTACCTTCTTGCTACCTCCTTTCTACGTTCTCGACTGAATTAAAAAAATCGACTTTCATCAAAAACCTAATTACTATGTCTCTTTTTATCCAGTCTATCCACTTTCATAGTTCTATAATAGTTCACAAAGGTTATTGAGAAATCTCTGTATAAAAGAGGTGTCCGTTCGTGCGTCTGTCCGCCACGCTCTGGATCTCGGCTCTCCGTGGACCTATTTTAACAAACTTTTTTTGATCGATAGATAATTAAAAATGAATAGGTAAATCCTTTTTGGTTAAAACAAGTTTTTCATCAAAAAACCTGTAAAAAATTAGAAAAACTACTTGGGCACGTCTCTTTTTGTCTTCAGCGGACCTAGGGTCATCCCTGGTCGAGGGCAGGACCCAGCGGACCTAGGGTCATCCCTGGTCGAGGGTAGGACCCAGCGGACCTAGGGTCATCCCTGGTCGAGGGCAGGACCCAGCGGATCTAGGGTCATCCCTGGTCGAGGGCAAGACCCAGCGGATCTAGGGCCATCCCTGGTCGAGGGCAAGACCCAGCGGATCTAGGGCCATCCCTGGTCGAGGGCAAGACCCAGCGGACCTAGGGTCATCCCTGGTCGAGGGCAGGACCCAGCGGACCTAGGGCATGGTCAAGGTTGTTAGCGTTCCGTCTACGAAGCGACTGCCCTAGGTGGGTGTCGGGTTCGACTCCCGTCCGTCCGTCCGTCCGTCCATCCCTGTTTTCAAGCATGGAGTTGAAGGAAAAGGAAAAGGAAAAGTGAAAGGAATGGAAAGGAATGGAAAGGATCAGGAAAAACAATCGGATTGCCGTATCAATTAAGAATTATTAAGAAATTAATACGATAACCCATCCACTATTTAGCAAATGCTCATCAACACAATCAATGTCTCATCATGGCTTCTTCTTAACGCTTTGGTACCAAAATCGATGCCCGATGAAGTCTTGGAAAGGTTTAGAATTGGAATTGGAATTGGAAACAAACAAACAAACAAATTCGAAACAAAATGGTTTTAGATATAAATCGAAATTCCTGCATTGGCCCGAATTGACGCTAGAGCTAGAGCGAAGCACTTTGTCCTATTCGCTTAAACATTTGAGGTTAGTTAGGATAAAGATTGGCGAGATAAATGAAAATTTGGTAAATCGGTAAATCGGTGACACTGGAGCTTGAGTTTACTCTTGCTTCTAGTATTAAGTGTGGTCACTTGGTGACTGCGTACTGTATAGAGTGGTCACTTGGTGACGAAGACAGCTTCAGGCGGGGAGTTTAGCTGGGGCGGTAAATCTGTCAAATCGTAAAGCAGGTAAAGAATCTTTAGCACAAAATTTTCAGAGGTCTCATCGCTTCCCTTCTCGAAACACAATTCACTTCACAGCATGTTCAACCATTGGTCGAATTGTGTATGACAGTGAGACTCAAAGCTATCTCGAATATTGTAGAGAAAGGACAAGAAGGTTGGGTACTTGTTGAGAGTGTTGGGTTGGGTTGGGTACTTGTTGAGAGTACATTTCTAGATTCTTAAGTGATGTCTACGAAATCTTACAAGTTGTTAGAGAAGCTGGAGAGTGAATGGCCAGCTTTGACTCAGTAAATGGCTAGCTTTGACTCAGTAAATGGCCAGCTTTGACCAGCCAGCTTTGACCAGCCAGCTTTGACCAGCCAGCTTTGACCAGCCAGCTTTGACCAGCCAGCTTTGACCAGCCAGCTTTGACCAGCCAGCTTTGACCAGCCAGCTTTGACCAGCCAGCTTTGACCAGCCAGCTTTGACCAGCCAGCTTTTTTTTTTTTTTTTTTCTCTTTTTTTTTTTTTTTTGCGGTTTTTTTTTTTAAAAACAAACTTTTTTGGGAGGGAAAAAAATGAATCACCAAATCTCAGAAATTTTCAGATCAGGCCTTAGAAAGACGCACTTAGACTTATCAGAAAGAGCTGATAGCAAGAGTTGATAGCAAGAGCTGATAGCAAGAGCTGATAGCAAGAGCTGATATCAAGACTTATCAGCTTTCGATGTTTTTGTAAGGGTTTGAACAAGATTTGGCTTCTAGAAAGGACCAGACTGAAGAAAACATTGGGTTCAAGTCTGGAGAGCTAGTCATCGGCTCACAAATCGAAGAAAGTTCAAGAGTTCTGCCAAAAACCACTTTCCGGACTTTTCTGGTTGATCACCTAGCTCTGCAGACTTGCAGAGCTCTGCAGAACCCAATGGATTCTTCAGTCTGGTCGTTTCTAGAAGCCAAATCTTGTTCAAACCCTTACAAAACCGTACAAAGTCTTACAAAAACGTTCAAAGTTTTACAAAAACATCGAAAACTTGAAGAAAACACTTAAAATTAGAGCTTTATCTTGTTTCCACAATTATGGCGCACCCTATATGTGTTAAAGAATCTGAAAACTTGCCGTTAAAGTGGTTAAATCTTGTTTTTTCGTTGGACACTTATTGAAAAGACAAACAAAAGAACATTTCGATTGCCTTCTACTGTACTTAAAGCCCTTTTTTAAATAACTTTAGCAAGATTTAAGCTTTAACTTCAGCAATCACGGCTCTCGCGAAAAAGGAGAACTGGCAGCACAGAGAGCTCGTCTCGAAAGGTGTCATCAAAACGGCGATACCGGATTTGTTCGAAAATGAGGTTAGTGTCTAGCTCTGATAATTTGAAACCATTTGGAATCCATTCAGATTTGCGAATGTATTTCAACAGCTCGCGAAGTCTTTTCATCGTCTGGATACACTGGCGAATCGGATTTGTTCTCGAGAGAGGCGTTTGTTTTCAAATATTCTTAAGTTTTTTGAACTATATAAGTTTTTTGAACTATTTTAAGTTTTAAACTTTAAACTATACTTGTAAGACTTATGATTAGACTTTGGCTTCTTTTGGAGTACTGTAATGGACTTGCTAAAGCTTTAAAGTTTATGGGAACCTTTAAAGAAAGAGGCGAAAGGGTTGAACCGGCTTCTAGACTAGGTCAGAAGCTTGACTTCTGACGGGCCGTTTGTCTGTCCGTCTGTCCGTCTGTCCGTCTGTCCGCCTGTCCGTCTGTCCGCTTGTCCGTTGGTACGCTTGTCCGCTTGTCCGTTTGTCCGCTTGTCCGCTTGTCCATTCGTCTGTCCGTTCGTCTGTCCGTTCGTCTGTCCGTCCGTCCCTCCGTTCGTCTGTTCGTTCGTCTGTCCATCCGTCTGTTCGTCCGTCCATCCGTTCGTCCCTCCGTTAGTCTGTCCGTTCGTCTGTTCGTTCGTCTGTTCGTTCGTCTTTTCGTTCGTCTGTCCGCCCCTCCGTCCATCTGTCTGTCCGTCCATCCGTTCGTCTGTCCGTTCGTCTGTCCATCCGTCTGTCCGTCCATCCGTTCGTCTGTCCGTCCGTCTGTCCTTTCGTCTGTCCATCTGTCTGTCCGTCCATCCGTCCGTCTGTCCGTCCGTCTGTCCGGTCCATCCATCCGTCCGTCGGTCCGTCCGTCTGTCCGTTCGTCTGTCCGTCCATCCATCCGTCCGTCTGTCCGTCCGTCCATCCGTCCGTCTTCTCCGTCCATCCATCCGTCCGTCCGTCTGTCCGTCTGTACGCGGGAGTTCTCGGCCCCTCGTCAGCCGATTTACATAATTTTTAGTTTATTAGATTTAGAATTCTATATAGTTGTTCATCTCATATTTCGTTTTTTAAAAAGCAAAAGTCACGATCAGCTGGGAGTCGAACCCTGATCGTGTGGGCCGTAGACAAGCACACCCCTGACTGCACCATGGCGACAAACTGCCCGTCAGCTTCAAAACAGCCAGAAAAATCCGCCGATAAGGCGTTTTTGGCTGCTATATTGTAGCTAAACATTCAGATTACGCAAAAACATCATCGATTTACTGGTGGCTTTGATCAGCTCTGTACGGCGTTGCTTCGGGACGATGCTTCACTTGAACAATGCCGAGAAACGGCCGAATGATTTGGACATTGACAAGAAGAATGGAAAGAGAGCCGATCCAGAGGAAAGAGGACAGGTTTGTGAGCTGGTTTTTGAGTTTTTCAGCTTTTCAGCTTTTCAGCTTTGCTCTTTGTCAAAAACCCAGCAATTTCAGATTACGACAAAGAAGATTTTGATCGCCATTTGCAACATTGAGTACATCGCGAACACGTCGTTGAAGAATATCAGTCGAAGGATGACCGAGAACGGGGTCAAGTATGCCGATTTGATTTATGAGGTAAAGAAAGTTTAAAGAAAGTTTGATGCTTTTGCATTAGATTCACAAAGATCTCTGGATTCTAGAGGAATCTAGAGTTCTAGTAGATTCTAGATGATTCTAGAGTTCTAGTAGATTCCAGAGTTAGTAGATCTTCATGCCCTGGAGCTTCTTGCCTTCTTCATGCCCTGAGATCTTCCCTAGGGTCTAAGCTTAAGCCTGAGCCTAAGCCTAAGCCTAATCCTAAGCCTGAGACTAGCCCTGAGCCTAGCCCTGAGCCTAAGCCTAAGCCTGAGCCTAAGCCTAAGCCTATCCTAAGCCTGAGCCTAGCCCTGAGCCTAGCCCTGAGCCTAAGCCTAAGCCTGAGCCTAAGCCTAAGCCTGAGCCTAAGCCTAAGCCTTAGCGAAAGCCAAGAATACTCTAAAAGCCCTAATAGATCCTGTAGACTTAGAGAAACCAAGAAGAGTCTTAATAGTCCTAGGAGTCATAATAAACTGACTATGAGAGCTCTAATAGACCTTGTACCGAGTAAAATATTGAAGTCCTTAGACCCTGACCCTATGAACTCTAGAGTACCATCAAGACTTCAAACATTTGAGCAATGTAAGGTAGCTCCAGGCTCCAGGGTCCAGGGTCCAAGTCCAGGGCCAAAGGTCCAGGGTTCAGGGTCCAGGGCTCAGGATCCAAGTCCAGGGCCCAAGGTCCAGGGTTCAGGGTCCAGGGCTCAGGATCTAAGTCCAGGGCTCAGGCTCCAGGGCTCAGGCTCCAGGGCCCAAGGTCCAGAGTCCAGGATTCAGGATCCAAGTCCAGGGCCCATGGTCCAGGCTCCAGGGCCCAAGGTCCAGAGTCCAGGATTCAGGATCCAAGTCCAGGGCCCATGGTCCAGGCTCCAGGGCCCAAGGTCCAGAGTCCAGGATTCAGGATCCAAGTCCAGGGCCCATGGTCCAGGGTTCAGGGTCCAAGGTCCAGAGTCCAGGCAATACTGTTCACTTCAAATCCAAAGTAAGGCAAAGGCCTACTCTGGCAATGGGAGCTGTCGGTGTAGCTCATTGGTAGAGCGTTAAGCGAGAGCGAGAGATCCAGCGAGAATCCCGGCGCGGAGCATTCCTGGCTCCAATCCATAAAAGGATCAGCGTATCCAACTCCAATATCTTTCAGAGTGCTCAAACAAAACTTCTCGCCTATCGCCAGCAGCTAATCGGCTTGTACAATGGAATCAAATGCTCAATCTTTCAAACCCTAGTCCACTCGATAAATTACGACTATTTGCCGGATGATGGTAGGTTTAAATAAAGCTTGGCATTGACAGCTTTGGAGATTTAGAGCTTTAGAGCTTCAGCTTTAGAGATTTAGAGATTTAGAGCTTCAGCTTTATAGCTTTACAACTTTCCATTCCCATTTCCACAAATTTCAGATGTTTCCGATTTTGCGAAAGAAATCATCATGAATTGTGTGTTAGAGCAGGCGGAGTTAGAGGTTTGGAAAGTATTCTATTGAAGCTGAAGCTGGTTTTAGGTGAATGCGCCACAGTTGACACATGAATGTCTAGAGCACAGTGTTCAGTACGCATTTCAACAACTCATTCTCTATCTGGTGAGAGTTTGCTTGAGTGCTGTAGGCTTCTCAGGCACAGAATCAATGGGTTTTATGTTAAGCTGGGCTAGTTAAGCTCAAAGTCAAATGCTTTCAACTTTGGTTAGGCTTTGGGCAAGTCCAGAAGGCAAGGAGGTAGGCTAGAAGGCAAGCAGGCAGGCTGGAAGGCAAGCAGGCAAGCTAGAAGGCAAGCTGGCAAGCTAGAAGGCAAGCTGGCAAGCTAGAAGGCAGGCAAGCAAGCTAGAAGGTAAGGAGGTAGGCTAGAAGGCAAGCTGGCAAGCTAGAAGGCAAGTAGACAAGCTAGAAGGCAAGCAGGCAAGCTAGAAGGCAAGCAGACAAGCTAGAAGGCAAGCAGGCAAGCTAGAAGGCAAGCAGGCAGGCCAGCAGGCAAAAGTCGACTCAAAATCCAGGCTTTATACTAAAAACAGCTTATTACCTAATATTTTAGTTATTAGATTCTTTAAGAAGCTGTCACACACGAGCTCATAAGGGTGACTTTCTATGCTAAATATCTCGCGTTTTGGAGGCGTTCTGCTAAAACTAGAAACAGATTCGCGATTCCCATGACTGACTCTATAAGATCTATAAGAAGAGGAAGAAGAGGCTAACTGGCTGGTCAAGAAGAGGCTAACTGGCTGGTCAAGAAGAAGCTAACTGGCTGGGCAAGAAGAAGCTAATTGGCTGGCCAAGAAGAGGCCAACGCTGGACTTGATCTAGAGTCCAAAACCCAGCTTGATTGCCTTTTCCTTTTCCTTGTAAGACAATATTGAGCCAAAAGCTAAAAGCCAAAAGCCAAAGTGATCATTTTTGCAGAAAGACAATCCGCCTCGTGATCTCGATTCAACGACGCAATGTGTGATCGACATTTCGGGGCTCGAGCAAGCGTTGAGTCCATTTCTCAGTCTTGGATCGAGAGCGAGTTTGAATCAATATCGAGCAGCTTTGGTCGGACGATTGGATCAATTGTGAGTTGAAAAGGGGACAAGGACAGTGCTCTAAGCGTGACGATGAGCTTAAAGCGTGCCTTTCGAGAGCTACCGTAATCTTGTCTTTAGTAAAGCTACCGTAATCTTCTCTAATTCTTGTTTAATTCAAGTTATCCACTTTTGATCTGAGAAGGGCTGAGTCAAATGCTATGCAACCTATACCATTCGACGCAGAATTTTACGCTGATTTCAAATATAGATTCCGTTTTTGCTAAATGACAATCTGTCAGGAGTTATAAACGTCTAAAGTTTTGTTTTGTTAGTTTTAGTTTTGTTAGGACTCTGAAAATGTGATTTTAGCGGTCCCATTTGGGTCTTAACGGCCTTCTTGCGGACCCGTTTCAGTGCAGCCGTGGCCGAGTGGTACAGTGTTCGTTTTCAGAGCGAGACCTCGCAGGTTCGATCGGAATTTTCCTTTGCGGGATTGAACTTGTGAGGTCTCGCTCTGGAAACGAACGCACCCATTAAGACCAGCAAGGATGCCTCTAAGACCCGATAAGACCCATTAAGACCAGCAAGGAGGCCGTTAAGACCCATTAAGACCGGCAAGAATGCCTCTAAGACCCGATAAGACCAGCAAGGAGGCCGTTAAGACCCATTAAGACCGGCAAGAATGCCTCTAAGACCCGATAAGACCAGCAAGGATGCCTCTAAGACCCGATAAGACCAGCAAGGATGCCTCTAAGACCCGATAAGACCAGCAAGGATGCCTCTAAGACCCGATAAGACCAGCAAGGAGGCCGTTAAGACCCATTAAGACCAGCAAGGATGCCTCTAAGACCCGATAAGTCCCATTAAGACCAGCAAGGAGGCCGTTAAGACCCATTAAGACCGGCAAGAATGCCTCTAAGACCCGATAAGACCGGCAAGGAGGCCGTTAAGACCCGATAAGACCAGCAAGAATGCCTCTAAGACCCGATAAGATCGGCAAGGAGGTCGTTAAGACCCGATAAGACCGGCAAGGAGGTCGTTAAGACCCGATAAGACCGGCAAGGAGGCCGTTAAGACCCGATAAGACCAGCAAGGAGGCCGTTAAGACCCATTAAGACCGGCAAGAATGCCTCTAAGACCCGGTAAGACCGGCAAGGAGGCCGTTAAGACCCGATAAGACCAGCAAGGATGCCTCTAAGACCCGATAAGACCAGCAAGGAGGCCGTTAAGACCCATTAAGACCAGCAAGGATTGCTCTAAGACCCGATAAGACCCGCAAGGAGGCCGCTAAGACCATTAAGACCTATTAAGCCCGGCAGGGAGGCCGTTAAGACCTACAGTTCTCTAATAAAACTTTAGACGCTTATAACTCCTGACAGATTATCATTTAGCAAAAACGGAATATTTATTTGGAATCAGCGTAGAATTCTGTGTCGAATGGTATAAGTTGCATAGCATTTGGGAGGCTCAACCCTTGCTAAAATCAGTAAAACATTCACAGCCACTCAGCCAGTTCACTTTTCCTTGTGAATCTGCTCACAAAAGATATCGAAAGATAGAAAAAGAAAGGATAGAATAAGATTGAGATTACGGTAAGCGAGAAAATTGAAAGCACACATTTCGAGATTCGTTTATTTAAACTCATTTCAGCAAACTGCAACGATGTTTGACGAATATGCGAAACTCGATGCGAATCGCGATTGAAAGTCTTGAAAGAACGGCTCGTGATGACCTCAATGTGTCAAATGTTTAAAGCTTTAAAGCTAAGCCTAAGCTTTAAAGCTTTAAAGCAAATCGATCTCTCAGCAAGGCTTTCCCAGCTCTAGCTCTTTGGATCACTTGGCTCTAGTTCTTTGGTTCTCTTAGCTCTAGCTCATTGGTTCTCTTAGCTCTAGCTCTTTGGTTCTCTTAGCTCTGTCATTGGTTCTCTTAGCTCTGCTCTTTGGTTCTCTTAGCTCTTATTGGTTCTCTTAGCTCTAGCTCTTTGTTCTCTTAGCTCTAGCTCATTGGTTCTCTTAGCTCTAGCTCTTTGGTTCTCTTAGCTCTAGCTCTTTGGTTCTCTTAGCTCTAGCTCATTGGTTCTCTTAGCTCTAGCTCTTTGGATCACTTGGCTCTAGCTCTTTGGGTCTCTTGGCTCTAGCTCTTTGGTTCTCTTAGCTCTAGCTCATTGGTTCTCTTAGCTCTAGCTCTTTGGATCACTTGGCTCTAGCTCTTTGGGTCTCTTGGCTCTAGCTCTTTGGGTCTCTTAGCTCTAGCTCTTTGGTTCTCTTAGCTCTAGCTCTTTCTATTTACAAATAATCCTTTCAATAATCCCTTTCTAGATGTCTCTTTATGTAAAAAAGTTTAAAAATCTGTTTTTTTTCCTTGTTAGGTGCTTTTTTATATAAAAAGTATAAAAATTTGATAGTTTTTCAACAATTTTTCAACAATTTTTCAGAAATTTGACATCTGTGATACATCATTTTTGATTATTTATCATTCCTAATGAAGAATTTTCTTGTTATTTACTTTATAGATAAATATTTATTGCTTAAAGAAGTCAATAATGATACAAAAAAGTGAAAGACTTTGAAAATTTTGAAAATATTGAAAAATACGAACTTTATATACAAATAGATGGATGGGGAATGGATTTGGAGTTGAATTTGGAGTTGAAATTATTGAAAGAAAGAAAGGAGAAGGCTTTAAAGAGATGGAAAGAGATGGAAAGAGATGGAAATTGATGGAAATTGATGGGAATTGATGGGAATTGATTGAAATTGATGGAAATTGATGGAAAATGATAGAAATTGATGGAAGTTGATAGAAATTGATGGAAATTGATGGGAATTGATGGAAATTGATGGGAATTGATGGGAATTGATGGGAATTGATGGGAATTGATGGGAATTGATTGAAATTGATTGAAATTGATGGGAATTGATGGAAATTGATGGAAATTGATGGAAATTGATGGGAATTGATGGAAATTGATGGAAATTGATGGAAATTGATGGAAATTGATGGAAATTGATGGAAATTGATAGAAATTGATGGAAATTGATTGAAATTGATAGAAATTGATGGAAATCGATAGAAAGAGATAGAGTTTTCATTTAAAAATGTTATAAAACCCGTATTCTTGAAAGATTTTAGAGAATTGTTTGTTTAAATGAGCGCCGCTTCGTACTCGAGCCCGAATTTCTCCATTGAATCGACGTTGATTTTGAAGACACCTAAAAGAAAAAGAGATTCGATGTTTTAACGAGAAAATTTGGCTTTACGAGAAGATTTACTGGCTTCTAGAAGATTTACTGGCTTTTCTAGAAGATCTACTGGCTTTTCTAAAAGCTCTAATGGCTTTTCTAGCTTTACTGGCTTTTCTAGAAGATCTAATGGCTTTTCTAGAAGATTTACTGGCTTTTCTAGCTTTACTGGCTTTACGAGAAGCTCTAATGGCTTTTCTAGAAGATCTACTGGCTTTTCTAGAAGCTCTAATCACTTTTCTAGAAGCTCTAATGGCTTTTCTAGAAGCTCTAATCACTTTTCTAGAAGCTCTAATGGCTTTTCTAGAAGCTCTAATGGCTTTTCTAGAAGCTCTAATCACTTTTCTAGAAGCTCTAATGGCTTTTCTAGAAGCTCTAATGGCTTTTCTAGAAGCTCTAATGGCTTTTCTAGCTTTACTGGCTTTACGAGAAGCTTTACTGGCTTTTCTAGAAGATCTACTGGCTTTTCTAGAAGCTCTAATCGCTTTTCTAGAAGCTCTAATGGCTTTTCTAGAAGCTCTAATGGCTTTTCTAGCTTTACTGGCTTTTCTAGAAGATTGGACTGGATCTAGTCTATCCAAAAGTGCTAAATCACTTTTGGATAGACTAGATCCAGTCCAAAAGAGGCTCAACTACTTGAATGATCAGACTTGAATAACACTGGTGGTTTTGTAGGCGGTTATACAGATGTTAAAGTATTTAGGCTCTTAGAAAATCTTGTTGAATATCGAATGCTGTAAGGATTTGATACTGATCTACTTAATCATCTACTTAATCTAGTTAACAGATTAACAAGGTATGGAAAGATGATTGCTTTAAGAAAGATCTTCTAGAAAAGCCATTAGAGCTTCTAGAAAAGCCATTAGAGCTTCTAGAACCGATAATTGCTAATCCTTAATAGATCTTAGCACTCTCTTGAGCTAAATCTTGTTTGGATTCAATTTCAGTTGATTTTATATCCAAGAAAGTAATTGGGAAGAAAGATAGACTTCTGGAGAGGGGATTGAAGCTTGAACCTTTGGCTTTTCCTCTAACCATTAAGGTATTCAATACCTTAACTTACCAAGAGAAAGAGGGAAAGAGAAGGGGAAGAAGAAAGGAAGAAAGAAAGGAAGAAAGGGAGAAAGAAAGGAGAAAGAAAGAAAGGAGAAAGGAAGAAAGGGAGAAAGAAAGGAGAAAGAAAGAAAGAAAGAAAGAAGGAAACACCAGGATTTCCTTGTAATAAGCCCACCATTATCTCCCCAATTCCTCCCAAAGCTGTTGACTGCTAGCCAATAGTGAGCACCATCCTTGTCCTTTCCCCAGCCGATCAAACGCACGACATGCCTAGAAATGCCGACATGCCGAATTTTGAGAATCACCTCTTCATTTCGACTTTGGAGAATCAGATATTCAGTAATCAGTTCTTATTCTTTTCAAACCAACCAATAAACGACTCGATCGTTGAATTTCTCCTCAGTGATTGGCCGGAAAACGCCTTAATCTTTTCATTTATCTCTTCTTTCATATAATTAAGGATATAATCTTCTTAAAGTATTCTTCAGTATTCTAAAGTATTCTAGAGGCTTCTAAAGGCTTCTAGAGGCTTCTAGAGGCTTCTAAAGGCTTCTAGAGGCTTCTAAAGGCTTCTAGAGGCTTCTAAAGGCTTCTAAAGGCTTCTAAAGGCTTCTAGAGGCTTCTAAAGGCTTCTAAAGGCTTCTAAAGGCTTCTAAAGGCTTCTAAAGGCTTCTAAAGGCTTCTAGAGGCTTCTAAAGGCTTCTAAAGGCTTCTAAAGGCTTCTAGAGGCTTCTAAAGGCTTCTAAAGGCTTCTAAAGGCTTCTAAAGGCTTCTAAAGGCTTCTAAAGGCTTCTAAAGTATTCTTAAAGTAGTCTTAAAGTATTCTTAAAGTATTCTAGTATTCTTATTCTTTAGAAAACCTTCAGCATAATGTAAGAATTCTTCTGGTACAGGGAAAGCCATTGTAGTTGGGCCAAAAAGGAAGAGCTCTGTCTTCAGAATTGTGCGAATCTGAAAAAGTATATTTAGATGGCTTAGAAAGAAGAAATTCAGCTGTAAATTTGTACCCGAGGGTTTTCGGGGACGGTGAATCGATTGGAGGTATTCATTTTATTATGGCTACTGTATTTTGATCTTTTTTTTCTACCTCGTCAAGTGAGATCGGCTCCTCCATGGTCTTGTTGATGTGGCCGATGATCGTTGGAACCTGTGCTCGTTTCTTTCCATCAGCCGACAGCGTCATTCCACGGGGGTACATCGAGTAGGCGATTGAGGCTAAAGGATTACTGTATAGGCTAACGGGGTACTGTATAGGCTAACGGGGTACTGTAGAGGCTAAAGAGCTACTGTAGAGGCTAACGAGGTACTGTAGAGGCTAACGGGGTACTGTAGAGGCTAACGGGGTACTGTAGAGGCTAAAGAGCTACTGTAGAGGCTAACGGGTACTGTAGAGGCTAACGGGGTACTGTAGAGGCTAACGGGGTACTGTAGAGGCTAAAGAGCTACTGTAGAGGCTAAAGAGCTACTGTAGAGGCTAACGGGGTACTGTAGAGGCTAAAGAGCTACTGTAGAGGCTAACGGGGTACTGTAGAGGCTAACGGGGTACTGTAGAGGCTAACGGGGTACTGTAGAGGCTAAAGAGCTACTGTAGAGGCTAACGAGGTACTGTAGAGGCTAACGGGGTACTGTAGAGGCTAACGGGGTACTGTAGAGGCTAAAGAGCTACTGTAGAGGCTAAAGAGCTACTGTAGAGGCTAACGGGGTACTGTAGAGGCTAAAGAGCTACTGTAGAGGCTAACGGGGTACTGTAGAGGCTAACGGGGTACTGTAGAGGCTAAAGAGCTACTGTATAGGCTAACGAGGTACTGTAGAGGCTAACGAGGTACTGTAGAGGCTAACGGGGTACTGTAGAGGCTAACGGGGTACTGTAGAGGCTAAAGAGCTACTGTAGAGGCTAACGAGGTACTGTAGAGGCTAACGGGGTACTGTAGAGGCTAAAGGATTACTGTATAGGCTAACGGGGTACTGTAGAGGCTAACGGGGTACTGTAGAGGCTAACGGGGTACTGTAGAGGCTAACGGGGTACTGTAGAGGCTAACGGGGTACTGTAGAGGCTAACGGGGTACTGTAGAGGCTAACGGGGTACTGTAGAGGCTAACGGGGTACTGTAGAGGCTAACAGGCTGCTAACCTATCTGATTTCTGGCCTAAAATCAATACTATCCAATATCCCCACCATAATGCTTATCATCATCGTATTTATTCTGGTAGTAGATGTTTTGACATCGACGAACACAGCCTCGAGATCTGGAAAGTGGTACTTAGGGACTTTGCACACGCTACAGTACTTCTCATTCTCGGGGAAAACTGCTGGAGAGCACGGGACTCCACAAGAGGTATCGAAAGAGTACGGTCGACAACCATCACGGCCACCTGAAAGTGAGTTTTAGAGAACTGCAGTAAGTAAGGGAACTGCTGCTATTGAAACCTAAGCTAGCGAGTACAGCAAGCTATTGTAGAGCAAGCTGCCGTAGAACAAGCTGCCTTAGAACAAGCTACTGTAGAGCAAGCGGCCGTAGAACAAGCTACTGTACAGCAAGCTACCCTACAGCAAGCTACCGTACTCTCTATAGCTCATCTACCGTATCCTATTCTCGGCTACTGTCCACCATTCTCTTGAGCACTCAGCTTTTAACAGCAATTGTTACCATTGTTTGTACGTTACCTTTGTTAAAGTCTTACCTGTCACGAGTCCCTCTTGAACCCAATAGGTGAGCGCTTTCAACGGATCTCCACCCAAACAGTTTCCACAAACAGCACAACAGCCTAAAAAGGTTTACATTTAATACCTACCCAGATTTAATAAGATCAATTCCTAACCGAGCACATCCTCATCGGAGAACAGCGCTTTGTAGGTGCCATTCGATTGGATACACGCGCGATCAGCCGCCACTCCGACAGCAGCAACAGCCTGGAAATGGGATTGTTTATCCTGAAGGACGATAAGCTTCAGTAGAGCTTCAATAGAGCTTCAATAGAGCTTTAGTAGAGCTTCAATAGAGCTTCAATAGAGCTTCAGTAGAGCTTCAATAGAGCTTCAGTAGAGCTTCCGTAGAGCTTTAGTAGAGCCTTCTTTACCTATCTGTTTTCTAAGGCGTGTCTTTCTGAATCTAATCTTTCTCTTTCATTGATAATCTATCTTTTTATCCATTAACAAACAGTTAATTGACTTTTTAAACAGTAATAAGTTATTCATTAGACAAAGAAAAGGGTTTCAGTACGTAAAATTTGCACGCTAGTGTACTCTATTGTACTCTAGTGTACTCTAGACTGCTCTAGGGTACCCTAGTGTACTCTAGTGTACTCTAGTCTGCTCTAGGGTACTCTAGTGTACTCTAGTGGACTCTGGTGTACTCTATTGGACCCTATTGGACTCTATTGGACTCTATTGGACTCTATTGGACTCTCGTGGACTCTGGTGTACTCTATTGGACTCTATTGGACCCTATTGGACTCTAGTGTACTTTATTGGACTCTATTGGACTCTAGTGTACTCTATTGGACTCTAGTGTACTCTAGTCTGCTCTAGGGTACTCTAGTCTGCTCTAGTCTGCTCTAGTGTACTCTATTGTACTCTTTACACTCACATAGCACGATCCACAACCGCCTTGATTTGGCACATACGAAATCGACGGACAATTCGACCATTTCTCTCTTGAATCAAACGATTCCGGCAACTCGTCGACGGGAAACTCTTGCAGCGTTCTGAATGAGAGTAATTTGATTGTTAAATCAAGCTTTAAGTACTTTATATGGTTCTTCATAATGTCCCATTCAAAGAATTTCTCGAGTAGATTGAAATATTCAGTGATCGCGGTCTCATTTCTCGGCGATTTCAATCCATAATCTTTCGCTTTTGAGCCAAATTTGTTGAATTTTGCCTAGAAATTGTTTGAAGAATTGTGGAAATAACGGGAAAATGATAAAGAAGAAGAAGAAGAAGAAGAGGAAGAAGAGGAAGAAGAGGAAGAAGATGAAGAAGAAAAAAGAAAGAAGAAGAAGAAGAAGAGGAAGAAGAAGGAAGAGGAAGAAGAAGAAGAAGAGGAAGAAGAAGAAGAGGAAGAAGAAGAAGAAGAGGAAGAAGAGAAGATATGATTCAATTGACTCTTTCTCTGCATTCTTCAGTCTTTCTCCAGTCTTAGCTGGGTTATGTTGGTTGATTTGAGCAAAGAAATCTGTATAAGGCTTAAGAAGGCTTATGAAGAGGCTTAATGGCTGATTTGAGCAAAGAAATCTGTATAAAAGTACGGAAATGACTCACCTTCCATGTTGATTTCGGATTCTCATTCACTTTTCTGACGAGATCATTCAAATATTCCGCGTTTTCATCAATTTCTCTTCGTATTCTTTGTGAATTCACGTAGATTAATAGAAGAGAAACGACCAAAGCGATTGCTAGAAGGATTCGATTTGGAGGAATGGATTTGGTGGATTTGAATTTGAATTTGTAAAGTCAAAATCTTAGATAATTGAAGAGAATCTAGGATAATCGAAGAGAATCCAGAATTTCCAGGAAAAGTTCAGAAGATCAGAAGAAATCCGGAGCAAGTCTATTTGGGCTTAGGCTTAGGCTAAGGCTTAGGCTAAGGCGCAGGCTTAGGCTTAGGCTAAGGCTAAGGCTCAGGCTTAGGCTAAGGCTCAGGCTAAGGCTTAGGCTAAGGCTTAGGCTTAGGCTCAGGCTTAGGCCTAGGCTAAGGCTCAGGCTCAGGCTCAGGCTTAGGCTTAGGCTAAGGCTCAGGCTTAGGCTTAGGCTAAGGCTTAGGCTTAGGCTCAGGCTTAGGCTTAGGCTAAGGCTTAGGCTTAGGCTCAGGCTTAGGCTTAGGCTTAGGCTAAGGCTTAGGCTTAGGCTCAGGCTTAGGCCTAGGCTAAGGCTCAGGCTCAGGCTCAGGCTTAGGCTTAGGCTAAGGCTCAGGCTTAGGCTTAGGCTAAGGCCTAGGCTAAGGCTCAGGCTCAGGCTCAGGCTCAGGCTTAGGCTTAGGCTCAGGCTTAGGCTTAGGCTTAGGCTCAGGCTTAGGCTTAGGCTGACTCATTTGTAGTGAACTGTAGTGAATTGTAGTTGAAAGGATGTTCAGGGATTGATATTGTCTCAAATTTTAGTAATTTAGTGTCCCAATCTTCCCAAATCATCTTCCCATCTTCCCAAATCCAGCATTTTTTAACAATAATTCCTAGCCTACCATGAATCCTTGAACGAAAACCGAGTCTAGCTAGCATGTAGAACGATAGAGTTGTAGTCGAAAGGATATTCAGAGATTACAGCGCTTTTGAATGTCTTAAAAATGACTCAAAATCGATGTATATCTGATTTATAAGCAGCGGAACACCCAATGGTCTATAAGAGATGGTTCCTGGTCTATAAAAGGTGGGCAAGGTGGGCAAACGGCGAGAGAATGAAAGGGAAAAGGGATTTCTTTTTTTTGAGACTGGCCATTCTCTTTTCTTGTTTACACAAAAAAACCCTTTGACTATTGTTGAACAGAAAGCGATTTTTAGAAAGAAAGAAAGAAAGAAATGACCTGCTAGATAAATAAATATTGAATTGATATTGAATTCAACAATGAATTTGAGCAGGGATTGATTTCAATACTGTTCTCTCTGTTTAGCTACTGTTTACTTAGCTGTTTACTTGTTTACTACTTAGCTAGCTAAGACAATAGCTTTAAAGGAAAGGATTTCTATTAAAATAATAGCCAAAACAACCAAAACAGCTAAATTAAAGGGAAAACTTGATCCCAAAGATTTGAGGAAAGCCTAAAGCTGGGAAGGCTGGGAAAGCTGGGGAAAGCTGGGGAAAGCTGGGCAAAGCTGGGTAAAGCTGGGAAAGCTGGGGAAAGCTGGTCAAAGCTGGGAAAGCTGGTCAAAGCTGGGCAAAGCTGGTCAAAGCTGGGAAAGCTGGGAAAGCTGGGAAAGCTGGTCAAAGCTGGTCAAAGCTGGGAAAGCTGGTCAAAGCTGGGAAAGCTGGTCAAAGCTGGGAAAGCTGGTCAAAGCTGGGAAAGCTGGTCAAAGCTGGCTCACCAGCTTCGTCCCTTTCCTTATGGGGTATCCCTAGGATGCCCCATAGCTTCTTATGGGGTATCCCTCCATGCCTTTCCATAGAAAGGCATTGTGATTGTGCGCGCAAAGAACAACTCGCTCCCAAAGATCACCTTCCTTTGTAAATAGCTTAAAAAGAAGATATTCAGCTGAAAATTTGTACCCAGGGGTTTTCGGGGACGGTGAATCTACTGGAGGTATTTATTTTCTTGTGTCCACCAAATAAAACTCGGATTTAATTAGTTTCGAGATCTTTCGAACCTTTCGAACCTTTCGAGAAACTGAGAAAGACTTTCTTTGAAGAAATCCACAGCTTTCAAATGATCCTATTAGACTCAATAAGCTATTATTCTTCGAAATTTGTTTGTGATAAAGATTTCTGCTTTAACAAACCGATGAGTGTGACAAGAATTGGGGCAGCAATATGCCAAAATCCGCATTTCGGTCGTCCAGACGCGTCTCGTCGCTCTCGACTTTTGAGCATTTCTGAAAAGCTAAATATAATAATTGAAAATCGAAATTGAAACTAAAAAAAAAGCTTAAGAAGAGGATTAAGAAGAGGTTTAAGAAGAGGATTAAGAAGAGGATTAAGAAGGCTTAAGACGAGGCTTAAGAAGAGGCTTAAGAAGAGGTTTAAGAAGAGGCTTAAGAAGAGGATTAAAAAGGCTTAAGAAGAGGCTTAAGAAGAGGCTTAAGAAGAGGCTTAAGAAGAGGCTTAAGAAGAGGCTCAAGAAGAGGATTAAGAAGAGGCTTGGGAAGAGGATTAAGAAGGCTTAAGAAGAGGATTAAGAAGAGGCTTAAGAAGAGGCTTAAGAAGAGGCTCAAGAAGAGGATTAAGAAGAGGCTTGGGAAGAGGATTAAGAAGGCTTAAGACGAGGCTTAAGAAGAGGATTAAAAAGGCTTAAGAAGAGGATTAAAAGGCTTAAGAAGAGGCTTAGGAAGAGGATTAAAAAGGCTTAAGAGGCTTAAGAAGAGGATTAAAAAGGCTTAAGAGGCTTAAGAAGAGGATTAAAAAGGCTTAAGAGGCTTAAGAAGAGGCTTAAGAAGAGGCTCAAGAAGAGGATTAAGAAGAGGCTTGGGAAGAGGATTAAAAGGCTTAAGAAGAGGCTTAAGAAGAGGCTTAAGAAGAGGCTTAAGAAGAGGCTTAAGAAGAGGCTTAGGAAGAGGATTAAAAAGGCTTAAGAGGCTTAAGAAGCTTTTGTTTAAAGAAATTCATTGAAAAGCTTCGAAATTCTAGAGTTAAGAGAGAGAGATTTCTCTAAATTCTCTAAATTTCTCTAAATTTGCATAGAGTGACGCGTGAAGTGTCAAGCTTTTGACAGCCGTCTTTCCCCGAGATTTTTCAAGAACTCATGACAAAGAAAGGTCCGGAAATTCACTATAACTTGTTAATTCTTGAAATTCATGAATAATACAAGGTATTCAAAAAGGCAGTTAGGCAAAAAGGGAGTTTTGAAGAAATCTCTGGTGTTCTTGGTGGTCATTTTGGTGTCTAGGTGAATATTTTGGAATTCATGGATCTAGACACGTCCAATCCTCAATTATTTCATACCATTCGACGCAGAAACATTGATAATTATGTTAAATTCTTGAAATTAGAAAGATTAGATAAAAAGAAAAGAATTTATAGCGCTTCAAAGTTTTCTCTCAAACAAACAGTCTTTTTTTGGCTCTAATTTCCTTTTCTTTTAATCTAATCTATCAAATGTTCAAAAGATGAACATAAATATTAATGATTCTGCGTCAAATGATATGAAATAATTGATGATTCGACGTGTCTAGATTCATTAATTCAGAATCAGCTACAGGATTTTGAATTAAAACCTTTTAGCGCTCGTAATTCTCAACCTGTTCATAATTTGATGATAAACGAATCAAATTCGTAAACAAAAACAATCATTAGGCGAGAAATCGTGAAAAAGGGCCAGCGGTTTAGATCATTTCTTCCAAAAGCTTCCAAAAGCCCTAATCGAAATAGATCTCGAGAGTTTAGATAAACAAAAATGAGATTTGAGGAAAAGAAACTAAAGGAAACTAAGGGAACTAAAGGAAACTAAAGGAAACTAAGGAACTAAAGGAAACTAAGAGAACTAAAGGAAACTAAAGGAAACTAAAGGAAACTAAAGGAACTAAAGGAAACTAAGGAAACTAAGGGAACTAAAGGAACTAAAGGAAACTAAAGGAACTAAAGGAAACTAAGGGAACTAAGGGAACTAAAGGAAACTAAGGAAACTAAGGGAACTAAAGGAAACTAAAGGAAACTAAAGGAACTAAAGGAAACTAAAGAAAACTAAAGGAACTAAAGGAACTAAAGGAAACTAAAGGAAACTAAAGGAAACTAAGGAACTAAAGGAACTAAAGGAAACTAAAGGAAACTAAGAGAACTAAAGGAAACTAAAGGAAACTAAGGGAACTAAAGGAACTAAAGGAAACTAAGGAACTAAAGGAAACTAAAGGAAACTAAAGGAAACTAAGGAAACTAAAGGAAACTAAAGGAAACTAAAGGAAACTAAAGGAACTAAAGGAAACTAAGAGAAACTAAAGGAAACTAAAGGAAACTAAAGGAAACTAAGGAAACTAAAGGAAACTAAAGGAAACTAAAGGAAACTAAAGGAACTAAAGGAAACTAAAGGAACTAAAGGAAACTAAGAGAAACTAAAGGAAACTAAAGGAACTAAAGGAACTAAAGGAAACTAAAGGAAACTAAGGAACTAAAGGAAACTAAGAGAAACTAAGGGAACTAAAGGAAACTAAAGGAAACTAAAAGAAACTAAAGGAACTAAAGGAAACTAAAGGAACTAAAGGAACTAAAGGAACTAAAGGGATTTCCTGAAAAGAGCTTGATTGAATTGGAATCATTTGATGAAAAATGAGACAATGAGACTTTGTGAATGAAGAAAGCTTAAAGTTTACTTAAACGTTTACTCAACGCTTCTCAAATGAATCTAGTTTTGCGTCAACAAAAGAGGGTAATCAATCTAGACAAATCAATCCAGACAAGGGTCCGGTTCTCAGCTAGAAATTGGCAATATACAGATCTGAGTCTAGAGAGATCTGGGTCTACAGAGATCTGTGCTTGCAGAGGTCGATGCTTGCAGAGATCTGTGTCTACACTCTGCCACTTTAACTTCTCTAAAGATCAAGCTATGATCTCCCAATTAGTCTTCCAATTAGGCGATCAAGGACGGTGTTAAGCTATTAAATAAAAGAAATAGAAGAAATAGAATAGAATAGAATAGAATAGAATAGAAATTAAAATTGAAATAGTTAAAGCTATGGAAAGATATTTAATGAATTATTCAAGAAATTGCTTTTGAAAAAGTCGTGATTTCTTTTCTTGGGAATCCGTGATGGAAATCATTTAGACAAATACGGTATTAGAGTCAAGAGAAAGTTTGGAAGTTGAAATTTTAAGTTCAATTTAGATTAGATTCAATTTAGATTCAATTTAGATTCAATTTAGATTAATTTAGATTAATTTAGATTAATTTAGATTAATTTAGATTAATTTAGATTAATTTAGATAAGATTTATGCCAATGCCAATGCCAGTAAAATCCAGTCTTTTATCAAATCGTTTATCTTCCAAATCCTCACTCAACACTGATCGTTGATCGTCTAATTGGGAGACTGTAAGATGTCTAATTGGGAGACTGTAAGACGTCTAATTGAGAGACTGTAAGACGTCTAATTGGGAGACTGTAAGACATCTAATTGAGAGACTGCAAGTTAAAATGGTCCAGTGTAGGCAGAGATCTTTGTAGGCACAGATAAGCGTACAGTTGCGTAATCGTTAACTCTTTTACGGTGATCAAAAGTAGCTACGGCTATCGAAATTACGGTAGCTTTGAAAATCACACCTTTTAGAAAATCACACCTTTTAAAAGCTCAAGTGAATCGGCTAAACTTGGGGTCAAAGTTTAGCCGATCAAAAGTGAAAGCTTCAAGCTTCAAGCTCTTGGACAAGTTGTGAGGGGGGAGATCGATGAATTTCGAAGAGTGAAAGCCGTTTTAAGCGGAACAGTTGGCATTTCGAGGGGAATTGAACACAAATACACGTGCACGGGGATAGAGAAGTGACCCTTTTTGAAGAAATGACCAATCTTTGGGGGCTTCCTTTTGCAATGATCCTTCTCATTGTCCAGACTTTGGTCCAGATGTGAAACTGCTTGGGTTTTGGGGAAATTTTGAAAGGAAAAGATGGAGTTGATTTCGTTTTATGGACATTTTATGTTTTATGGACACTAGACTATGGTGAAATCGGGAGTTGGAAAGGGATTTTTCTCGCACATTGATTGCACATCGCCAGATGTGCAGCCTAAGCCTAAGCCTAAGCCTAAGCCTAAGCCTGAGCCTGAGCCTAAGCCTGAGCCTGAGCCTAAGCCTAAGCCTAAGCCTGAGCCTAAGCCTAAGCCTGAGCCTAAGCCTAAGCCTGAGCCTGAGCCTGAGCCTAAGCCTAAGCCTAAGCCTAAGCCTGAGCCTGAGCCTAAGCCTAAGCCTAAGCCTAAAACCTAAGCCTAAGCTTAAGCCTAAGCCTAAGCCTAAGCCTAAGCCTAAGCCTGAGCCTAAGCCTGAGCCTGAGCCTAAGCCTGAGCCTAAGCCTGAGCCTAAGCCTAAGCCTGAGCCTAAGCCTGAGCCATTTATTGAGCATTTTCCAGTACATAGACAATGTTTGTGACTTAAAGAGAGGATGTTCTTCCCTAATTGGATTGTGGTGACATCGGCAATTGTAAAGAAGACCATTTTTCTTGTAGGCACATCGATTTATTGAGCATTCTCCAGTAGATAGACATCTTTGTGCTCTAGATTGACGACGTTCTCTATTAGATTGTGACATTGGCAGTTGTAAAGGATTCCCTATTATATTGTGGTCACATCGCCAATTGTAAAGAAGACCATTTACCTTGGTCTCCTTTGCTTTTGCTGAGCACATCGATTTGCTGAGCTTGAGCTAGCTAGGCGTCTTCTTTTGGAGTTAGACGACTCCAAAAGAAGACGCCTATCTATTGGGAGCCTGTGCCAGAGAGCGAGCAACAATTCTCCAGACACTGTTCTTGATGATTCCGAGATTTTTCGCCATTCTTCTAATCGATCGTGTGGGTTTCCGGGAACGGAAGGGAAGAGACCAGATACGGAAGGGGCCAGGTATCTATCAAGAAGATGTGCCAGAAGTCGAGTGATTGTGCGCGCGCTCAATGAACACTTCGCCGGTCATTTCGGGCTTTCTCTCTTACTTTGGAGATGACTTAAAAAGAAGAGATTTAGCTGCAAACTTGTATCCATGGGTTATCGGGGTCGGGAATTGATTGGTGAAATCATTTGATTGAATATACCAATTGAAACTCGGGTCTAATTGTTGTAAAACAAAGACTAAGCTGAGATGAAAGTTGAAAAGGCTATGCTTTAAATGGCTTTAAAAGGGTTTAAAAGGGTTTCATGGCTTTAAATGGCTTTAAATGGGTTTAAATGGCTTTAAAAGGGTTTAAAAGGCTTTAAATGGCTTTAAAAGGCTTTAAAAGGCTTTAAAAGGCTTTAAAAGGGTTTAAATGGCTTTAAATGGCTTTAAATGGCTTTAAAAGGCTTTAAAAGGGTTTAAATGGCTTTAAATGGCTTTAAATGGCTTTAAAAGGCTTTAAAAGGGTTTAAATGGCTTTAAATGGCTTTAAATGGCTTTAAATGGGTTTAAATGGCTTTAAATGGATTTAAATGGGTTTAAAAGGGTTTAAAAGGGTTTAAAAGGGATTAAACGGGTGTCATGGCTTTAGAATGAATACAATAATTCAATGAAAACAATAGGTGTACAAAATCAATGCCAAAACAGTGATTGGATAGTTAAATGACGAGAGCAGGGCAAAAAAAATCTCGTTTCCATTGACAAAAAGTGTTTGTGTTGATCGAGAGTGGCCCAATGATGTGTAGAAGAAAGAAAAGAAAGAAAAGAAAGGAAGAAAGGAAGAAAGGAAGAAAGGAAGAAAGGAAGAAAGGAAGAAAGGAAGAGGAGAAAGGAAGAAAGGAAGAAAGGAAGAGGAGAAAGAAAGGAAAGAAAAGAAGGAAGAAGAAGAAAGGAAAGAAAGGAAAGAAAGGAAAGAAAAGAGCCGGTTATGCCTGGAATTATTTGAGAAGGGGTAGCAGAAGAAGCTACAGAAGAAGGAAAAGGAAAGAAATTAGAGAGAAGAGTTTGATAGCATTCATTTCTTGGTTATAGACAAGGAATTGGCTTGTAAGTTGAGTATCACAAATCTGCAAGGCTGTAAGTCTGTAAGGCTGTAAGGCTGTAAGTCTGCAAGGCCGTAAGCCTGTAAGTCTGTAAGTCTGTAAGGCTGTAAGTCTCTAAGGCTGTAAGTAATCTATCTCAAATCCCCATTTTCTAAAATATGACAGCTTTCTTAACCATAATCTTGTCTCTTTTTATCTAATCTATTCACTTTTGGGTTACGGTAGTCTGGACAAGTTTTAGAAAAACGATTCTTGAGTGAAAGGAATTGAGAATGAAAGGAATTGAGTTTACAGTAAGAAGTTTGAGCTTTACAGTCTTTCCAGAATAATTTACTGTACGAAAAGTGCTACAGTATTATTTGTAGATTAAAGCTAAAGAAAAGATTACAATAGCTGACTAAAGGCGTTAAAAAACGTTGAAACTACTGTAGTTGTTCTATTTTTAAACACCAGAAACATCAAAACTCACCATATTGCTCATTAAAGTCTTCTTTTGATTCAAAATTCTGCAATCGATTGCGTAACATTGAGAAAACTCTGAAAAATCGGAAAACTGAAAAATTGAAAACTGAAAACTGAAAAATCAGAAAACTATCGGAATAATGGAATAAGTTTAGATTCTAGATTTATTATAGAAATCACAGCTTGTAGTTTGCAAAGAACCTGTTTTTTAAAACAATACATGATTGTAGTCTAAAAGATGGATCGACTCATTGTCCACAGTACTCTGTACCTTGTCTTTCTCAGAGCTGAAACTGTGCCCAGAAAAACAGGGTTTGACATTGAATCGAATTGAAAGTTGGGTTAAAAGTTGGCTTGGAAGTTGGGTTAAAAGTTGGGTTAAAAGATGGGTTAAAAGTTGGCTTGGAAGTTGGGTCAAAAGTTGGCTTGGAAGTTGGGTTAAAAGTTGGGTTAAAAGTTGGCTTGAAAGTTAGCTTGGAAGTTGGGTTAAAAGTTGAACACAATTTGAGCTACTCATTTATCAGTTATATCAGTTTTAGAGCTATTCAGTTGACAAATTTAGAATCAAAAGCCAACGATGAACTATTATATTACAAGTACTGCAGAGTTGGTTCTATTTGGCTTACAAGGTTAGGTCATAAGCCTGCCGTTAGGCTTACAATATGTTTTGATAGATAAAGCTAGATAAATAGCTAGATAGATAGCTAGATAAATAAATAGATAAATAGATAAATAGATAAATAGATAGATTGATTGATTGATTGATAGATTTTCATTGTTTAAATCTAGTGTCATTTATTGCAATCAAGGAAAACAGGAGATCACAGTGATAGAGCAAAGTCGAAATTGTAATTGCAGCTTGAAAAAGGTATGGCAAAAGGATGAGATGTAAAGGAGTTGATTGCAAGTTTACCCCAAAAACAAAAATGCATCTGAATAAAAAAAGTCTAAACCAGTCTAAAACCAGTTTAAACCAGTTTAGAAACAGTTTACACCAGTTTAATCCAGTTTAAACCAGTCTAAAACCAGTTTAAACCAGTCTAAAACCAGTTTAAACCAGTTTAAACCAGTTTAAACCAGTTTAAACCAGTCTAAAACCAGTTTAAACCAGTCTAAAACCAGTTTAAACCAGTCTAAAACCAGTTTGCACCAGTTTAAAACCAGTTTAAACCAGTTTAAACCAGTCTAAAACCAGTTTAAACCAGTCTAAAACCAGTTAGAAATGTTTTAGACATTTTTCAGAGTGACCACCCAAATTTCGGACATTTGCAACATTTTCATTGGTGGCCCTTGATAGAGTGACCCGGCGGTGATCATCAATTTCCCGGTGGATGGATGCGGGAGATCGTAGACACCATAGAAATACGGTAAAATCCAGTAGACAGCTGGGAAAACCACGTAGAATTGACCGGCATGTGTGTGGCCTAAAAGTCGAGTTTGAAAGGTGAAGTTAAGGCTGAAGTTAAAGCTGGAGTTAAAGCTGAAGTTGAAAGCTCTTGAAAGGTGATTGAGAGCTGGGAAATTGGTGAAGCGAATTGGCTTTTGATCTCGTTAATTGGTCTCGTTAAACAACTCGAAACAACAGATCTACAGAGTGTTTAACTCGAATTTTATAATTCTTTTGACATCGCTAAAAATACCGATTTATAGAGACAGAGAAAAGCTATTAGGCTAGTTTTTTTTGCGTTAAAAAAAGCATGTTTCAAAAACCTAAAAAACAGCTTTCAGCAAATTACCTTAGTTAGAATTTTTTGGATTTTTGTGAAAAGAAACTATTTGAAATTTCTTTAACCCATTCGAAACCGAAATCGATTTCTTTTGAAACGATTTGGATTTGACTTCAGTACTTTGTCTCAAATTGGCTAGCAATTAGCTAGCAATTGGCTAATAATTGGCTAGCAATTGGCTAATAATTGGCTAGCAATTGGCTAATAATTGGCTAGCAATTGGCTTTGTCTTTGTCTCGGCTTTCATTCAATTATTCTAATGTTGAGATGTGCGCAAAGATTCGATGAGGAATCACAAGGTTCAGTCCAAAATTCGGCTGATTTCATCTTGGATTATGATAGTTTTCTTAAATAGGTGCAAGAAAACGCTTCGAAAGAATTACTCGAAAGGAACACACTTTAGTGATAGTAGCTATCTAGTAGACTATCTAGTAGACTATTAGTAGACAGTAGCTATCTAGTAGACAGTAGCTATCTAGTAGCCAGTAGCTATCTAGTAGACAGTAGCTATCTAGTAGACAGTAGCTATCTAGTAGACAGTAGCTATCTAGTAGACAGTAGCTATCTAGTAGCCAGTAGCTATCTAGTAGCCAGTAGCTATCTAGTAGACAGTAGCTATCTAGTAGACAGTAGCTATCTAGTAGACAGTAGCTATCTAGTAGACTATCTAGTAGACAGTAGCTATCTAGTAGACTATCTAGTAGACAGTAGCTATCTAGTAGACAGTAGCTATCTAGTAGACAGTAGCTATCTAGTAGACAGTAGCTATCTAGTAGACAGTAGCTATCTAGTAGACAGTAGCTATCTAGTAGACAGTACTATCTAGTAGACAGTAGCTATCTAGTAGACAGTAGCTATCTGTAGACAGTGCTATCTAGTAGACGTGCTATCTAGTAGACAGTAGCTATCTAGTAGACAGTAGCTATCTAGTAGACAGTAGCTATCTAGTAGACAGTAGCTATCTAGTAGACAGTAGCTATCTAGTAGACAGTAGCTATCTAGTAGACAGTAGCTATCTAGTAGACAGTAGCTATCTAGTAGACAGTAGCTATCTAGTAGACAGTAGCTATCTAGTAGACAGTAGCTATCTAGTAGACAGTAGCTATCTAGTAGCTATCTAGTAGCTATCTAGTAGCTATCTAGTAGCTATCTAGTAGACTATTAGTAGACACTTGATAAATCTTCAATCAACACCTATTTACGAGTCATGCGAGTCAGTCTTGTTTGCTAGAGTCTTGTTAGAGCCTTTTTATCTTGTTCTACTGTCCTCACAGCAATATTTCGGGTATATAAGACGGTCTTTTTCTTCATTTTCGACCTTTTTCTTCATTTTCGATCTATTTCTTCGTTTTCAACCTGATTTACACTTTACTTCAAGTACTTTACTTGTTTCTATTCTTGTTTCTATTGTTTCCATTGTTTCTAAGTTTCTATTCTTGTTTACCTGAAAGTACTAAATCGATCGTCTTCAAATCAGACGCGGCAATCTCTCGAACGGATGCTGGATTGTGAGCCAAGAGGACGCGAGTCGCTTTGCCAGCTGGTGGACAATGCGAGAGAGCCAGAGAGATGTTCATCTCTTGAGAAACGATTCTAGAATCATCATCTTTCAATCATCATCTTATTCTATGATTCATCCAATCATTACCCAGCTTTGTGAGAAGCGATATCAGTAGCCCCAGCTAGGCAAATATTGTGAATCATTGTCGCTCTAGAAAATTGAATTTTTCAGAGAAAACCTTCTTAACAAACTCATTCGATAACACACGAATCCCATTCTTTTTGTACAAATCAAGCCACTCTTGCACGTTTCCAATGTAGTAATCGTGATTACCAGTGACAAAGTAGGTCGGAAATCTGGAATTGGTTCTGAGAGATCGGCTAGATCGGCTAGATCGACTAGATCGGCTAGATCGACTAGATCGGCTAGATCGACTAGATCGGCTAGATCGACTAGATCGGCTAGATCGACTAGATCGGCTAGATCGACTAGATCGACTAGATCGGCCCAGATATCTCAGAAGAGATCTGGGCAGATCTGGCCTAGGCTTTAAGGTTTAGTTTGACCTTGTCTTGACCATTTGACCTTGTCTTGGTCATTTGACCTTGTCTTGACCATTTGACCTGGTCCATTAGACCATTTGATTCAAAAATACCTCTGAGCTACAGTGAACATTGGAGAAACGCGTTTTCCAATGTCTTTCACCTCTCCATCCACCATATCACCAACGATGAAAACGGCGTCGAGTTTAAGCGACAACAATGCTTCGGCTACCCGGTTTACCTGTAAAATGGAAGGTAAAGCCTAAGAGCCTTCTCCTAAGAGGTAAAGCCTTCTCCTGGTCAGCAAAAGACTTTGTTCTGGTCAATTTTTGAGCTTTTCTAGAGAGATCAAAGCCTCTGAAAGCCTTTGAAAGTCTTTGAAAGCCCTTGAAAGTCCTTGAAAGCCTTTGAAAGTCCTTGAAAGCCTTTGAAAGCCCTTGAAAGTCCTTGAAAGCCTTTGAACGCCTTTGAAACTCCTTTGAAAGCTCACTTGTTCAATGTAGACACTTGCTCCAGCGTGGATATCCGAGACAACAGCAAACCGAAGCTCTCTATCGCCGGTGAAGTTTCCGATGCGAAATTCCCGTTCTTTTATCACAATTTTATCAGCTCCGTACCTAAATCTTTGTAAAAAACAAGAATTTCTTTGTAAAACTTTGTAAAAAACAAGATTTCTTTACCACATAAGCAACGATAAAACAATGCTGAATCCAAACGTGAATTTGATTTGTTCTTTTCGATCGAAGAGCAACTTTTTGAAATAATTAACTTTAGAAAACAAGGCAATCAGGCAAGCTGTTGGTTTAAAGTTCTGAGATTTCGATTGGAATTATTTGGAATTGAAATTATCACTTGGAATGGAGTGATTAGCAAGTTGACGAGAAAAAAGCCGCAAACAAACGCCATCACGTTCGTCCAGAGACCTGGAAGACTGGAAAATTCGCTTTCTTTGCTTGAAGATACTAGAAAGTCTTAATCTTACCGTTATGTGGCCTGGTACGTACTGTAATAAGAACAGTACAGCACACCACAATGAATCTATTTCATGGGTTTTAGGACGATAGGTTTAATTCTACTTACTCTTACTCTTAGACAAATTGGCTGGGAGCCGGGGACTTGCTCGTTCCGAGAAGCCCGTTCCAAGAAGCCCATTCCAAGAAGCCCATTCCAAGACGCCCATCTCAAGAAGCCCGTTCCAAGAAGCCCGTTCCAAGAAGCCCATTCCAAGAAGCCCATTCCAAGACGCCCATCTCAAGAAGCCCGTTCCAAGAAGCCCGTTCCAAGAAGCCCATCTCAAGAAGCCCATCTCAAGAAGCCCGTTTCAAGAAGCCCGTTTCAAGAAGCCCGTTTCAAGAAGCCCGTTCCAAGAAGCCCGTTCCAAGAAGCCCATTCCAAGAAGCCCATTCCAAGACGCCCATCTCAAGAAGCCCGTTCCAAGAAGCCCGTTCCAAGAAGCCCATCTCAAGAAGCCCATCTCAAGAAGCCCGTTTCAAGAAGCCCGTTTCAAGAAGCCCGTTTCAAGAAGCCCGTTCCAAGAAGCCCGTTCCAAGAAGCCCATTCCAAGAAGCCCATCTCAAGAAGCCCGTTCCAAGAAGCCCATTCCAAGAAGCCCGTTCCAAGAAGCCCATCTCAAGAAGCCCGTTCCAAGAAGCCCGTTTCAAGAAGCCCGTTCCAAGAAGCCTACTAGGCTGGTATGGCCTAGTAGAACCATACCAGGCAAAGCTCGTGCCAGTCAGTTCCAGATTTGGCTTTGGTTTTGTTTTGGCTTTCTGAAAGCTTAGGATCCAATGCTTTGTAGACGTCGAAACTTTGGAGGAGGATTAATGACGGCCTTTAAGGTGGATGAGGCCTTTAAGGTGGATGATGGGGTCTTTAATGTGGATGGTGGGGCCTTTAATGTGGGTCATGGGGCCTTTAAGGTGATGATGAGGCCTTTAATGTGGGTGATGGAGCCTTTAAGATGGATGATGGGGCGTTTAATGTGGATAATGGGGCCCTTAATGTGGATGAGGCCTTTAATGTGGATGATGAGGCCTTTAAGGGATGACGTTCTTGATTTAGAATTTGTGACTTGTCGTATGAACTCGAAGCAGGACGTTCCCAGAACGTTCTTGCAGATCAACTACTTCTTTTCCTAACACAAAACAAGGGGAAACCACATTTTCTCAACAGAATAATGCTTCAATTCATGTCAATCAATTCACTAAACCTTTCAGGTTCGATTTTCTCGATTTTCTCGATCAAAACCAATTTTCTCAAATGACTTAGAGTTAATTACTATAAAAATAGTGCTTTTTGCTTTTTTGAGCTCTATTATTACCGCAAGCGATAGACGTTAGATCAAAGAAGAGCCATTGCATCCATGTCGGCGCGTAGTACATGAAATATAATGCGTGGGCTAAGAAGAGGAAAATAATCAGTGAAATAGAGGCTCTTTGTTTCGTTTTTCTCTGAAATTTGAGATATTTTGTAGATTGAATTTCTAGATTTGTTGAATTTCTAGATTTCTCGATTTATTGAATTTCTAGATTTCTCGATTTCTAGATTTCTAGTTGAATTTCTAGGTTTCTAATTGAATTTCTAGATTTCTAGATACCCTTGCAGTTGCTCCAAATTTCCCATATTGTTTCTGATCGTCTTGAAACCATTTCATCAATTGGTGATAGACGAAAATGTTCAAGACAAACATCGAGATTTCTAGCTGAAACTTCGAAATCTGTAGATTTTTGTTGATTTTTGTAGATCATTGTGTACTTTTGTGCTGTAAACACCATTTCTGACTCATTGAATTCTCCGTTTTACTTGCTATTTCTTTTCTTTTCTTCTTTTCTTGCTATTAACTTCATTTTTCTTCAAAACAATCACTTAGATATCAGGAAAAACTAAAGAATGTAAAGAAGAAGAATGAGAAGAAGAAGAATGAGAAGAAGAAGAAGAATGAGAAGAAGAAGAAGAATGAGAAGAAGAATGAGAAGAAGAAGAATGAGAAGAAGAAGAAGAATGAGAAGAAGAAGAATGTGCACAAAAGTATGCGTTTACAAATTTGAGCACAAAGGTTAAAGAGCTATTGGTTAATGAGATTAGCTATCAAACCTTGGCCACAGAGATTAGCCGGAATCGGTTCCCTCTCTCATAGCCGTCGATGGAGAGAGCCTAGAAATGGTATCGTTTGGTTGGACTACTTGATTGAACTATTTGGTTGAACTATTTGGTTTGATCTATTTGGTTGATCTATTTGATTGAACTATTTGATTGAACTATTTGATTGATCTATTTCATTGAACTATTTGGTTGAACTATTTGATTGATCTATTTGATTGATCTATTTGGTTGATCTATTTGTTTGATCTATTTGTTTAAACTATTTATTCTAACTGGCTTTTTTTAACAGGCTGTTCCAACTAGATGATCAAATTGAGAATTTAATTTTGAGTTTAAAGGCCGTTCTCCTGGGCCGTTCTCCTGGGCCTTTCTCTTGGGCCGTTCTCCTAGCCGGTGTCTGACTTCCTGCTCTGATCCCTGGCCCTGGTTCATGCTAGTCATCTTGGGCCGTTCTTCTGGACCGTTCTTCTGGACCGTTCTCCTGGGCCGTTCTCCTGGGCCGTTCTCCTGGGCCGTTCTCACGGGCCGTTCTCCTGGGCCGTTCTCCTGGGCCGTTCTTCTGTGCCGTTCTCCTGGGCCGTTCTCCTGGGCCGTTCTCCTGGGTCTTTCTCTTGGGGCGTTCTCTTGGGCCGTTCTCTTGGGCCGGTCTCCTAGCCGGTGTCTGTTTTCCTGCTCTGATCCATGGCCCTGGTTCAAGCTAGTTCTTTACAGGAATATGCATAGATGCCTGAGCCATTGAGTACACTGAGCCTCTACTGAATCAAATCCAATAAAATCCAAGTCTCCAACTATCCAAGTATCCTAGTCTAACTGACATTTACAGAACAACCTGGGCTGGATATTTAACTGTGTACTGTGGTACTAAAGGCCAGAAAATAGCACCGTAAAGACTCTAATAGAATGCTATAATGACGCGATAATGACGTTATAATGATCATATCGAAGTAATGATCAGATCGCGATAATGATCAGATCCAAGTCTAGCTGACATTGTGGCTACAGTCGTGTGGTCTAACTTTGAACGTCCCGTTCTCCGCATTGCTTTATGCTATATCAGCTCTGGTTTACCCGTTTCTGTATCGAATTTACTGAATGTATTGAATCTGCAACAGTACCCTACCCAAGATTTCGCAAAAAGATGTATGAGAGTGTAGAGGATGATCGAGGCAAGCACAAGATGCGATCCCGGGAATGGTGATGGGATCGCGCTCATCTAGAAACCCTGGAATACGATAAATGACGTAGATTTAGATATATATAGCTAAAATTGAGAAAGATTGAATTGAAACAGAAATTCGAAGCACATTTTATATAAAAATAAGAAAAATTCCACGATTAAACCATGAAAAGTTGGATTTAAATCGTTCAAAATCGTTTAAAATCGTTTAAAATCATTCAAAATCATTCAAAATCATTCAAAATCATTCAAAAATCGTTCAAAATCATTCAAAATCATTCAAAATCATTCAAAATCATTCAAAAATCATTCAAAATCATTCAAAATCGTTTAAAATCATTCAAAATCATTCAAAATCATTCAAAATCATTCAAAATCATTCAAAATCATTCAAAATCATTCAAAATCATTCAAAATCGTTCAAAATCGTTCAAAATCGTTCAAAATCTTTCAAAATCGTTTAAAATCATTCAAAATCATTCAAAATCATTCAAAATCATTCAAAAATCGTTCAAAATCATTCAAAATCATTCAAAATCATTCAAAATCATTCAAAAATCATTCAAAATCATTCAAAATCGTTTAAAATCATTCAAAATCGTTTAAAATCATTCAAAATCATTCAAAATCATTCAAAATCATTCAAAATCATTCAAAATCATTCAAAATCATTCAAAATCATTCAAAATCGTTCAAAATCGTTCAAAATCGTTCAAAATCTTTCAAAATCGTTTAAAATCATTCAAAATCATTCAAAATCATTCAAAATCATTCAAAAATCGTTCAAAATCATTCAAAATCATTCAAAATCATTCAAAATCATTCAAAAATCATTCAAAATCATTCAAAATCGTTTAAAATCATTCAAAATCATTCAAAATCATTCAAAATCATTCAAAATCATTCAAAATCATTCAAAATCATTCAAAATCATTCAAAATCATTCAAAATCATTCAAAATCATTCAAAAATCATTCAAAATCATTCAAAATCATTCAAAATCATTCAAAATCATTCAAAATCATTCAAAATCGTTCAAAATCATTCAAAATCGTTCAAAATCGTTCAAAATCGTTCAAAATCGTTTAAAATCGTTTAAAATCGTTCAAAATCGTTCAAAATCATTCAAAATCATTCAAAATCATTCAAAAATCATTCAAAAATCATTCAAAATCATTAGATTATCACCTTAGTTATCGCCTTAGAACAAAATGAAATAAAATAAAGTAGTTTTGAAAAGGAAAATGAACTCCAGAGATTGCCACGATGTTTTTCTTTTTAGCTTTCTGTTTGTCGATTTTCATTCGTAAGCGATTTCTTCATTCGGGGTTTTTTCTCGAAAGAGTACGGTGAGTTTTGACGTGATGTGCCATTTAGCAGGAAAGGAGACATCAAAATCATTTGTTCATTGACATCAAATTTGTTCTTTAATGCATTTATGGAAAAGAATCATTTGCTATGCCAAAAATCCTTTTCCATGCCAAAAATCCTTTGCCGTTGGTTCCGTTTAAACTATTAAAAATATCTATCATTTCTTTTTGTTGTCTTTGGCAAAAATTAAGATGAAAAGCAGATGCTTTTTGATGCTTTTGATGCTTTCCCATTCAGCAAAAGGAAACTTTCGCCAAAAGTCTTTATTTGTGCAACTATTTTCAACTGTTATTCAATGCATATCGAGTAGCACATTCTCCAAAGCCAGGATAGGAGATACATTCCACATTCCCATCAGGCGACCATTTCACGTCATTCCTGGCACATAGAGCCTGGTTAAACTTTGTACATGTCGCCCAGTTACCTGCATTGTGGCCCTGAAATTTATTGATTACCTCTCTTGTAAGGATTGAGAGTTTTGATCTAGGGTTGAGCTACTGATAGTTGATACAAGATTGAGCTACTGATAGTTGATCTAGGGTTGAGCTACTGATAGTTGATCCAAGATTGAGCTACTGATAGTTGATCTAGGGTTGAGCTACTGATAGTTGATCTAGGGTTGGGCTACTGATAGTTGATCCAAGATTGAGCTACTGATAGTTGATCTAGGATTGAACTACTGATAGTTGATCCAAGATCGAGTTACTGATAGTTTTGAGAGGAATACATACGATCATTCTTATATTAAGCCGACCTTAAAGTTTATTTATCAGTTTTCCAATCCAATTTTTGTTATATTTGTACTCAGGAGGCTCCGCTTCGAAGAGAGATTCAAGAAATTGAAGAGATTCAAGAGAACAGGAGAAAAAAGAAAAGATATCAAGACTTTTTTTGATATACTAGACCCGATAAGATGATTTTGTTCTTGGCAGACAAATCTTTGAGATCTGTTTAACAGAAACTTTTAATTAAGTTAATTAAGTTAATGAAGGAAGTTAATTAAGTCTAATTAAGTCGAATGGTTTATAACTTAAGATGTAAAAGTTGAATCAACTCAGGGTTACTTTCATTAGAATCTACATTAAATTTGAGTAAAGAAATATAGAATCTGTTTTGTAGACTTACCGATAAAAACATAGAGAAAATTAGGGTCAAAGTCGACCCCTCCCTAGAGATTTGTCTAGGGGGGGGGGAGTTTGACCACTTCTCTCTTTTCCTTCATATCTCAACTCCCAGTTGACCAATCAACTTGTGGTTGGTCTTAAAATGTTCCTTATGAAATTCCGTTATAGAAATCCACAACTTACTTACTACACTTTTATATAAAAACATAGAGAAAATTTCACTCAAAGTCAGACTACCTATCTGAAAGGGTCAATCCACTTAAATGGTATACAGGGTGTCCCAGAATTACGGTAACCGGCTCTGCCCCGCTGCTTTGCCCGTTTTTGAGTTTTGAGTTGCCTGTGATTTAGCTTTTTTTGGTTTATTCTCTTTTTTTGAATGCTTTGTTAATGTTTACATCAAAATCTGATTTTAAATTTAGAATGACGAAGCCTTCTGCTCATCGTAACTCGATCATTCAACTTCACAAAGGCGGGACCCGAGCGATTGATATTTCAAAGCGATTGAAAGTCTCGAAGAAGCTGGTTTCGACGACTATTGCAAGATTCAAGGAACTGGGCACCAATTTCGATCGGAAAGGACGAGGTCATAAACGATCTGTTATCAACAAAGCCATCATCAAGAAGGTGCGCGACCGTGTCCGTGAATGCATTAAAGTGAATGCGCAGAATTATCTGGATATTTTGAAAAATGAGCTTCTTCCTCGGAGCAAAAAACACTTTGGGAACAGGATTTGGTGCTTCCAACAAGACGGAGCGCCGGCGCATAAAGCAAAATTGGTTCAGGATTGGTGTGCTAACAACTTCCCAGACTTCATCAGTTTCAACCAATGGCCACCTTCGTCCCCGGATCTCAATCCAATGGATTTCTCTGTATGGAGTGTTTTGGAGTCCCAGGCTTGCGCAAAACAGTGGAATCGTTGAAGAAAGCGCTTCAAAAAGCGTGGGAGGCGATCGATCCACAATACCTTCTCGCCACCGTCGACGCTTTTCCAAAACGTTTACAGGCTTGCATCGACGCTAAGGGATCTCACTTTGAAAAAAATTGAATTATTCTGTTGAAGAGTGTTAAAAGAATAAAATTGTTCGTTTACTTTTCGTTCTTGGTCAATTTTGGCTTTCTAGTCCCGCTCCTTACAGGTTACCGTAATTCTGGGACACCCTGTATAACTTAAGATGTAATGTTGTTAATGTTTAATGGTTTTGTTCATTTAGAGGAACAACTTACGGCACAACACTGTTTAAGATGAACAAGTGGCTGTTGCTTTAACGAGCAAAACTTGTTGCATACAGACATAAAGCGGAACTGGCGAATGCCCGATGGCTCAGCAGAGTAGAGAATTCCTGAAAATCGATACTATTGCTGAATGAATTGCTAGTATTGAATCAAAACTATTGCTAGTATTGAATCAAAAACTCTTTAGCAATGCCTATCAAAGCTTTTGGCTTGTCCAAAGTACAGCGATTTTTAGCGATTCTCGTTTTGCCTTCAACAAGTTCCCTTCAACAAGTTCCTTTCAACAATTGCTTCTTTCAATTTCAACCTAACCCTCAATAAACCTCGTAAAAATCAATCTGTACATCATTGAACAACTTCCATCTCATTAAAACAATAAATTCCTAGCAAAAAATCAAATTTCATACCGATAAGAATCGAGAATATTCCAAAAAATATTGTTGGGTGCATTTTGGCGGTGCACGAATCGAAAACTAATAAACCTTTGCTCTCATTTATACACAAGCTTTGCTCCCATAACCTTTCAATAGAGTTCATTCAAATTTATCATGCTAACAATGGATTTGAGATCATTCTTCTTAACAATAGAGCTTTCTATTTCAACTTTCTATTATTCAGCAAGCACTAGCAAGTCCATTGTTGGCTTCAGTGTAGTGATTTCATAGATTTTTGACAAATAATTGACTCCAAATCCACATCCACAACACCGGATTTACTCTATAAGCTCTATAAGTACTCTATAAGCTCTATAAGTACTTTATAAGTACTTTATAAGTACTCTATAAGCTCTATAAGCTCTATAAGTACTCTATAAGCTCTATAAGCTCTATAAGCTCATTTGTACTTCGAGAACCAGCCATTTATAGCCTTTTTCTAGTCTTTTTCCACAAAACGAACTGTTAACCTGAAAAAAAAGCGTTAAATCTTAGCACAAAGTACATGAGTTGGCTTGATTTTAGTGTCATTCGTCAAAGTTCAGTCAAAGCCTAGAGTTTGCCCGATTTTTTGGTAGAAAAAGCTTTCAAAAATATGTATTCTACGCGTATATACAATGATTTGTAGTCTAACCTTGTGGTTTGTAAGGCATAGTCTAGTTTGAACCTTTTGTGCTAGTTTAAACAGCTTTGCTGTCTACTTTAGCTTCTTTTCTAATAACAGATACAGAAACGCATATGTCTATGTCAAATGATTGGCTAAACATCTCACAGAGCTGGCAATGGATTGGTTAAACATCTTACAAAGCTGTCAATAGATTGGTTAAACATCCAAAAAACTGTCAATTGTTTGGTTAAACATCCACAAAACTTTTGTAATGGTATGAAGACGGTGACAGCCAAGGGATATCTTGATCCCGACCATCAAATTGATCATTCTTGTGGAGACACTTTCATTGTGGTAAGAGAATTGGACTCTCAAAGTAATCACTTTGTTTCAAAGACAAAGACAAAGACCATTCTGTTGCTTTCACTGGGGAATTGTATCGATGGAAGTTTAACAATGGAGTTCTTGGATGAGAACAATACAGTGATTGATCAGTAAGAAGAGACGGACTGACAGACGTCTCTTCTGCTTTATTTATAGTAGATAACAAGGATAAAGAGAAATAGATAAAAGGATAAACATGAAAAAAAGATATAAAATAAGAACATATAGGTGGCACCAAATGGCCAAGAAATTCAAGCACTAGCACTGGTTCACATTCAAGCACTGGACTTGACCATGATCAGCCTGACTAAAGCTCTAAAATTTGCCCTACTTTTTGTTTGCCAATTTGTGCCTACTCTATCTCAGAGTAAACCAAGGTTGGCTCCCATGAACATAAAAAACGAGGATCTTAGCTCGGTATTTAGTATTTAGCTATTTTGTAACGGTGTTAGGCTTCCCTCGGAACTTTTCTGGACCTAGTTATAAGTTATAACTATGGACCTAGTAATAAGCTACACTACTGAACAATGAAATTTCATATTCGAAAAACGATCGTCACTTTCGCGCGTCTGTAACTCCCTTGTCTTTACCGTATTTCTAAATATTAATATTACCATTGTGTAGCCCTTGAAAAGAGCTTTCAGAAATGGTATAACACTAATAGTTTAAACTCAAAGCGAAGGAAGTTACAGACGCGCGAAAGTGACGATCTTTTTTTCAAATATCATATTTCATTGTCCAGTACTGTAGCTGAAGAAGCATTGAATAGAATCGTGAAGCCAATTGTGCTCCTCTTTCACACTAACTTTATCTGAATACTGTAAACGATGTAAACAAACTGACTGAATACTGTAAACAATCAATAGAATATAATTAGGTAAAGTTTTGTTTGATATATCTATAACTTCTCCACCTCCATTGTGGCGTCTGATAATCTTGTGGACTTGAGCCAAAGAATTGATCGGATCCATGGATGAATCCGTCCTAGCGGCGAGGCGATCGCCATCGCAGCCATCGCAGCATCGCAGTCGTGTCAGAAAGTTGTGACATAAAACCCGATGAGGACTAAAAACATAGAGAATAAGAGCAAAAATAAAGAACATAAATTTAGGGGTCCTAGTACAAGTTTCCGAAAAGAATTGCTGATTGTTTTAGTACCCAATCGGGAGCCGTGTGTCTTCTCGAGGGGAGACAAGAGAAGAGTTGAGCGATCGCTTACAAGTGATCCGCATGGGGTTTGATTTGGACTCTCTTCGATCTCCTGTTTGATTGGTCGAGGAGGATGGCTAGGAGTGGAGGAAGCGCATTGGTGGGCGGGTTGAGGCCAAGATCTCCTCGAGATCTTCGCCAAGATTTCCTCGAGTTCTATTTTCTATATTTCATTGTCCAGTACTGTATGTGGTGTTATCAAACCACCTTCTTTCATTCACAATATTGTCATTGATGCTTTTTGAAGCGCTGACTCAATTCGTTTGGCTTTTTGGCATTCTTGACATTCTTCACCAAAAATCCATCTACTTTAACCTCCATTTTTGGAAGTAAATCTCTTTTGAGTCTCTTTTGAATCTCTTTCGAATGCCACTAATTGTATATATTTTTTTATTTCCACCTGGGAATTTATGAAAAGCAAAAACTGACTTTTTTATAGTTCTAATTGAAAAGATTTAATTATAACTTATCGAAATTTTAGAAAAGCTGAAAATCAGCTGAAAATCTTGCAAATTATTAGAACTTTTAAGGTACATTTGTGATCTTTTTCTGTTTTTTGAAATTTTAATTGTTCTGTTGAAATTCAGAAACTTTTGGGTACATTTATAATTGTAAAAATCCTTTTTACAATTCAAGTTTCTGATTCAACAAGTTTCTGATTCAACTCTAGTCACTTAATTCATTTTTGATTCTCTTAAATGTACCTGGTTCTTTTAAAATGGTCGTAATGGCCGTAAAAAGGTAGTAATGGCCGTAGAAAGGTAGTAATGACCGTAGAAAGGTAGTAATGGCCGTAGAAAGGTCGTAATGGCCGTAGAAAGGTCGTAATGGCCGTAGAAAGGTAGTAATGGCCGTAGAAAGGTCGTAATGGCCGTAGAAAGGTCGTAATGGCCGTAGAAAGGTAGTAATGGCCGTAGAAAGGTAGTAATGACCGTAGTAAGGTAGTAATGGCCGTAAAAAGGTAGTAATGGCCGTAGAAAGGTAGTAATGGCCGTAGAAAGGTAGTAATGGCCGTAGAAAGGTAGTAATGGTCATAAAAAGGTCGTAATGGCCGTAAAAAGGTAGTAATGGCCGTAGAAAGGTAGTAATGGCCGTAGAAAGGTAGTAATGGCCGTAGAAAGGTAGTAATGGTCATAAAAAGGTCGTAATGGCCGTAAAAAGGTAGTAATGGCCGTAGAAAGGTAGTAATGGCCGTAGAAAGGTAGTAATGGTCATAAAAAGGTCGTAATGGCCGTAAAAAGGTCGTAATGGCCGTAAAAAGGTAGTAATGGCCGTAGAAAGGTAGTAATGGCCGTAGAAAGGTAGTAATGGCCGTAGAAAGGTAGTAATGGTCATAAAAAGGTCGTAATGGCCGTAAAAAGGTAGTAATGGCCGTAGAAAGGTAGTAATGGCCGTAGAAAGGTAGTAATGGCCGTAGAAAGGTAGTAATGGTCATAAAAAGGTCGTAATGGCCGTAAAAAGGTAGTAATGGCCGTAGAAAGGTAGTAATGGCCGTAGAAAGGTAGTAATGGTCATAATAAGGTCGTAAAATAATCAAGTTCGGTTTGTCGCCTTTACGTCATTTATTCTCGTCATTCTTACTACAAATTTTGTATGTATCTGGAAGAAAAGTGTTGTAACAAATGAGAATTTAGAAATTCATATCAGCTTATTTTCATATCGGCTTTGATTTGATCTAACAGAACATTTGATATTTTATATATTAGCTATTAGCTAGTTTATATATTAGCTATTAGGTTGATGCAAAAGTCTTTTTCATTTTTTCGTACTTCTTTTGAAAAATAACAAAGTCATCAATTAACCTATGGTTTGCTCTAAATGAAAAGTGTTTATTGTTGAATTTCCCATCTTTTTAAGTCAATTTGGCTTCACTTTCAAGCAAATTCGAGAGTGAAAACGGGTTTTTCATAAAAATCGATAAAAACCTCTATAAAGAAATTGGCTGAATCAATTTCTCTGAAAATCTGAAAAATATCTAACTTTTTGTGCTCTATCTTTTATTTATTAACATCAAGATTGGTTTCCTTAGCTAAAGCGTCTAAAATGCATCATCAAGATTGGTTTCCTTAGCTAAAGCGTCTAAAATGCTTTTTTGACTACCCGACTTCAGGCTCTCAAAAAAATCTAGACATAAGACATTTTAAACTCGTTTTAATCTCATTTTGCAGAAAAATAATTGGCCTTTCGAATGCAATAAACCGTTGTTCAATTGGTGCATTTGTTACTTTTTAACGGAAGTACGAAAAAAATGAAAAAGACTTTTGCATCAACCTAATATTAGCTATCAGCTATTTTATATACAGTGGTCCACAAAAGTAATGCCCCATTGCCATCCAACAGTATGTTTTGTAAGGAAATCTTGCAGAATCGATATTTCAGAAAAAGAGTAGGGCATTTTTATCTACCTATAAGACTTTTATCTACCTATAAGACTTTTATCTACCTATAAGACTCTACTTTTCAAGAATATAAGATTTATCCGTATACATTACATACAAATTAAAGTACAAAACAAAAACAATAAGCTACTTTGAAAATTAGCTCCACAAAAGTAATGCCCCATTTGCAAAGAATTAACACAATTTTTTAAAATCAATACTTGGTTGGTCCTCCTTTTGCTTTTATTACTTCATTGAGTCGATGCGGCATGGAATCCACGAGATTCTTCAAAAGACTTTGAGGGATGGTGGCCCAGAGACGTTGAACGTGAACCCATAAGGCAGCTTTCGAATCGAATTTCTTTCCCTTGAGTCGTGACTTCACAAATGACCAGAGATGCTCGATAACATTGATATCCGGTGAGTAGGGAGGCGGATTGATCAATTTGACTCGACTTGCCGCAAACCAGCCCGGAAGTCGTGCTCGTCTACCATTTTGAAGAGTCACCACCGTTCCCATCATGAGCCTTGACTTGTGTTTCGGGTCGTTGTCCTGGTAGAGCATCCATCGAGGAGGCATCGTCTGTGTGACAAAAGACAGCATTTGGGTCTCCATAATGTTCTTGTAAGCCACAGCATTCATCGTTGAGTTGACGTGAACTAATGGACCTGCTGAAGTTCGTGACATCGCTCCTAAAGAAAAACAGTCGGGTGACAAAATACTAAAAAGGCTCTTACCCCAACACATTATGTTGGCTCCATTGAATTTCACCGTAGAATGAACATTGAATGTACTTGAGTGTTGAATGTGAACCTATAAGGCAGCTTTCGAATCGAATTTCTTTCCCTTGAGTCGTGACTTCCTAGGCCGCACATTTCAAAGGTCGCTCACGAACAGATCGATAAGTTTGGATGGAAACTTCTTCCTCACCCACCATACAGCCTGACCTAGCCCCATCGGATTACCACCTCTTTCGGTCTATGAAACAATCGGTTTCTGGAAAGCAGTTCTAGCAAAAGCAGGACATTGAAAATTGGGTTGCCAACTATTTTGCCTCTAATAAACCTTTTACGAGGACAGCATTCGTGATTTGGGGCGACGTTGGAAAGAAGTTATTAATGCTTGTGGTGAATACATTTGATTTTGAAAGTGTTTGCATAAATTTTTCTGTTATTTTAAAAATGAACAAAAAAATGATCAAAAAAGTGACCAAAAAATAATCTTTCATATTTACCAAGCTAATATTATAAGAGAAACCTTTTTGATTTTACTTTTAGAAACAATGCTTTGCTTATACAGTTCTTTATTTCAATTTATTCGTTAATCGTTCATCAACTGGACTAGTTCTCTTTCGTCAACTTGACTAGTTCAAGCTCTGTTCAAGTTCTGTTCAATCTCTGTTCAAGTTCTGTTCAATCTCTGTTCAAGCTCTGTTCAAGCTCTGTTCAAGCTCTGTTCAAGCTCTGTTCAAGCTCTGTTCAAGCTCTCATGACTTTGTTCTCTTTCTATTTTGACTAGAATTTCTTAACGAATCCACTAATTCAAGAACATTCTTGTGGCTTGGCTTGGCTTTTGTGAAATCACTCTGCAAACTTTCTTCGAGAACTTTCTTTCCAATCCAATAGATTAGATTAATCATTTAGATTTTCATGGACTCAACTTGTCCAGATATCTCAAGATTTACGACAAGTTTGTATTTAAAGACGTCAATGTTTTGCCAATTCCTTTGTGGTTTTCTATCCATTCTCTCTCTCATTGCTACATATCGAAAGACTTTCTCGTCATATCTTTTGGATACCGGCTTTCGTGAACACTTAATCTGCGTCTATTTGCTTCATTTTATTCAAAGCTTTGCTCTCATTTTGCTAATGGTAAGTCTCCAATGATAAAGTGTTTTGTGATAAACGTGATAACATTATAAACTTGATAACATGATAAACGATAAACAGAGCTAAGTAAGCTGATGGGGTTGAGCGCATGAGAAAGCAACTTTCAACCCAGCAATTTCTAGCCCCTGCAACAAGAACAAGAACAAGAACAAGAACAAGAACAAGAACAAGAACAAGAACAAGAACAAGAACAAGAACAAGAACAAGAACAAGAACAAGAACAAGAACAAGAACAAGAACAAGAACAAGAACAAGAACAAGAACAAGAACAAGAACAAGAACAAGAACAAGAACAAGAACAAGAACAAGAAGAAGAACAAGAACAAGAACAAGAAGAAGAACAAGAAGAAGAACAAGAACAAGAACAAGAACAAGAACAAGAAGAAGAACAAGAACAAGAACAAGAAGAAGAACAAGAAGAAGAACAAGAAGAAGAACAAAAAGAAGAACAAGAACAAGAACAAGAACAAGAAGAAGAACAAGAAGAAGAACAAGAACAAGAACAAGAACAAGAACAAGAAGAAGAACAAGAACAAGAACAAGAAGAAGAACAAGAAGAAGAACAAGAAGAAGAACAAAAAGAAGAACAAGAACAAGAACAAGAACAAGAAGAAGAACAAGAACAAGAACAAGAAGAAGAACAAGAAGAAGAACAAGAACAAGAACAAGAACAAGAACAAGAACAAGAAGAAGAACAAGAACAAGAACAAGAAGAAGAACAAGAAGAAGAACAAGAACAAGAACAAGAAGAAGAACAAGAAGAAGAACAAAAAGAAGAACAAGAACAAGAACAAGAACAAGAACAACCAGAACACTAGATAGTTAATGAAAAGTCAAGACTTAACTGTTTCCTATAGCCTGGTTACTTATAAAGATTACTTATAAAGATTACTATAAAGCTTACTATAAAATTTTTAAAGTCAAATTTTTAATCAATTTAAGGGCACCCTTCTCTTCCAACACCTCTTCCAACCACCATGTTTTGGCACAATTTCCTCTTCTTTATGTTATTCTCTTCGCTTTGCGACCGTATTCTCAGTCTTCTCATTGCCGCTTTTCAACCTCACATTGGCCCTTTTTCGTGTTATTTCTTTTTTCGGTGGTAAAAGTTTCAAACGACGAGAAGCGATAATTAGAAGATTGATTACTGCTTTTACGGTGAGTGGAAAAGGAAGAGGAAAAGGAAGAGAAAGGGGAAGAAGAAGGGGAAGAGAAAGGGGAAGAGAAAGGGGAAGAAAAGATTGGCGATCTCATTAGAAAGAACGGGTAATTGGGGTTGAGCAAAAAAAATGGGAAAACCTTACGAAAAAAGACCCACTCGTTTGTTGTGATACAGATAGAATGCTCAAAAATCACAGAAATCGACCAAAAGCAAGGATAAAGGTTAGATGACGAGTCTACGCAATATGATGAACACTTAGAAATAGGTTCTATTAGACGTTCTATCAGTCAAGACTATCCTGGAACGCAGTGGACTCAAAATTGGGTAAATGAACCGGCTTGATTCATGATTGAATAGAGAGGAAAGTTTGCAAGATCGCTGTGTCATCACAGGATTTTTAGAGGTGACTTTTAGAGATCAATCAGAAAAACGATAGTGATTATGGCTGAAGAGATTATTTTATATAGAATTTGATTATTTATAGCTAATGGGATAGATAAAGGATTGTTATAAGGGAAATATTTTTTTACAATTATATGAACAGATTTCAAAGAGGCTGTTAGACTTCAAAGAGGCTCTTAGACTTCAAAGAGGCTCTTAGACTTCAAAGAGGCTCTTAGACTTCAAAGAGGCTGTTAGACTTCAAAGACAACAATCTTCTTTGTTGACCATAAGATTCTTATGGTCAACAAACAGAAACAAATACTTTACATCTACCAGAAAGTTTTTTATAAAGTATAAACACAGGTTCACCTTCAGATAACCTTCAGAGACCTTCAGATAACTGGAACTATTGTGGAATTCTGGTGGAAAGTGAATGACGTCATTCTACCAACTGGATATGTCGCTTATTGTACCGTGAATTCACAGAGTTTTGCTCAAAAAGCGAGCGTTGAGAACATTTTCACTGGATCTTTCGAGTTTATCACAATCCTCACCGCTTTTTTGCTGATGAGGCTATACAAACGGGAGAATAGGTATGAATCTAAAGAATCTATGGACTTAATTCATAGAATACTTGTCATGCTAAATATTAAACGCTTACTGAAGAGGTCGAGTCGGTTATACTGCTATTAGTGCCTGTGCGAATGCCAATCTAGCATCCTCCTGCTCCATCTAGCACCTCCTGCTCCATCTAGCATCCTCCTGCTTTATCTAGCATCCTCCTGCTCCATCTAGCATCCTCCTGCTCCATCTAGCATCCTCATGCTCCATCTAGCATCCTTATGCTCCATCTAGCATCCTCCTGCTCCATCTAGCATCCTCCTGCTCCATCTAGCATCCTCCTGCTCCATCTAGCATCCTCCTGCTCCATCTAGCATCCTTATGCTCCATCTAGCATCCTTATGCTCCATCTAGCATCCTTATGCTGATGCTGCTTACTTCATCAACTTTTCCTCTGTGATTTTCGAACAAAAAGAAAAAAAGACCTAATTCCATCCCCTTTTGCACTTCCGGTGATGACCAGGAAAAGCATCGACCGTTTGTCGCAGGTAGTCGTCATCAAGATCATCCCAAGCTTTGACAAGAGCTGCCTGAATGTTAATGATGACTGACTGACTGCCTGAGGATGAGGAGGATGAGGAGGATGAGGAGGCTGAGGAGGATGAGGAGGCTGAGGAGGATGAGGAGGCTGAGGAGGATGAAGAGGCTGAGGAGGATGAGGAGGCTGAGGAGGATGAGGAGGCTGAGGAGGATGAGGAGGCTGAGGAGGATGAGGAGGCTGAGGAGGCTGAGGAGGCTGAGGAGGCTGAGGAGGATGAGGAGGATGAGGAGTAAAATCTAAAAAGTCCAAATTAAATAGTCTTTTCATAGAGAAGACCATTAATAACAAAGACAATGACAAAATAAAAGAAACAAAAGAAATCAAATAGGAAGTGGAATAGGGCCCAGACAGTAAGAGGTCAATAATTGTAGACTGTAGACTAATTGCAGTAACAATAGTTTAGCCATTAAACAAAATGGTGAATGAGCTGCTCTTTCACATTGTTCACAGCAGAGAAGAGCTTCAGATTGAGAAGATCCTATAATGTATCCGTGAATTTGACAAGACGACAGCTTTACCTCTCTATGCAACTCTTTCTTCCTTACAGGTAAAGAAAAAAAGAATATGGTATTTTCTAGAAACAGTTGATGGGTTTGTTTAGTGTCTTTCATGCTTTCTGTTTTGTCGCCTTTTCCTCTGTCTCAATGGGCTATCGAGCAATTTTCGTCAATCTTCCAGAACCCTACTACTCCGCTGGATCTGGGTATACTTTTGTAAGTTTTACAAGCATTGCTTCGTTCATTTCTGATAGAAAAGAGGTATTTCTTGATGTTTCTAAAAGTTTGAAACAGTTTGAAACGGTTTACAACTGGTTTACAACTGGTTTACAACAGTTTACAACAGTTTAGACCAGTTTAGACCAGTTTAGACCAGTTTGAACCAGTTTACAACAGTTTACAACAGTTTACAACTGGTTTACAACAGTTTACAACTGGTTTACAACAGTTTACAACTGGTTTACAGCAGTTTACGACAGTTTGAAACAGTTTGAAACAGTTTACAACAGTTTACAACTGGTTTACAACAGTTTACAACAGCTTACAACATCTTACACCGGTTTACAACAGTTTACACCGGTTTACAACAGTTTACACCGGTTTACAACTGGTTTACAACAGTTTACAACAGTTTACAACTGGTTGACAACAGTTTACAACTGGTTTACAACTGGTTTACAACTGTTTTGCAACAGTTTACAACAGTTTACAACAGTTTAAACCAGTTTACACCAGTTTACAACAGTTTACAACAGTTTACAACAGTTTACAACAGTTTACAACAGTTTACACCAGTTTACAACAGTTTACACCAGTTTACAACAGTTTACAACAGTTTACAACAGTTTACAACAGTTTACAACAGTTTACAACAGTTTACAACAGTTTACAACAGTTTACAACAGTTTACAACAGTTTACACCAGTTTACAACAGTTTACAACAGTTTACAACAGTTTACACCAGTTTACACCAGTTTACAACAGTTTACAACAGTTTACAACAGTTTACAACAGTTTACAACAGTTTACAACAGTTTACACCAGTTTACAACAGTTTACAGCAGTTTACAACAGTTTACAACAGTTTACAACAGTTTAAACCAGTTTTAGAACCAAAACTATTACCAGATTCATTCCAGATCCCTATGTACTTCACAGTGATTTCCCCTTGGATGATCTATTGGATTGTTGGGAAAAGTGAGAGGAGTCGAATTGATAACACCAAAAATTTGCTTAATCTTGAGAATCAGGCGAAAAATCTCTATTTTGAGAATTATCGATCTCAATGGGAAGATACCCGAATCAACCAACCCGAAAGGATACCCGAATCAACCAAAAACAGGTTAAAATAACCAACAACAGCCTTGGAATTCCTATTATTTTAGATCAATACTTCCCTTCTATATCTGCGATTTGTTAAAGTTCAAAAAGAGTTTTTTAAATCTGCGAAAAACACGAAGAATCACCGCCCACTCAGCCTCCAGTAAATAGGCAGATCATAGATCAGGATTCATAGATCAGATCATGTGATTCACGGCTTCACGAACTGCAAATTTTGATTATTCTGTGATATTAGTTATTAATGATATTGAAAACGTTTTATGCTTAAAATAGCTTGATAAATCTTGGAGTTTCTTGGCTTTGTTCATGGCTTTGTTCTTAGCTTTGTTCTTGGCTTTGTTCTTAGCTTTGTTCATTGCTTTGTTCTTAGCTTTGTTCATTGCTTTGTTCTTAGCTTCGTTCTTGGCTTTGTTCATGGCTTTGTTCTTAGCTTTGTTCATGGCTTTGTTCTTAGCTTTGTTCATGGCTTTGTTCTTAGCTTTGTTCATGGCTTTGTTCTTAGCTTTGTTCATGGCTTTGTTCTTAGCTTTGTTCTTAGCTTTGTTCTTGGCTTTGTTCATGGCTTTGTTCTTAGCTTTGTTCATGGCTTTGTTCTTAGCTTTGTTCATGGCTTTGTTCTTAGCTTTGTTCTTAGCTTTGTTCTTGGCTTTGTTCATGGCTTTGTTCTTAGCTTTGTTCATGGCTTTGTTCTTAGCTTTGTTCTTGGCTTTGTGATTTCTTGGCTCTGAGCCCGTCTTGTTAGATGCCCAAATTTAATTTTTGGAAATCCTTTCGTGTCCAGTACCAAATTACAGCTTTCGAGCAAATTACAGCGGAAATCGAGCTAGTTAACAATAATAGACAACGCCACTGCATCTATAATTAGTAGTAGTACGGACTTTCGGATGGTAGGATGCGTACTTACATGTACTACTACGACGCCTCGGTAGCACGGATATGTATTAGGTTGGTGCAGATGAAACTTCCGTCACACTTGTTTGTTTATATTTTGAACCTAATAAAAGTTTTTATTGAAGATATTTGTCTATCTGAAAGAGCGTCTCTTTGCGCGTCTTTTGATATCTAAGACTTATGCGTTTTACTTAATTTGAAGTAATTTTTGGCTTCTAGAAAATGGTTGACGAAAAATTTCGAGTGCGGGTTTGCTTGTTGCATGATTTTAAACAAGGCAGAACGCCTGCGGAATCTCATCGTGCTCTGTGCAAAGCATTCGGCGATGACGTGTTGTCCGAACGTCAATGCCGGACTTGGTTTCAGCGCTTCCGAGA